TGTGATAAAATCACTACTTTGTTTTTCTATAGATTATATATGCTTTGTTTCTTAATTTTCTGTAATTTTAGAATAATTCAAATTTCCTGAAGAAATGAAAAAGCTTTGACTCCAGTCAACTCTCAGTCAGTGAAAATGAAGAGCTGCGAGAATGTCAATCTATGACAGGTTAAAAATACTCTAGTTCAAAATCTCAGTGGCAAACGATCACTTTTTACATGTTTAATACACACTGTTATCATGAGTCTGCAAGTTTGGTTTTAAAAGATACGCAGCGACCTGTGTGTATGTGTTGGGATAACAGCAGTATGACTCAATATCCACACATCTGAGCATGCAGGAGTGCCTGTTGACCTTTCTCAGTACCTCTGCAGCTGACTTATTATGTCACAAATACACATACAGATGGCCACCGAGGTTAAAAAACGTCCAAAGTCTTCAGCGTCCTCGGAGGTAGACCTTGTCCCTGATCACAGCTCTCAGTCTGAATCATGCAAACTGAATAAGTGTCATTAAAGGCTGTAAAAGGCCCAAACCCACATAAAATTTTAAAGGCAAAGTCTTCACCTCAATGAAAGATTTATGCACACCGTTATGTAATGTTTTACTTCTATGAAGCCTGCGCATGTTAAGCCATGTTGGTTTATGGCAAATAGCTGTTTTGAAATTTGACTTAAAAAAAAAAAAAAATATTTATCATAAAATTGCTTTGTTGAAATTATTAAAAAATTTAATGTAATGGTTATGCATTTTATTGATGTAACCAAACCTCCACCTTTAGATTTTGAACCAAGTGTTGGCCAATATTTTACATATATATGTATATGAATGTATCATCAGTCATGTCGAGCTGTTTTGTTGGTGTCAGCTGCTTCCATCCTGTCTTTTAAAGGCTTTTAGTGCCTCTTTCTGCCTGTATGTAATAAATTATTTACATATTTCTTTATTTGAGCAGGTACAGATGCAATCTTGTGGTGATCTTTTGTACCAGCTGTTGCAGTTCAACACAATCAACATTGCAAACGTTAGACGGAGAAGTTAAAAGCTGGAAGTGCATAGACTTCATACAGGGTGATCTGATGCTGGAGGCATGGAGCACACATCTGTTCATGAATGGGGTCGATGGATGAACACTTGAGTGGCCCTTTCTAACCCAGCTTCCTCACATAAGTGGCTGGATGGAAATGGTGCCCAATGCTGCACAAGAGTGCTCTTCCTTGGGATGCAGCTTTGCAGTTACAATGTCGCAGATCTTATCCTTTATGAGCAGATTCATGGAAAAAACTGAGCAACAAATGTTCTTCAAAAGTGCAGCACTACATGTGTTTTTATCATGCTTTATATTTGCATGCATTTGGCATTGTGTATTTAACATGCTAGTGGTGTGTGGCTTTCATTTCTCTGTGTTGCATCGTTCTAATATACAAATGTAACCTGATTTATTGAGAGACAACTGAAATATGTTGATGTCTTTTTCCCATAGCTTCCATTAGATTACCTTTTTCTTGGGGCTAAGAGCTAAAACATGATTTAATAGCCGATCTGAAAGCCATCTTAGATCTTCTGCCTCCATATAACATTTCAAAGCAACAATAATCAACATAATGGATCTTCAGCGTTGCTCTCCTGGGCCCCATTAGCTGTGTGTGCAAACATTACAATGTGTGTATCCCGGCATTAACATAATTCTTTTCAAGACTACCACATTCTCAGAGAACCAGTGAATAATTATTTTGAATCTGTTTTTTCCTCTGAAACAGCGACAGTGAAAATGAAAATGCCAGTAATCACAAGAAGCCAAAAAACACAGAGCAGCATCAACGATCGATTTATTGGTCCCAGAATGCGGTGAAACAAATCTTTCAGACAACATTTTGTAGTTTTAATTTACTCTCTCGTAGCTGGTAAAGACAGACTGTGCACACTCTAAATTAAATATCAGAGTATATGTGCTTCTCTTACAGAAAACAAAGGCTCTCATAAAGTAAATTTAGCCACTCTGTGTCAGCAGCTTCTATACAGTATGCCTTGATTTAATTATTTAAGTTTGTAAAGAAGCTCCATTACATTTTTGGTCCTAAGGTGCACAATGTCTGGTGCCTCAGGGCCTGACCGGAGCTCCCTTCAGCCAGCAGCCATCCATGAAATGAGAAAATCTATAATGCATTTAATTCTGTTCTCTGTAGATCAGGGCTGTGTCTCCCAATGGCACCACGGGGACCACAAACACTGCATCAACCTTCCTCCAACCCTGCTGCAATATCCACATACAGTAACTACTACTCAAGGTGTCCAACATCTCATTGTCTTTCTTCTGCTCACACCTGCTGCTGTACACCCTTGCAGGAGTCTCTAAATACTCCCTCCTTTAACAGCTGTTTTGTAGCACTGTATTTCTTCTACTGGCTGTGCTTTTGCTGCAATGATCTCAGCACACTTGGCCGGCACAATACCTCGAGTACTCAGAAGATGAATCCCCTGAGTCTTAATAATCTAAAGTGGATGCAGTCCATTGTATCAATAATGATAAGTACAGCCAGGCACACGTGTACAGTATAACTTACTGTGAATCTGAACCTCTCAGTCATTTTTTGTCCTTGCTGATGAAAACTGTTGAAGATTAGAAACTGCACAGAAAACATTGATGACTAACAGCTTTCTTGAAACATCTTTCAAGGTAAAGTCAGTTGCATTCAAGGCGGTCCAGCTTTTCAAAACACAAACAAACACAAGGAAGCTGAAAACAGATTTCTCACAAGATGTACCTGACTTTTATTTTGCAGGTGGCTTATAGAACTAAAAAGTCATACAGAAATGTTGCAGTTGATTTACGACGAATCAAAATGTGCTGCCCACATAACAGTCACAACTCCATCAGCTTTCTTTATAAAGCAGTTGCTATGAGAAAATGTGACCTTGAGCCTATCCAGGTAAATCCCTTCTCTTAAAATCAGCACATATGGTACTTTCATATGCTGGATGTATTACTAAGCTCTTCTCAAAATAGGCTTAAATGGGGGACTTTGACCTGAATTTTCCCTTTACTTGAAGTTTTTGTGTTTAATGTCTTTTAATTATTTGTATGGCCTTATTTTGCCCAAACTACATACAAATCGACCAATTTCTAAAACCCATGAAGCCCTAGGCGACTCAAATTCAACAGTCATCTATAAATTAAATATATATAAGCGTCTGTCAATGTGTCTAGAGTATGATAACAGAGCAGCTGTACAGCCTGATACCCACAGTTTACTAAAAAGAAGCTACACACCTAATGCTAAATGGACAGACCCAGTACTACACAGGCTCCAAGATGAGTGTTCCCCACCATTGTTGTTGACACTGTTTATGTGTATGTGTCACATTCTCTCTGGGCTTCTGCCTCACAGTTTTCTCCCCCCTGTTGTCCTGTGTGTCATGGTGGCTGAAGGCAGGCCGGCCCTGACTTATGATGTCACCGTGGCTATAATAAGTAGGCCAATACCATGATGGTTACTTGTGTATCAGCACCATGGATCCCTGCTGTCAGGCCTCTCATCATTTATGTAGAGACAATGAAGGACAGAGTGCGAGAGAGGGAACAAAAGGGAAGGGGATAAACAGTATAATGGTGATTTGCTCCATTAAATCTCATCAGTGAGATGAATGAGGGTAGATAAGGAGCTGAGGGACAGTTGCAGCTGTAGTCAACCTCAGCTGGGTGTAGCTTACTCACTCTTTGTTCTCTGTAAAATGTCACACTGCTATGGACATCACTCTAACTGTATTTAAAGTCATATGTTGTACTTATGACATCAGGGAAGCAAACACAACCTCAATAATTAGTCAACAAGAGGTTTATTTAAGGGTTTTATCTTTGTGTTAGGGTGATTTTCTTTAGCCAGTCATGTCAGCTTTTGGGGATGGTGGAGCTGTGTCACTCAACTATCCTCAACAAGGACCTTGTACCCATGTCTAACATCACTCAGGCTCACAAAACACGTTGTGCTTTGTTATTACCCTACATGGACTCTCCTTCAGGTCAACAAGATGCAAGCTGAATGTTTGGAAACGTGGACGGCTATATATACTTGAACAGTCTCAGACCAATCTTTGTTACACTTGTGGCATGATGAAGCTGTAACCCGGATCTGCAACCAGTAAAGCTTGTCAAAATGATCATTCATGTGGACCTTCTATTTTTTAAAGTGTAAACATGGGTTAGGCATCCTTTCACTTTGATGACTATCACAACAAGAAACAATTAATTCTCATACTTTAAGGTGACTTCTCCCAAGAACTTGCAAAGTCTGCAATCACAAGAAAGCAGCATTGGAACCTCTGAAAAGATGAATAATTGGTGGATAAAAATACACAAGTATTTAATAAGTTTCTTTAAAACTGCTCTATATTTATTGTGAGTGGTCTGCTGTTATTATTAACTAGAATGTTAATTTTTCTGCACCTTTATAGAAATATCTAAGGCGGTATTTCATTTGATCATATCAGCCGTATGGAATACAGAACAGATACTTGTAGCTTATGTGCCCATTCAATAAAAAGAACAGTGTTTCATAAGGCCAACGCAGAAGCCAGCACCTCCATAAATTCTGCAAGACTAAAAGTGCTCCCTGCTGCATATAACACTGTTTTATGGCCACAGCTTTCCTCATTTTCAGTCACTGACAAAATTACTACCCCTTCAGTATTGGCTGTAGTTTTACCCAAGACTCTACATTTATGATCAATGAACTGAAATCGTCGACAGAGGGCTGCTGGCTCTACAAATTGGCGCGCCGTCAACATAGGTATGTAAAACTAGATCGGCTCCACGGTGCCCCAGAAAGAAACACAGGTCGTTGCATGAGCGTGTTTTCAAGGCAATTTAAGGAGAAATATGACCGTGTGAATATTTCATACTTCCATTGAGGGATTCAGAGCATAAAAACGACAAGAAGTTGCGTTTGGAACCTGTGCCTACCTGCTCTAAGTGTGATAGATCTATGGCCATTCAGTCGTGCCTTGACAACGTCGTGAACGCGCATGTCAGGTTCGCTGCAGAGATCCCACTGCCTCAGCTCTCTCACGATTAATCGTAGGGATGGTGCTGACAGTGAGAGGAGACGGACGGCGAGTTTTATACGCTTAAATGGATGACCGGGCCAGGTGAAGCCCCATCTGCACGGGTCGGACAACAAATCCCCGAAAACCCCCTACCGTATGAGGAAGAAGACGACGGTGCCGGGCCGAGGAGGACAACGTTCGTGTAACTGATGGAATTCCCAGCCGTTGCTAGATGGAGAAACCGAAAGGGTGGACTCGTTATTAATAATTAAAAAAAACCCATCTGCTGCTAAAATATAAGGAAAATGCATCTGCACCAAGTGCTGACGGGAGCTGTGAACCCTGGAGATTGCTGCTACTCGGTGGGGAGTGTGAATGACATTCCGTTCACGGTGAGTTTTTATTTTGATATTCAGAGCTCAGGATGACACCCATTGAAGCTAACGACTAACATGCTAGCTGGGTAGTTAGCCTGCTGCTAGTGGCACATTTGCTGAATCCAGGCGGGCTCCGGAGCTAAAGCACAGGCTAGCCGGGGAAGTATGCTAGCCAAACTGCAGCACTGAGAGGATTCACAAACAGTGAGTCGAGACTGCTCAGGGCATCCGTAACACAAGCCCCTCATTCATTCCTATAACAGCCACTCAACATTCACATGCTTATAACCTCACCTAACGCCAGCTGGTAACGCTAATATCTGTCTGTTCCACACCTTTTATTATTTATCGCTTCAAGACATTTAACGCTAGCCACTCAAATGACCTTTAGCTGCATCTCGTAACGTTAGAATTACTGCAAGGGAATCCCTTTGCGCAACCATAACAGTACTGGCGAGTATTTACAATGGGGCACGCTCAGGTGATAATTTGCAGGGCACGCTTCAGGTAAAACCACGCGTGGATCATGGTAAAATTGCGCCCCATTACACAAGGAGGAGGGTGACCAACGCTGTGTTTTGCCTGTGTAGTTGCAGAACTAGCTAAGCTCGCTACCATTTGGCGTTAAATCCTCCTCACGGATCATTAGCTCGCTGTCATCCCAGCATCAGCTGCGCCACTTATGACGTAGAGAGCCATATATGGACACATGAGCTAGAGGGCTGAATCAGGCTGGGTGTTTTTTGGGGTGAAAATAACATTCAAAAAAACGTGGAGCCATCTGTCTTCTTTTTGTGCTGAGTGAAGTGGACAGCACTTGCATTTATTTAACTGATGCTAATTAGCTCACATAATCAGCTCATATGGGGTTTGACAGATTCATGATAACCTTTCTTTAACCCTTAGAACTCCCAGCTATATTTTGCTATATAGCAGCTCTATCCTTTCAAGCACAGCAAATATATACACATTTTTTTAGGACAACCTCAGCTGTCAGTTTATGGGTGCAAAAATTATGTAAAATAAATGTGACAGTAGATCCAGAAGCATAAAATTCAACCAAAAAACAAAAACCGAAATTGATCCCAACAGTACTTTGCTCAATAAACACATAAATCTACTGTGATCAAGCTTTTTCTCACCTGCATATCATTCTGTTACGTCATGGCTATCAGGAGTAGAAATATTGGGATTGGAACAAACACACAACAGAAACTATGTACATATTTACACAAACTCTTCTAGGCGTTTTTTTGCTATTTACAGTTGTTTCTGCCACTCCTTGAAGCAGTTCCTGTCTGGGATGAGACAGAGGGCCAGATCATACTGCTCATAATGTCTTCTTTGCTAGTTTCCAAGCATTGAGGACCATTATTTCTTATCTTGCAGACAAGCAGGAAACTTTCTTGCCTCTTTTTGGACACTACCGTCAAGGGAACAACAGGAGAGGAATATGAGACCATGTAGTTGGTTGAAAGTTTGACAGAAAAAGATGCCATCAAAACAACTTGTCAAACCCGGCAGACATTAGCGGCATTGAGCGATAGCGATCTTTTTTTGGCACAACAATATGATAAATAATCCTGTTTTCACCGGTATATCACTGTGGATTTACCATCAAACGTCTTTGATCAAACACCTTTTTTTGTGGCTGGATTGTAAACCTTGTGGGAAGTGAAATGCCTGGAAACCCTCAATAGATCGCCAAAAGGGGAAGCTTTGAACACTTTTCATCCCATAGAGATACACAGTAAAGTTCTTGAGAAACTTTAAACAATATTAATGGTGTCACGTGGGATTGCCAACGATCCAGTGTTCTGTAGTGTTCTTTAAACATGCAGCAAAATAAAACAGGCAGATTATAAAATCAAAGGCAAAGGCGTATAAACAAACATTAACAAAAACTTGAAGGTGATAAGAAACCTCAAAAGACATATGATTAAACAAAGATCTGGAACAAACCTGAAATTCAAGTCAAATCAGGAGGAGAGTCTCTTCAGTGAAAGCTTGTTTTTAAAAGGGATTTAAAAGAGATCACTGACTCAGGTGACCTGATCTCCTCAGGCAGATTGTGGGACATGGGTCAGTCAGACAGACTTTAATGTATTTGTATGCCTGCTGATCAAACACTATACCCCGAACCAAAGCCAGTATCTGTTATTTATTGACCCCCTTTGGCTATATATACATTCTTTGTCTGTCTGAGGTCTGGCAAAGTCCCAACATTTCTCTTTGTGACTCAAGTTGACAGGACCAAGAAGCCCAGTCAATATTCCATTTAGTGCAGTGAGGCATGGGAAGAGCCTATTATATTACAGCCTCTTTGTGATGGCAAATTGAAAAATTGTGCACAATAGTTCACAATGCCAAAATGCTGCGAATCTTTTGCTTACAATGGATCAGTTGAAGGAGATAGTAGAACAAGTGGAGGGCAAAGCGCTCATCCTGAGTCAGCTTTTGTATTGAGGGTGAAGATGAATGATGATGACTATTGATATCTGGATGAGCTTTCATAGAATCCCATAAAAAAAACTCTCTAAATCCACTGAGGTGTTTTTAGTTTTCACCTTGCAGCCTTTTGCTTTTTCAGGATTTGCATTTAATTCATAATCTTCTCGTACTAAAAGCATTTTTCATGTCTTCAAGCGGTTTACACTTTTCTAAAAGGACAGAGACACATTCTCTTTAACGCACACACACAGCTTGGTTTTTTTTTTCCCCACATAGATCAAAAGGCAAAAAATCTGCTGCTGCTGCCACATCACATGATAAAAACTGATGATCCTTAGGATTGATTCACGATGGGTTATGATTGCATGATATCTGCCTCATTGACGACTAGATCGATTTACGCCGCAATGCCTGTCACCAGATGCATACAGCTTTCTTACCAAGAGCAGTATGACTGCATTCATCAAATTCTGCCAATGCAGGCTTGCTTTAAAAGCTTGAGCAGCTATGTTGCACGCCACCATTCCCTCAAGCTGAGAACATTGTCGAACTCTAATGGCTGCCAAATGTGGGCTTGGTGTGTTCCTGCTGCCTATTAGTGAGGTGATGCTTTGTTGTTTTATTTTTATATTTTCCCATTTCACAGAAACAAAGACACCCTCTTCTTCCTCCTCTTTCTTTTCTCCTTGAATGTGGCACACTATTTCTCTTTTTTCTTGCACACTCTGTCCAATCCAAACAGAGGAGTTACCCCCCCTTCCCCTTATTACTGACCCCAGTTCAAGGCTGTTTGAATGTAAACAGGCAGGCTTCATAGTCAGGGTCATGTCTGCTCAACAACATGGGACAGAGCTGGTTTTGGGGCAGAAGCCTTGCACATTGCCACAGGACCTCAGTTTCTATGCCTGGTCCTCTCTTTCTGTGTCTGAGAGGATATTTGAAGAACACTAGACATCATGTCCGATGCAGTTACACTCACACTGACCCCTGCGGGCTCCTAGGCCAGACCCTGACACACACACACACGTACAGACACACACAGTCGCACGTACAGACACACACTTGCCTAACCTACAGCTACTATGAGTGCAACAGCTCAAATTAGCCAACATGATGCTAGAGCTTCAGTGCTTCATTGTTCGCCAAGGCATGCTTAACAAAGTGCTTTGACATATTGACAGACATTGAAAGACATGATGTTTATTCAAATGAGTTTGAGTGATCGACAAAAGATCCTCTCTGTCGTTGTAGGTCCAGCAGCTCATGGGTGGTGGTTATAGTTAAATGCTGAAAGCCCACTGTCAGAATACTAAGAAGTATGAGTAGGAGTGTGTAAGATCTAGACGGTAAGAATAGAGGAGATCTTTTCATTATTTAGGGAGGAGAAAATGGTGTTCCTTTTCACCATGAAAAAATAATGTTGGTGGATAATTTAGTTCTACTATTGTCATTACATAAACTGCTTTCTTGAATTATTGAAGCTACAAATGGTTAGAGTCTGCTGTTCCACAAAAAAACAAATAAGACAAAACATCTGTTTACTGTTTTATCATCTGTTTAGGGCCGTTTTTATCCTAAAAAGTTTAACACTGATGAGACATCGATAATGTTCTCTTGTGACGGTTAAAATAGATTATTTTCAGTCTTTATCAGTGGCTTTCTGTTTCACCTGTGGTTGATGTATCATGTAGATACAAGGAGCCTGGCGGGTTTGATATGCAGAGCTGCAGATGTGTGATCCACTAAAAATAGAAAACACGTGTAATCTACAAAGCACACGGAGAGAGCGCATACGCCCACCAGGATTGCATGTTTCTTTCGGTTTTGTTGTCATGATAAATAAAAGAACTCTTCTGCAGCTGGATCTTGTCAGTGTCACAATAGAGGAAATGCCACATGATATATGACAGCTGAAAGGTGGCGGGATTTTTAGAGATTGCCCACACTCTCTTGGGAAACAATAAACTTTTGTGTGTTGTGCAAGTTTCAAATGTTCAAGACACATTACAAGTGGCTCATTAAAATGTAGCACGTTATTAGCATGCCTTTGGGCTGAATGTTGTCAAATTTGAGTCGACTTGCTGCATCACATGCTGCATTGGTCTCATGAGTTTGGTTTCTGATTAAAAATTGCTCACAAGTGGCATTCAAGGAGTTAAATAGTTGAAATGAGCTTCCCATGCAAGATATTGTATCTAGTAGGGATGGGTGATATGGGCTAAAAACTTTATCATGATAAGATTTGCCATTCTGGCGATAACAATGAAAGTCCTGATAAAAATCTTATAATTTCAATCTATATTTTTGACTCATTCTGTCTTGAGAACACCAGTTGGAGTAGTCAAATAACATCCGTGACCACAAGTTTAAGTAGTAGGTTATGGAGAGAACTAATGACATCAAACAAGTCTCAAATGTGAAAACATTTTGAATATTTGTTGAAAACTCTTATTGCACTGAGTGAACAGCAGCAGATCCACTGTCTGTTGTCAAGCATTCCTAATTGCACTCATTGAAGCCCCAATCTTGAAGGAAATCCCTCATGTGGAGCTTCATTCAGTAATGAGCTGCTGAGAAACGTCCTCTTCATTTTGCTCTGTGTGGGCTATGGCTGCAAGTCCGTCGCTCACGCTCATGTCATCAACTTGCATTTATTATATTTATCATGAGACGGCAAATATTTGTCAGGGTGGATTTTTCTGATGATATATCGTGAACAATATATCGTCAACGAATAGTTATCGCCCATCCCTAGTATCTAGTCAAGGGTGACTGATTTAATTATTTTAATGATTTAATCAAGTGACCACCAGGAAATTTCATGTCTGGAATAATAAGGCATTAAGGCAAAAAAAAAGTCCCACATCACACTTTCAGGGCTACAAACCAAAGTAGACATGCAAATCAGAGCCAAACTCGGTTCACTTTGCCTGTTGTGTGAAAGCTGGAAGGATTCCTAGAACCCAGACTTTGGGGGATACTGAACATTATCAAATTCAGACATGCTGGAACTCAGTGGTCAACCCATGGGCAGGTCTTCACAATGTTTGCCTCACATTAGCTGGTTAATTCTTACAATTTTATTTTTACCAAAGAAAGGAAAGAAAGAAAGAAGATTATCTTGTTGAAGTAAACTTTTAAGTATCCTGAAGTTTTCTTTTTGTATATGCAGTAATACAGAAGCTACTGGAAAATTCCCTTTGGTTCTTACTTGAGGGAACCTGGGCGATTGGGCAAACTAAATTGAACACATAGATCAAGTTTGTGTGATGTTTTATATTGTTTATTACACACTAAAGGAGAAAAGGGTTGAAGCCAGACTTGCCATAGTTTGACTTTTAATGCCTACTGTTTAACTACAGTTTTTCTGCATGAGTCTGTGGGTCCCTGAGTGGGGTAGAAAGGTTAGGATGGCTGACAGAGCCCCTGGAAAATAACAGAACATTTACAAAAGTGAGGCTCCGGGCCTTTAGATATCTGGCAGCGCCCTCAACAAGACCCATACGATAAAACCATAGAGAGCACAGGTCTGAGCTCTGAGCTCTGTTAGAGATAACATCCTTTTACTGATTGGCAGAGACATCAGGTTGCTAAAGGGCAGAGTTGATCAATTCATATTTTTAGAAATTTGTTGCTAAGGCTCTTTGACTGTAGGTCAAAGTAAGCCAGCTCTTACAAACATGAGGACGGTCCACAAAGTAGCAGCTGTGGCATATGCCCACATGATTGCATCTGCATGAGAAGTGAGCAGCATTAGATGGAGAGGCAGAAGTGATCCCTCACTCTCTTCCTCTTATCTACCATCATTACCACAACACATGACTGTAGCGTGCACTCTTTTCTTCTGAAATATATTGACCCTGAAAGCAGTTTACTACCTGCCTCACTGTGTATGCGCATGATGCAGACTTTTCTCGTGTTGCGCTGAGGAAACCGGCAAAAGGTTGTTGATTTGTTGATTTAGTAAGAGGTGTTTTTGATTCATCCAAGAATAGAAAAGTTGACACAGTAATCCTTTTTACTCACTATCTCTGGCTAACTTTGTGTGCAAACACTCAGAGCTTCTTTATGTAACAGGTCACATGATGACAGACTGGACCTTAACTGAGGAAATAAAGTTCACGCTCAACAAATAAACCCAACTGAATTTGAATTGTTTCACTTTCTTCTTTAAATGTAATAACCTCGTCCATGTTAGTGTGATAACAGGAGGTAAAACTTATCCACAGGCAGCAACACTCTCAGTGTAAGCTTCTCTCATGACTGGCTGGGAGGACGTCTTGCTACTTCAGGGTTGCACTCATTAAGTCAGCAGCTTTATAAGCTTCAGAGATACTTGAAAGTTGATCCAAGTAAAGTCATAGACAGAATCAGTGGCTCCTAACGCTGTGTTTTGCTGAGTCAGATATATGCGTCTGAGTGCGAGCTGAACATCAGATTGATTGGAAAGAGCATCCAGCAGCAGACCTTGGTGTTTTTACTCGACTCCCTCCAGGGCCGTTTCTTTAGCTGACCAATAATCGTGAAATCTTTCATCTGTTTTTAAACCGTCTTTAAAAAACCTCAGACTGACTCTGCAGGACTGTTGCCCTTTAGTAGATCAAAGTAGTGATGCACACAGAGCTCTTCAAATCTGGTGCTTATTAAAGACCAAAGGGTACTATTTTTGTGATCATTATTGAGAAGCTGGCAATGAGAGGCAAAGTTTTTTTTTTGTTGACTTTTTTAAGATCTAATTCCCACTTAAGAGACCCCCAAAGCAACATGAAAACAGCCCATCTATAAACATCTTAGTCAACAAAGAAACATAATGACATTTAAGTCTGAAGGGTTTGATTATGCTGTTTGTTGAATCTTCCACGCTCATTGAAAAAGTTGTGTCAATATTAACCATAGTGCCATATGTTAGTTTTATGCCGCTGCTGCTAATGAATCAGCTCATTTGTCATTCCTCAGTGCTTTGTCGTTTTATCTGCGTGTGGATTTGTGGGTAATGAAAGAAACACAGGGTTTAGGACCACAGTAGTGATGGTGTTTATCCTGTTTAAAGCAGATACACTCCTGCTCACCAGCCTGAAACAAGGGGCCTACCTGGCTTCATATTATTAACTCACTCACACAGAGGGTGGGATAGACTCGCACACTCTCCGAAGAGTGTGTACGTGTTGTGTGAAAGAGAGAGAGGAAGGTGCAGAGCAGTCCTAGACAGTGCGTGACGGTGACCGCTTTTTAATTCCAGCTGTAATGTGCAGGAGGGAGCGAGTGCCGCAGTAAAGCACAGGCGGCACCTCCTTTACTTCCTTTTCTCTCGCATACAATGGCGTAGTACGTCGAGTACAATCTTATCACGATCTGTACTGTACCTCCGTTCCTCACTGTCACTTCATATCATACCGGTGGCTGTAATGTCGTCCTGTTGTGTGACCCAGTGGTTCCCAGCCTCTCCTCCTGTTCTCCTGAATAATAAAAGACACAAGCCGTCATCCTGACTGCGCTGTTGCTCCGAGGCCAGCTTGCCTGTCTCCCAGGTGCCGTTCTGCACGTGGCTCCAAACCGCCAGCAGCAACCACTGTATCAGTTTACCTCGCTGCCCATAATCCAAATCTTCACACAGTTCTGCTCATTAAGCATTTCCAAGTCTGCTCTACGCCCCTTACTACTCTGTATTTTGCACATGCTGAGCTGATTCTTGAATGCCCTGGATCGAAAAAGCAGCATCTCATGTTATTTTTTAATGTTGTTACAAGGTTTCTGCGCTCATCTTACAGACGCAACCAGGCAGTGCCATGGTGGTTTACGATAACTGCCATGCTGTGCTAATCCTGTTGTAATATCTCACCCTGCTAATGCAATATTCATATAAGTGCCTCAGAGTCCTATGATGGTTGTCTATTAGTCATTATATGACAGTATGTTTTATTTAAATCCAGAACAGGGAAATCCAAAGCAGTGTGAACACAGTGTGCAGAGCTGTAAAACAGTCTACTGCGTTGAAATATCTTTTAAATAAAGTTTGGTGTGAATGTGGAGTTCCCCAAACATGTTATGTAAAATGTCAGGGTGTTTTGCAGCAATATTAGGCCCTGTATGCTTCTGTGTTGTTATTAATGTTGTTTTTTGTTGCTACATCTGATTCTCTGTGTGTCTTCCTAGGCCTACGGCTCAGGTTGTGATGTGGTGATCTTGGCGAGCGACTTTGACTGTGTGCAGATTATCCCTGGAGCTCAGAATGGGAACATACAGGTGGGCTGTGTGGAGTGCTCCCACCAGCTTGGCAGGGTAAGTGTTGACTGCACAGTCAGACACACTCCCACATGCAGTTTTCATTTTTCCATCAAGCCAGAAGACATTCTGAATTACCCCGAGCATTAAGAAGTACATTTAGCTTTGCATTCGCTGGTGTTTTACTGCCCATCCTACCCTTCTTATTGCTATCCTGCTCTCCTGCACCACTCCCCACCTACCCCTCTCCTGAGGGAATGGCTGAAGCACTGATGGGGTGAGTAATGTTTTGATGATGAACACAGCTCTTTATTTTTAGATTGCTGCGTCCTACGGAAATACAGTCTGCATCTTTGAACCTCTTTCTACCAACCCAAACAAACGCCACAAGGTGAGCATGCTTCTCAGTCCTGTTCAGGGGTTTGAATCAGTCTAATCGTGTGATTATGATTGTATGCCAATAACATTGCATGGTGTGTGTTGCTCTCCTGTCGCTAACAGCAGCTTAACTATCAGTGGCAAAAGACAGGACAGTTCTTCCTCGATGCCATCACCTACAACCTGGCATGGGACCCACAAGGTACACCAGTGCTTTCTGTGTTTAACTGATTCCCTCCCTGTGTGATGAAGTAAACGCTTGATACTCGCATATCCTATTACAGCCCACCCCAGTTTGTCTGGAACAACGTGTATTATGTAAGAGTCAGAGTGTGCATGTGGCTCTGTGTTCTGTGGTCGTCAACGTGGGACGAGAGGTGTGTAACATTGTGCTTTTTGTGTCCTCAGGGAACCGTATCCTAGCAGCAACCGAGCGGCTCCAGCTGTGGGCTCCTCCGCTGACAGATGCCCTGATAGAGGAGGAGGATGGGCAGCTGATGGAGGACAAGCCCCACCCTGTCCTGAACGACTGGAACTGTGTCTGGCAGTGCAAGTACGATTTAGCTTTAGCTAAAAACACCCAATGTGATTGACGGGCCAAAAATCTTTGCTGCTTCAAGGTTACATTCAATAGGTCAAGAGCAAGAACAAAATCCAAAGATGATTTGGTAGCCAGCCAAGAGCGTTATTCAGGAAAGCAGCTGGCTTTGGAAGTAAATGTTTTCATAGAGCTGTCTGTTTGGAAAGCAAAGGCAGAATATCCTGACAGTGAGCAGAGCAGTAAATTGATTTGACCGAGTGTCATGCAGACCTGTGTGTTTTACCTCATTGTCCTATTCTCAGCCTTGCTCTTTTGTTTTGTTAATGCCGATTGATTGTAGGTGAAAAAAGACTTCTTTCCTTGTTTATTGACAGCTTTCCCCTGAAACTCAAGGTCAAATTTAACTGTCGTGCTCAATTTTTGGCTTTGAATATCCTTTAAGTAAAACAGGAGCCAAATGTTTGTTTGACACTATTGCTGACATGCTTTCTTTTTATCATGCATTGTCTAAGTAGTCCCATATTATTAACTCTATCTCATCCCTTTAAAAGTTGTATCATAGCACACTTTTTGAGTAATAAAAACTTATCCTGTAACTGATTATACAAACCTTTCTGCATATAGATTCCAGTGAAAGGCTTTTATGTACTGTTGAAAGCCATCCCTTTGAATCAGTGGCATATGCTTAAAGCTGTGTAAACAGACACACAGACAAATAATACCATGTTAGTAATTGTCACCTGATGACACGTGCGCATACTGCGGATATGGACTAAAAGGAGAAATGCATCCTCTGAAATGACCAGCTCTCGGCCATGTACAGTGTAACCACAAAAACCCAGTGACAGCTGACTCTCTGCAGAAGGGTTTCCTGTGCAGAAGTGAATTTAGCTGAGATCATTGTTTATGTCTGTGTCTCTCAGGACTGCTGCATCTGTTCACATTGCCAAGTGGTCTCCTGACGGGGAGTATTTTGCAACAGTTGGGAAGGTATACGGCTGCAAAAAATATTGTTCAACATTCTTGGTAATCTGGAGCTCACTGGGGATGTTTGTGTTAATGCATTTTTTTTTGCATGTATTTGCATATACAGGATGACTGTTTACTTAAGGTGTGGTATCCCACCACGGGTTGGCGTTCTGCAGTGGTGGTCCAGGACCCCTCCGATAAAAAGCCTCCCCTCGTCCACTTCTCCTTTGTTTACCTGGCCCACCCTCGCTCTGTCACTGGCATGTCCTGGAGGAAGACCAGCAAGTTCATGCCCAAGTAAGAAACAGCAGATAGGAAAACACAGCAGCGATTGACAGGAGTAGTTTTTGTGACTTTTGGAGCACATGCTAGCTTGTGTTCACAATTAGGGGCTGCACGTTTTATCATGAATAGAAACAACTTGATTCTTAGGCCTCCAAATACCTGGTATGCTATGCTCTTGTGGTCGCTCTACAGTGATGTGCTCAAATGCTGGAGTGAAAAAAATGCAATTTATGTATTTAACGTAAAATGTAGATTTTTTTAGGACAGCTTTTAATGATCTACACTGAATTCTCACACCTGCGCTCAGGTTGAGGACAGACTGTCCTTTACAAAACTGCTGTTGAATCCTTACACAGTATCTGACCACCACCAGTAATTCTGTGTCTAGTGCTTTGGTTTTTCTTTTTTTCAGCTTTCAGGGGAAAAAAAATGAAATGGGTGGCAGCCAGGGACTCAGAGTTCACCGTTTGGCTGTTCCACTGACTGATTTCATTAATTTAATGCAGTCTCTCTTCATATTTCACTTTTGCCTTTCCTTTCTCCTCCAGCAAAAGATCTCTGGTTAGGGACAGAATGTAGTAAAGCCTCTGATACAGATTTTATTAGATCCATTCACGTTGTATTTTTTGGCTTTCACAAAGATCCTTTAAATAGTTTCTCAGTTTTGTGTACCAATATGTAGCGTAGTGGATTTAAGAATCATGCCGGTTGTTTCTTCTTAGGCAGTGAGAATCTTGAGTTATCAAATTTTATTCCTCCCACTTGCACGCCTACTTTAGCTTTCTTTCTTTTTTTTTTTTTTAACAGTTTAATGAATCGTGTCCAAAGTGGGCGTTGTTTGATGCATCAGGTCTTTTAGAAAATAGTTAAATGGTTTCAGAGGTTATAAAGCCACACACCCCTGCTGTTACAGTCCCAACACTTCATGCCTCATTATATTTTCCCTCAACACCTAAATCTGTCTCTCTCGTTCAGATTTAAAATGTTTACGTTCGACTTAAACAGGCTGATCAAAAGCAGCATAGACGTCACTCAATGTGTCACACAGTCTCATTCTGCTGTTCTTATTTAGGGGTTCTGTGTGCAATGTGCTGCTGACGTCCTGCGAGGATGGTGTGTGTAGGCTGTGGTCAGAGACCCTGCTACCAGAAGACAGCCTGCTTGGAGGACAGATATCTGAGAACACAACCTCCTTCAGCTCCAGTCTGCCAGGCCTGGCAGGAAATAAGGACAAGATCCAGCATGCTTTGGAGGTACACTCGCTTAAATCATCTGATCCTCCCTGGACAAACTCATCAAAGGGTTTATGAGATACTTTGTTTGATAATGAAATAACATCAGACTGTTCTCTGGGTTCAATTTCTAAACTGTGCTTCTTTAGTCAATCCATCACCTGAAGCATCTTCGCCGCGGCCGCCGACGGTCCTCCGCTTTGGTGGCTCACAGCGAGCTGCTGCCTTCTCAGCTTGGCACACAGGATGCACACACTCACCGCCACATTGCACACCATGCCAACGCGCTGTGTCACTTCCATATCTCAGCCAGTATTAACCCCAACACAGGTAGGGGGGCTGCCGAACATTTTTGTATTTCTTCGCTATAAAAATTGATGTCATAGTATAATCTTGTTGCCTCAGACTGTGCCTGCAAAAACAGCCCGCAGAGGCTGCGTTATTCTTTTTTATTGCCTTTGTTCCTCTTTATATGAAACTTAATGAATTAATAATAAAACTGCTGCAACACAACAGTAAGCCATTAACAGCAGAATTTGTTTTTAGATATGAAGTGAGAAGTGCAACGGAGTGATACAGCAGAAATGACTAGTGACTGGAAAAAACTGAATCACATCAGAGAGCATGACATTTAATACAGCTGTGAGCTCAGTAGAAGTGTTAGTTATATATCATTTAACCTTTTCCCACCGTCAGTCATCCAGATCTCCCTCCCTCTGCCTGTTGCAGATATCCCATCAGTTCTGGCTGACTCTGCAGTGTTCAACCCAGATGACGGCACTGGGGGTGGAGGCTTTGTGGTTCACTGGCTTAACAACAAAGACCTCAGTTTCACTTCCTCTATGGACCTCTTCATGCTGCAGCTCCGGAAGTTCTCTGAGCAGCAGCTGGAGCAAGGCACTGAGGACCCCCTAGATCCTGAGGGATCCCCAATGAAGTTTGACTTTGGTATGACCCACAATATTGCAGCACACGTATCTCAGAACATAGCAGCATGAAAATAACAACACAATCCTCTGTTTCTCCAGACCTGGATGAGATGTCTGACAAAGCCTCCTCAGAGCAGGGGGAAGAGGGTGAGGCGGGGGAACAGGGAAGCACTAAGGCCTCCTCACCTGGATCCAGCTCCAGCATGCCTTTGCCCTCCATGCTGCTGGAGAGGAAGATGGAGACTCTGACTACAGAGTGGAACAAGAGCCCTGACATGCTGTTCACCATCCACCCTGCTGACGGATCCTTCCTGGTCTGGCATGTGAAGTACCTGGACGAATTCAACCAGGGCATCTTCAGACAGGTTCAGGTGAGTCAGGAATTCACAACATGAAGAAGTTTCTGTTTGCAGATATCACAGGTCAGCAATCATTTTCCAAAGAGTTAATGTTGTTCAGTCGACTTAATAGTCTGTCACACACACACACACACACACACACACACACACACACACACACACACACACACACACACACACACACACACACACACACACACACACACACACACACACACAATCGGAGCTGTGTGGCTGTCGTTAAACTTTGTATTAACTGTAAAGTGACTCAGCAGCACTCCCCCAGCGTTATATAAGATTTCTAGTATTGAGCAGACATGCTCCTCTGTGCATGTGGGCTGTCCAAACTCTGTGGGGTCTTGGTTCACAAAACAACTTTCACCAGTTTTTCTAAAGTTTATCGGCTTCTTTTAATGCTTGAAATGTTCATGTTCAAAAATGTAAATGTTCAAACTTTTCAGTCAAGTTATCACCCGGTAATTATCTAGTTCTTGTGTGCAAAAGTTGTTTTGAGATATTTCAAATGATTGATTAGGCAAGTTGAATTCAGGTTTTGTGACCTTCTTATTTATTCATTTTCTGACTTTATTTGCCGTATCGGGAGAAAACAGGACTGTGGATAGGCTAGGAAACAGAGAGATCGAGGAGAGACGTGAGAAAGATGTGACAGGCTGGGAGCCAACCTGAGCTGACCGTTCAAGGCGTAACCTGTGTTTATGGGCTCACAGACTGCAAGGCCAGCAGTGCCCCTGTATATAAACATAAAAAAATAATTGTCCTCTCATGGTTATAAGCTGCGTAAAAGATACAATGCTTGTTCAATCAGCCATGCAACAGAAAAACCTGCCGTCAAGTTGCTCACTGAATTAATTATAATAAAATGTTGTTTGTCATTGAAACAGTAAAGATTTAAAGATGGTGGCTATCACTGGTTAAAAAAAGAGTCTTCAACCTCTAAAATTCAAAATATTTCAGAGGGAAAAACTCAAGAAGTCCAAGTCTGAAATTAGTGTCACTCTTTGTCGTGCCTGTTTTATTTCCTTGTTCACATACCCAGATCTTCACCTTGATATGTAACGAGATGCTCAGGCTGTAGCGCTCTGCAGTCCTCTTGTCCTCCTCAGCCTGCTTGTGCTGCGGCACTGCACTCATCTAACACAACAGAGTACTTCTACCTCTAGCTGATAGGGATCCTTTAAAATATGCTTGGATTGGCCCAGATAAGATCTGCTGCGGGTATCTTTAACAAATAAGTTCACACAGCATTTCTCAAGTCTGTTCTTTTTGTGATTACTTGGCTTGGACTGCAGCGATGCAGAGCTACGTTCAGTCTCATACCTGTAGCTGTCTTGTTTTCTTATCAGATCAAAAAAAAGACTAAAGACCTTTCAGCATGTTGTACTCAGAGCTTGGTTTTCCTTTGTGCACATGTGAGGCACATGCAGACTGTGAAATGTAAACTATATAATGCTTTATGTGTTTATGGTATAGCTTTAAGTATGGTTGTTATTGTTGCAGCTGATGAACTGAGAAGCTGACATCACACTGTATAAATTGTTAATTAGGTCTCTGTAGAGGTGAAGGACCATCGAGGATATAAACCTGTAGTAATGCTTTGATTCTCTTCTAACTCTCCCTTCAGGTGTCTTTCTCGTCTCGTATTCCTGTGGCTTTTCCTACCGGCGATGCCAACTCCCTGAGTAAAAACATCTTGATGTACGCCTGCACTCTGACTGAGAATGAGAGCGCCGGCTCAGTCGAGCAGGGGAGGATGGCCTCTCGCGTGTCCCACTCTGCTTCAGCCTCAGCAGGCCTGGGCTCACCCGCCCTGGCCTCCTCTCCCAGCCCTCGCCCTGGTATCAGTCCTGCGGTCATGATGGTCTCTAAGCATGTTGATGGATCTCTCAACCAGGTAAAGGAGTGTAACAGAGTAAAATTCATAAAATTCACAACAGCACCGAAGTATCTTGTCATAACTAAATAAAATTGAGAGTGTTGTGTTTGTACCTCTTAAAAATTCAGCCCTTCTCCTGTCTGTGTTTGGTTCCTCCTATCTGCAGTGGGCAGTGACATTTGCTGAACGTTCTGCCTTCTCTAACGTGCTGACGGTCTCACACAAGTTCAGATACTGCGGTCACCGCTTCCATCTGAACGACCAGGCCTGCCACACAGTGCTGCCTCTGCTGCTAACATCCTCTCACCATAATGCCCTGCTCACCCCGCCCTCAGCTCCGGGCAGCCTGGAAGGAGAGCAGCCTCCAACCTTTCCCATACCAAAGGGACTTCCTAGGTATAAACGCATGGAGAGAAGAGACAGAAAACAGTGATAAAAATTATATAACCATAAAGATAGGCCAAAGAGCACAGATGCTTCTTGCTGTAACACGTTGTGACACGCTTCCATATTTGATGGTCTTATTATGCTCTGCATGAAACATGAGCTCTGTGACAACATTACTTTTCCATTAGCAGGAAACAGCTTCGCAATGCAGCTACAAGGACCTTCCATGATCCCAATGCTATCTACAGCGAGCTGATCTTGTGGAGGGTGGACCATATTGGACCTTTGTCCTGCACTGGAGGGGTCTCTGAACTGGCCCGTATCAACTCTCTGCACACCTCTGCCTTCAGCAATGTTGCTTGGCTGCCTACGCTCATACCCAGCTCTGTGCTTGGTAAACACACCATGCATTTCAAATATATATGTGCATTTGAACCTGAGGGATTAATGACGGTGCAGAATCCTTTCTGTGACGAGTAAATGCTTATTCAGAGCTGTATGATGGAGGAGCACAATCTGGCCATCTGCTATTGCTCATAGAGCAATACAATATTAGGTTCACTTGTCAGGACAGAGCTCAGCTAAATTAATTCACGTTATATAATGTCTTTCCGGCCACAAGAGCACATCTCCAATGCTGTGCAGTCCAGTCCAGTCCTACAAACTCTGTGTTTTGTCCCTCAGGAACTTACTGCAACAGCGCCAGCGCCTGCTTCGTGGCATCAGATGGCAAAAACCTGCGTCTCTATCAGGCTGTGGTGGACGCCAGAAAGCTACTAGATGAGCTGTCAGATCCCGAAACGTCTGTGAGTGAACACGCACGCACACACACACACACACACACACACACACACACACACACACACGCACGCACGCACACACACACACACAAAAACACCACCAACAACAACAACAACACACACGTATCATAGAGCCCTAGAATAAACACACTCATTGTGCTCATTGGGATGTAGTTATCTCTGTTCAGGGACTCTGTGCAGGGAGTTAACTGAATTTGGGTCTTTGTGTATCACGATGTGAGTCTGTGGAGCTTTTGTCACTAACGACCAGGTAAAGAGTCCGCTGCAGGGTTGTGCAATGCAATCAAGAGTGCATCAATCTTGACAAATGAAAGATCTGATATTGCGTAACCAAATTATTCCCTGATATTGAATCCATGTTCCAACCCTGATTTTCAGCATCTTACTGTTTATTTGACTAAGATTGTATTTAAAAACTTTGTTATTTCACAACGAGAACACTCTGTCCCCATCAAACACTCAGATCTAATATTTTACTGTAAGTGGAGCCGTGTTCTTTCATAAGCACTTTCTTCCATACTCTCCCTTCTTAACAACAAGCAGCCAGATTTCTCTGCACTTTCTCAGTAAATCATTATTTCCACATTATTTCTTTTAGCACAGTTATGGTTTCAGATGCAGCAAAGTAAATGGACAGTTTACCATTTCCTGTGTGTGTGTCTCTGTTTAGAAACTGGTGGGCGAAGTGTTCAACATCGTCAGCCAGCAGTCCACTGCCAGACCTGGATGTATCATCGAGCTGGACGTCATTACAAACCAGGTTAGGAGCTTCCCCGTGTTTTTTACACCTACCACAAGACAGTGAAACTCAATGCTTGAAATCCGGAGACATTTTAATCAATAGCCATCGTAACCTGTTTGAATGTGTCTCCATGTCCATTCAGTGTGGTGCCAACACCCAGCTGCTGCATGTCTTCCAAGAGGACTTCATTCTAGGTTACAAGCCTCACAACGAGCCAGAAGCATACACGTCAGCCTTCCCATGTGGTGAAGGTAGAGTCCGCTGTTTGACCAAAGTTCTTTTTGGTTCTGTTTCCTTTAACCTTAATGAATCTGAATCTTTATTTAATGAAAGACATAGATAGCTAAGGCTTCATTTGACTGTATTTAGTTTCTTTACAGTTGTAGTACTGCTGTCCTCTTCTGTTCTTATGTTTTATTTCTATTTTTATACTGACATTAATGCACCGACTACACTAATACAAATTCCTTATGTGAGTTAACCTACATGAAAATTCTAATTCTGAATATCCAGATTTCCAGCCTGCTCCATTCTCTGAGAAGTTCTTCCTGGTGGTGATAGAAAAGGATCTCAACAGAAACTCAGTCCTGCAGATGTGGCATCTGCACCTTAAATCTGTGCAGGCTTGTGTTGGTATGTAGAGTTCACACAACCGAGCTCTTATTTGCATAAATGAAATTTTTCTGGATATTTATAAGCATGCAAGCATGAATTTTTAATGTGAAGCCTACCATTTTATCTACATCAAAGTGCCTCTACCAAGCTAAAATATTCCTGTATCTGTGCCCAGATGAGCCAAGCCCAGATTTCAGCTCCCAGAGCCAGCTCATGGTTCCCAATCAGGCTGTGAACCCAGACTCTTCTCCAGAGACATCACCTGTCAGACCTCTGCCACGGTCAGCCTCCACGGCCAACCTACAATCAGCCAGCAAACTCATTCTCAGCTCCAAGCTCGTGTACAGCAAGCGGCTCGACCTGCCTCATGGGGTGGAGGTTACCAGGGCAACCCCTTCTGCAGGTTGGAATGGGCACACACTTCTCACACATATGACTCATATGTTACTGTTCCCAGTTTGAACCAAGAAAAAAACAAAACCTGCTTTTTCTGCCTGAAAGTGGCTATCTGATAGAGCCCTAAAGATCTGCATTGACTTTTAAAGGACTGGAAAAAAAACATATTAGTGATAAAACAAGAAATGAGGCAGAACTGCAACATTAACACCTGCCTTCATGCTGTCTTTTGTTTCTTCTAGGTCATCTTAGTTCCTCCTCCATCTACCCCGTGTGCCTGGCTCCGTACCTGATTGTTACTACCTGCTCTGACTCTCGCGTGCGGTTCTGGCGCTGTGCTGTGGAGGGTGATGAAGGGTTTAGTGAAGATGACAGAGACAACCGGGCATACCGCTGGGAGCCCTGGGTCCTGATGAATGAGGAGGAGGACAACAACAGCGCTGTTGGCGTGTCGGGGCGGCCTGTAGCTGTTTCCTGCTCCTATATCGGCAGGCTGGCTGTGGCCTTTAAAAAGCCACGACAAGGGCAGGTAGGAAATGAGAATTTGTCTCCATGATAGTGTTTTAAAACTCGTTTTATTGTAGAGATCACCTTATGGAAAAACCATACAATGAAAATGTAAATACAGTGAGTAAATGTAATAAGTTTTAGAGTCTGGAGCCTCAAGAAATAGATAAAAATACCAAACGTCAGCATATTTACATTTATGGGAAGCACAGAATGGCAAGAGAGGAATGTGAAAACATACACATATCCATGGTCCACTATACAGGGCAGTGTTTAAAGTCTGCACTGACAATCATTAACCATTAGTCACAGAGAAATGATAGAGCCTGACTTTCTGAGGATCTACGTCCTTGCAGCTGCTCTGTAGGTAGAGCTGAATGTCTTTAATCTAAGACTGAGATCAGGTCCACAAACAACAGTCAGAGCTTGGGTGTATTTAATGATGTGATGCAGGATAGACGGCACCAGCAGGGCGTTGTTATGAGCCCAGATCACTTTGCCTTGTGATTACAGCAAGCCTGGTTTAGTCACTCCAGTGTTTCCAGAGAGTTCGAATGTATTTCTGGTCCTAGCTGACTTGGAAAAAGGGGCAGAGAAGAAGCGAGCGTTCTCATGTTGTTGCTCAGACGTCACACAGACACAGACATTTCTTTCTTTCAGTCGCTAAGTGACTGTGAACAACAAATAACTGAACAATGATGTAGCCTTAAAGGTATATTCAGTAGAAATGAAATGAGTTTGTTCAGTGCTACTGTATAAACACTATGATACAAGATGATGGTGCCCGCGGAAGTGTTAACAAAAACAAAACAGTTTTACATTTAAGTGATCGGACACTTTCTTGAACACACTCATGAATATCATGATTTCTCTACAGTCTGTTTTTAAGTCTGTTCTGCTGAATGCTGCTGTATCCCAGCATCTCAGAGTGTAACTCAGTGTCCTTTTTTAAATCTCTTGTTAAAACCCACTTCTGTCGTTTGGCTTTCTCTTGATCGTTGGCTTTATTAGACGAGTCCTTAGCCTTAAATCATCAAGTATTGGATTTGAATCTTATCAGTTTATTTATTTGTACTCTTTTTGTTTGTTTTTGATTTTTAGCTCTCTGTAACTTGTTTATGAAAAGTCCTGCATACTGTAAATTAGGGCTGGGATGATAGGCTTTTCTCCTGATTTGATTCTTCTACAATTCTTTAGATGCCAATTTGATTTAAATTGCGGTTCTACGATGTTGTAGATTTTTTCAAATTTTAGTCTGCATTTTTAACACCAGTTAAACAGTTGAATGATTATGATTGTCTACTGACTGTTCCAGGAAACATATTTCCCCCCAAAATACACATCACATGTAAGTCAGTTTTTAAGATTTATTCTTAAATTTGAAAAAATAAAAAATTAAAATCGATTTTTGAACGTAAAAATTGATTTAAAAATTCTAAAACAAAAAATCGTGATACTTATGTGAATTGATTTTTTTTCTCCCAGCCCTACTGTAAATGACATTTTTATTATAATTATTGAAATAATTGTATTATACGCACTATTCCTTTAATGTCATCTCCATCAGCTGGGCTTCTTACAGGCTTGGGTATCACTATTTGAAAAGAGCTGAGTCCCTTAGATTGACAGTGTTCTCTTGGGACTGTAGATGAATCAGGTAAACTTGAATCCATCAGTTTGAGGACAAACCTGTGCAGCAGACTGAGGTGTTCATGATACTAACCATTCATGAACTCTAGATAGATTCTATTCAGGACCTTGGCCAGCTGTCTCCTCTTTGGAGAGAAGCCAACAACAATCCTTCCTCATGCGTATGATCGTGTTTTGACTCAGAGTGTGCACAGAGCGAGTGCTATTCACAGACAGGTCTGTGCATTGTGTTTGTGAAAGAGAGTGAGAGCAGGGCAAAGAGGGGCTGAGTAAATCAATGTGCCGTGTGCAGCAATACAATGAAACAAGATTTTACCCATTCTTAATGGCAAAAAAGCAGAAAATCAATATGTGGCGGTCAATGTTGATATTGTAGCAGGCCGCCACAACAAATCAATGTATGGGAAACACGGTGTTCACAGTGTCTGCAGTATTTTTAGATTTGATGGACTCGAAGAAAATAAGACTTTAAGAAGTGTCCCTTTTGCTCTCAGCTGCAGGGCTCTGGAGAGGACTTCTCCATGCATGTGTCCATCTATGAGTGTGAGTCCACTGGTGGATCAGAGTGGGTTTTAGAGCAAACCCTCCACCTGGATGACTTTACCAGACCCACCTCAACTCTGGATCCCAGAGTCAGCGTGGACTCCAACCTCTTTGTCTACAGCAGGTAAGGGTTAGAGAACACTCCTTGTGTGTTTTTTATCAGCATCTATGTTTTTCTAAAGTCTCATGAATTATTTCTTTTTATCCCCTTCAGGTCTGACCTGTACATGACCAGGGACCACAGCTCCCCCAACATAAAACACTATGTCCATCTGGACTGGCTGTCAAAGGAGGACGGATCTCACATCCTCACTGTGGGAGTGGGCTCTAACATCCTCATGTACGGTCGTATCTCTGGCATGGTCAACGAGCAAACAAGCAGCAAAGAGGGAGTAGCTGTCATCACCCTCCCTCTAGGGGGCAGCATCAAACAGGGCATCCGCTCTCGCTGGATCCTGCTGCGCTCTGTGGACCTGCTGTCCTCTGTGGATGGCACACCATCTCTGCCAGTCTCCCTGTCCTGGGTGAGGGACGGCATATTAGTGGTGGGCATGGACTGTGAGATGCACGTGTACGCTCAGTGGCATCAGGACAAGAAGCCTGGAGAGGGAGACGAGGGCAACCTGTCATGTGCAGACATCGCAGGAGGTCAGACAGCTTCTTCCTCAGTCTTTGAGGGCAGAGCGAGGTCGAAGAGTGTTTTTGAAGGAAACACAGCTGTGGATGAGGCTCTTCGGGCTCCAGCGGGACTTCAAGAAGGGGGGCTGTTTGAAGCAGCTCATTCACTGTCACCGACGCTCCCCCAGTACCATCCTACCCAGCTGCTGGAGCTCATGGACCTGGGCAAAGTTCGCAGGGCTAAGGTGAATATCTGCCCTATTTAGCTGCACTGAAACATGCTAAATGTTGACTTGAAGTGCAAGTCTGTCAAGAGTGAAACAATAAATCTTTAAATATTGGGTTATATAGTACAGGGCGCCCCCATTTCTGGTGCAAACTGCTGTTTAATCCTCTGCGTCTCTATTTGTCAGGCCATCCTTGCTCACCTGGTGAAGTGCATTGCTGGTGAAGTTGCCGTGGTGAGGGATGTGGAGGCTGGTGAGGGGGGAGCCAGGAGACATCTGTCCCGGACCATCAGTGTGACTGGCAGCACAGCAAAGGACACCATCGTGGCGGGCCGCGACGGGGGCAGGGACTACACCGAGATCAATTCCATCCCTCCCTTGCCCCTCTACTCCCTCATGTTGGCAGACCTGGACACATCATACAAAGGAGCAGAGGACGCTGCTAAGGGAGCCAAGGGGCCTGAGGGAGATGGAGTCCATAAGTCCAAGGAGGACCAGTACTCTGACCTTTTCCAGGTTGGCAGAGTTAAAGAGTTAGGTTTGGTTACAGAGGCTGGAGTCCACTAATACTATTAACTCATTTCCTCCTGTGTTTAAAGGTGCCAACTGTTACCACCGATGACTTTGTGAACTTTGCCACCGACAAACCAGAGAAGAAGTCACGTGTAATCAACCTTTCACAATACGGACCAACCTACTTTGGACCTGAGCATGCTCAGGTAATGCTGCGTCTTTTAGGAGAGAATAGATTTTCTAGAGAAAATAGGGAGGTGGTGCGATTAATCTTGATTATTCATGATTACATCTGAACAAGTTTTCTATTCAGATTGTTTTGAAAGTGGTTTACAAAGAGGTTATAGGCTGTTCATAAGAGATATTTAATGGAGTGTTCTGTTAGAACCAGCAACACAGTAAAAACCATCCCTGCACCGTACTTGCCCAATATTTTGCATGATTTATTTTTCCATTATTGCAACATATTATTACATTATAATATTATGCTAATCCGCACAAATAACCTGGTTACTCCAGGAAAGCCTTGACTTGAAGTTCTGCACAGACATTGACATTTAAAGACCACCTTATAAATCAAATCAGACCATCATTATTTCATCCGTTCAGTCTTTTTGATCTTTGAGTTCTTCGATGCTCTCGCTCATATGTGTTTCTTATTTATGTATTAGGTGTTGTCCAGTCATCTCATGCACTCCAGCCTGCCAGGACTGACCAGACTTGAGCAGATGTTCCTCGTGGCTTTGGCTGATACTGTTGCAACCACCAGTGCTGAGGTTGCGAGCTCCACTGATCAAAAGTACACAGGTCTGTTTATGTATTTATTCTTGCAAATATATGTATTTATGTGCATAAGAGATACTGCCGTAACTGTGATATTTACGGTAACATAGATAAAGCTGTTCAGGTCCAGTATCTGCAATATTGATAATCAAATCTCAAGTACGAGACGCAGCAGACTGAAAATCTACCGTAGAATTTTTAACACTGATAATGACTTCACTGAAGACTTTCTCACACAATCATGCCCGGGCATCTCACTTCGACAGGTTGTTGGTGTGAAAACTGAAACTTGTCTTCAACTAATACAGATTTCTTGGCTTCTCTACACGTCTACTTTAACTTCATGGATGCTGTAAAGCTCTAATAGCATTTCAAACAAAGTGAAGGCCAATCACATGACAGTATGACAGCTCATTGTGTCATGTCAGACAGGAAAGCAATGCTGCTGTAAATGTTATTATGATTGAAGTCAATTTTTTTCTGCTCTCATTGTTTCTGGTTGTCACATGTGGATTGCTGATGACATTTAGGCATTGTTGTTATTGCTTTCTCTTCATGTAGAAGTTTCTTTTTCTTTATTTGAAAGATATTTCTGTAACGCCGATTTCAAAGCTGTTTTGATGCTCTGCTAACTCGGGTTTAATGTATAAACCACAGAGCTGTCACTCTGCACCTCACAGGGAAATTGTAAACCCTAGTGATAGGCCGAGCTGCTGATGTTGTGATGTTCACAGACTTCTCTGAGTCGGGACTTGAAAAACAGTTTAATACCGGGGGCTGTTTGGGCTGCTGCTTGCTAATGTGAACATCATAGGTTTTGTCAAGGGGTCTTATTATCAGGTAAGACCGGTCCTGCAGCCAATGCACATGATCTCCCCTCTATAAACTTTACAGGCAGATAGACTCCTGGAAAGTTTTCATCCTTCGTATTGACTTTAGATCTTGTTACCAATCACCCTATGAGCTAACAAATGTGACCTGACCATCCACCTAAGCTATTATTACTCTCGTGAAAAAGAGCAACATCTGAGTTGTATAAGAGTGAAGACACCGAGCAGAGTATGCAGAAGTAACACATCAAAACCTTCACTTTGAAACTGCTCCATCCAGCTTATATGAGCTGAACATTTTTACTAGTCCAGGGTGCTACCGAGCGGTGCGCTCGTATCTCAGACTTTACGATCAGTCACCGATTGAGATCATTTAATCTTTACACCCCTCCTACTTACTCTAAAATACTTCAGTTATCATCAATTTGTTTCTCTTCCAAATGTGGGTTTTATGCACACATCTACATTGTAGTCACACTGCAATCCAAGCTGTCGTGTTTAAAATAGTAACCCTGATTTATTCAAGTTCTTTCGAGTGAAAGGCACGTCCTGATTGAAGCATCCTTGAGCAAAACACGGCCCAGCTCCATGGTTTTCATTGTTTATTCTGCTCTCATGCTCTGATCAGTCAAGGGAGAGGACAGGCCACCAGAGGATGAATGAAGAACTGCCTTAATTCATATTAAACACCTTGCGTGAGAGATCATGATGCACACATAACAGCAGAATAGACTCGAATTGTAAATTGGCATTTCAGCTCGCCTCATTGTCTAGCGGTCCATTTAATGTTACCCTTGGTGAGAGATAATATCCTAATAAAGTCAGCTAAAGGTTGTAGACAATAGCTAAGCATCATTTCCTTGATTGTGTGTTCCTGGATTTATATCTGCAGCCATCAGATCTCAGCATAAACAGAAGTGCCTACACTGTTCTTGTTAACTCTGCATAAACAAACACTGCTCTTATTCTATTATCTTCATATTTTTTCTCAAATTTTCCATCATATTTATTTATTTAGTCTTTTGAGGAGAAGACATTAGCAGGTTGTTCCAGGGTAAAGTAAGCACACAGAGGCTAAGACAGTTCAAGGATGCAGATATGGTCTCTGAAAGACGTGCATGAACTTGAGTGATACTTGAGTTTTTAAATGCCTTTGCTGTTTTGTCACATGGCAGCCATATTAATAGAGCTGTTGCTACAATAATTAGACTAAAGCTGACAGCTCCCTGCTGTTGTGTTTGAGTAGGTGCTGAGGCTCTTGACGAGTGTGGACTGAGGTACCTGCTGGCCATGCGTCTCCACACCTGCCTGCTCACCTCTCTGCCCCCACTCTACCGTATGCAGCTGCTCCACCAGGGTAAAACACTCTACCATATACTTCCCCTGTGACATATATAAAACATGTTCAATGTGTCAAAAGAAACATTTTATCATCAGATTTGTGGTCATGAATATTTTTTTCATTTTGGGGCATCTTCCTCTCTCCTTCCCCCTCCTCCACTATCTCTCTCTCTTTCCCTCTTCTCTGTGGCAGGCTTGTCAACATGCCACTTTGCGTGGGCCTTCCACTCAGAGGCAGAGGAAGAGTTGCTGAACATGATCCCCGCCATGCAGAGAGGCGATCCGCAGTGGTCTGAGCTCAGAGCTGTGGGAGTGGGGTGGTGGATACGTAACATCAACACTCTGAGGAAAATGGTGGAGAAGGTACCAGAACTAAATCAGACCGTAAAATGCAAGATTAATGAGATGTCCGCTCATGCAAATGTTAGATAGTTTAATATTTTGTTACATGAGAACAGTGACATACAACAACATGGCTGACTGATATTTTTTTATAAGGAAACATGTCATCTTTCCCATGCTGAAGGGCTTTAAAATACATTTCCTGATCTGATCAATACAACAAGCGGTCTGAGGAACAACATGCAGCCAATGTTTTGATACTGTCATTCTTCTGTGGTCTTTAAAGTGAGCTCAAAAGCAAATCAAATCTTCATTAAATAACCAGATTATCGTCATGTTTCTGTGTTTCCAGTTAGGTAAAGCTGCTTTCCAGAGGCACAACGACCCTTTAGATGCTGCTCTGTTTTACTTGGCCATGAAGAAGAAAGCTGTCCTGTGGGGTCTCTTCCGGTAGGACATGAATACTTTGATTGACTGGCTGCATGTTACATTTCAATTATGTTTTTCACGGGACCTTTAAAACGGCAATAATTGGTGTGTTCTCACTCTCTCAGGTCTCAGCACGATGAGAAGATGACTCAGTTCTTCAAGAACAACTTTAGTGAAGACCGCTGGAGAAAGGCAGCTCTAAAAAATGCTTTCTCCCTGCTGGGAAAACAGCGCTTTGAACAGTCAGCTGCTTTTTTCCTGCTGGCCGGATCACTCAAAGACGCCATAGAGGTGCGAACTACACACACTCAGCAACACAGGGAATACACCGACGTGGCTTATTATAGTTGAGCTTGTTCCAACGCCCCATTTTCATTTTCCTCACAGTGGAAACTTGGCATTGCTTTCTTTTGTTGCAGCATTGAGTATAAAAATGTGTCCGTATGAGAGTTAACTAACTACATCACTACAGTTTGGATATCTGTTGTTGAGGGATCTGGATCTTCTACAGCCTTACAATCACATGAGGGGAGTCTAAATTACACTGATAAGATGCATACAACGCTTGTACAGCTCCCCTTGGTCTGTGTGTCCATACAGCACAGTCATAATATACAGATAGCCGTAAAAGGAAATAGCAACATGTGTTTTTATTACCTCAGCTCCACATACTGTTGTGTTTGCTTTGAAAAACTTTGCTCTTTATTACCTCAGAGGTAATTTTTAATGTTGCTTTAGCAGGTTTTAACTCATCCTCTTCTATGTTATGTAGGTGTTGATGGAGAAGATGGAGGATCTCCAGCTAGCCATGATAGTAGCAAGGCTGTATGAAGCTGACTTTGAGAACTCATCCACCTGCCAAGGCCTGCTGTATGAGAAGGTCCTTGGTTGTAACAGGGATGGAAGTGGTTACCACTGCTCCAGACTGCACCCTGACCCCTTCCTCCGCAGCATAGCCTACTGGATCATGAAGGATTACACCCAAGCCCTGGACACGCTTTTGGAGCGAATCCCCAAAGAGGATGATGAAAACCCTGGTCAGTTGTTTGCAGAGGTTTTCACTCAGTATTACACAGAATGATCCACTAAAGCCGGTTCGCCCCGCTCAGTATCTGCACTTTGTTCTACGCTTAAAAGCCTCTTCCTTTGTTCTTCTTCCTGCGTCAGATATGATGGTGAAATCCTGCAACCCTGTGGTGTTCAGTTTCTATAACTACCTGAGGACTCATCCTCTCATCATCCGCCGACACTTCGCAAACCCCGAAGGCACAGCAACCACCGTGGGCCTCACTGCAGAGAAAAGCAGCGCGGATGAGATTAATCTTATAGAGCGCAAACTGTTCTTCACCACTGCTAATGCACACTTCAAGGTGGGCGAGCCACAAACAAGACCACTCACTGATATTAAAGCCTTTGAAAAAGCTTCAACCCTCTTACTCTTAATGTGATTAGCTACAAAAGGGGGGGAAACGTGATGGTTATGTATGGTTTTAACTATGTCTTAATTCTTTGTAGGTGGGCTGTCCAGTTCTTGCTCTAGAAGTTCTCTCCAAAATTCCCAAAGTTACCAAGAAATTAACCTCCTCGTCTCTCAGCAAAGCGTCTTCAAAGGCCAACTTGAACTCTAGTCAACCCCTGGAAAATGGCACCCAGGGAAGCGTGGACTGGGGCTTCCCATCAGCCCCTACTCAAGCCTGGGGTGGTAATGATAGTGCAGGTGGGTTGGACTGGAGCCAGCCTGTGGTCAAGGTGGAGGATGAGGGGCTGAACTTAGAATGGGGAGACGACAAAGATGAGGATTCAGATGAGGATGACGGTCTGACCATGAAGAAACCAGAGGCTGAGACCAAAGATGGAGGATCAGAGAGCAGCGGCAGCAAACTGCAGAGAGAGAACTCACAGGTAGGAGGAGAAAGCTTTAATTAAAACACAAAAAACTTCAGATCTTTCTGTCTGTGTTGTAGAGTTTTGTTTTTGTATGAACTGTCCCTCCTGAAAATCTGAAAACACAGACACGCGTTGAGTCAAAACAAAACCTGGGGGTGTCCCTCTGATGGGTGAACTGAAATGAAGCGGCATTTTCTAATTTGCAGCCCACATTTTTGCATTTAAATTAAACATGTTTTGAATTGATTAGAGGCTGAACTGGTATGACACTGGACCTAAAGAGATAAAGATTTGGGAAGAAATCAATCCAGCCAGTGCTGAGCTCTCGAACTTGTAATCCATGTCAGTATTTTCTGAAAGGTTCTGTAATTCCACATTGGAAATTTGCGACTCAGGATGTATTTTATATTGTGCGCCTCTCTGGAAGCCTGCAGATAGTCAGCTTAAGACCAGTTTAAAAAATGCTGCATTAAGGTCAGGGAGACTGCGGGGTGTGGGCCGTTTTCTATTAATTCTTTCTTGTTAATGCCAGGGAGAGTCGGAGGTAGACGTGATCGCTGAGCAGCTGAAGTTCCGCGCCTGTTTGAAGATCCTGATGACAGAGCTGCGTACGCTGGCCACAGGCTTTGAGGTGGATGGAGGGAAGCTCCGTTTTCAGCTCTACAGTTGGCTGGAGAAGGAGATAGCGGCCATGCATACCATCTGCAACTATAAGGTACACATAAATAGCTTTAAATAGAGTCCTTTGAGCTGAATGTTCACTCCTGCAGTAGAAGGTCTTAGTAAAAAAATAACCGACCTTTTTGTTGCATAGGTGGAAGGAAAGGAGGAAGATTCAGAGGTGGAGCGTTGGGGAGAGCGCACAGCGTCAATTGACATATCAGATGATATCTTGGAGCGCACAGACGCCGGGGCGTACGAGCGCCACCAGATGGAGCGGCGCCGCCTCCAGGCCAAGCAGCAACACTCAGAAAGGCGTAAGGCGTGGCTGAGGAAGAACCAGGCCCTGCTGAGAGTGTTCCTGTCCTACTGCAGCCTTCACGGAGCCAAGGGGGGAGGAGTCACCTCTGTCCGTATGGAGCTTCTGTTCCTCCTGCAGGAGAGCCAGCAGGTACACACATCCACTCATGCATCCCCCCCCCATGCATGATCTGTACTTTACTTGATAAATGCCAGACTATCTCTCTTCAGCAAAATGGAGCCTACATCTTTCTGCTTTGTTCTCTAGGAGACCACGGTGAAGCAGCTGCAGTCTCCGCTGCCTCTGCCCACGACACTGCCTCTGCTGTCAGCTTGCATTGCCCCCACCAAGACAGTCATAGCCAATCCTGTTCTCCACCTCAGCAACCACATCCACGACATCCTCCACACCATCACGTTCATGGAGAATCCTCCACATCCTGAACTCTTGAATGATCAGGTCAGAATCGCCATTTCGCTCTAAGTATAGAAGTCTCCAGCTTGTTCGAGTGTTTTCTGCAGCCGTCCATTTTGAGTAACTGAGATGTTTCTTTTCACTCTCAGGTGAACGCTCTGCACACACTTGCAGCATCTCTGTCTGCTTGTGTCTATCAAGCTCTGTGTGACAGTCACAGCTACAGGTATCTGTCCCTCTTTTATTTGGAGGTGAAGTTTTAAACATAGTTGTTTTAAATTGTCGTGACTCAGTTGATTGTTCTGCTTTTGGCTTTGCAGCAGCCAGGCAGAGGCCAACCAGTTCACAGGGATGGTGTATCAGGGCCTGTTGCTCAGTGAAAGGAAACGACTTCGCACAGAAAGCATCGAAGAACATATCACTCCCAACTCGGCTCCAGCACAGTGGCCAGGTAACAAAGGAGCTGCTGTCTCAGCAGCTGGTGTTTTTAAGGTAGATTTCACCCTTTTCTTCCACACGCCAGCTGTCCGTGAACATTTTTGCCATAATGCTTTTGAGTAGTTTTTAATGAGACTGAACTGATCGTCTTCCTGAGACCTGACATAATGTATAGGAAGGGGAGATGGCATATGTGTGCGCATCAAAGACATGTTTGAGAGCAGAGGGAGAGGGAGAGAAGAGCAAAGCAGGCAGTCTGTGTTTATGCAGAGAGGCAGATGGTGTTCTATAATAGGAGCTTCATGGCCTCTAGGAAGGAAGCGAAAAGACAGAGACTGATCACGCTATCATACAAATGTTACACAAACGCATTGTGCATGTTTTTTTTTTTTGTTCTGTGGGGGGAGTCTTTTATTTTTGAAAATTAATGGTACACCATCTGAGCTCATGTTGTGTTTATGTGTGTCCTCCCACCTGCAGGTGTGTCGTCCCTGATTTCTCTGTTGACGTCTGCACGAGAGGAGGACCAGCCCAGGCTCAACGTGCTGCTGTGTGAAGCGGTCGTGGCTGTTTATCTGGCGCTGCTCATCCACGGCCTGGGCACTCACAGCTGTAATGAACTCTTCCGCCTGGCAGCGCATCCCCTCAACAACCGCATGTGGGCCGCAGTCTTTGGGGGAGGGGCCAAAGTCGTTATTAAGCCAAAGAGGCCCGAGGCCCCACCAGGTAGAAAAGTTACTTTGTAGTAACCCTTTTATGTTCATCATCATCATCATCGCTACCTTTTGTCTTCCTCACCTCTCTTCCAAGTATTTTCTCACTCCTGTTCTCTCCTGTTGTTGCTGTTTTTCTCCATCTGTTGACTTCTTTCACTCTGACTTATCTGTGATCTGTTACAATTCATTGTACCTCACTCAGCAGCCACTTTCCCCTGACACCAAGCTCAGGGTAGGAAGTGTACAATGTGGTTCACTAACAAATGATTAAAATTCCACTGCCTCTTAAACTGACATCGGCATGTTAGCCCTTCCCAGCTAACTCAAATATCATATAAAGTGTGATTTTTTTTGTGTGTGGAAATTGTAAAAACAAGGCTGTTTCTTCAGCTGCTCAGTTGACACCCAGACCCCCTTTACACTATTTTAGGAACTCACGATTTATAAGTTAAGATATTGTAATTATTATTCTCGTCACTGATGGTCTGGTTAGGTTTGAGACGTAAAAAAACGTCCTCACAGGAGCTTTAACTGAAGAATGTAAATGCAGATACTCTCTTAAGAAGTTTTTAAAGACTAAATACTTTCTAAACTTTATTACTGACATGTACCCTGTGGGTCCCTGTAAAGGGTATCCCACCAGGTCCTCCAACTTAATTTGGTGTCTTTTCTCATTTTTGTTGCACCATTTGTTAAAAATTCAGTCTTGCTGTAATGACTGATATAAAAAAACAGAAAATGTGGACAGTTTGCCACCAAAGTGTTAAAGCTAATTAAAGAAACATATCTTAGGAATATTTGATCACAAGTATTTCTCTTTTAAGATGGAGTTAGGGCTGCTTTAAAGAAAAATAAGTTAAGACTTCCTTTCAAAGTCAGTATTTCAAGAGAATAAAAGTCATGAAAAACTCAAGCCTTAATGTTACGTTTAGAAGTCCTATCATTATAAAGATAAAGTTGTCATAAAGTTAAAATATTACAAGAATTAGGTCATGAAAAAAGGTTGTAGTTTATAGTGAGCAGCCAGCTGTCTGTGCCAAAATGAGAAATGTCTCATTAAATTGTACTTAGTGTTCTTCTGGCACCTCAGCACTGCAGTGAAGTAAGTGTCAGGACTCTGAGAAGATTATGCAAAAGGCTGAGATGATTTTGCATTTTCCCTTTAAAAACAGGATTATGAGGCATATCGTTGAATAAATTAATGATATTTATGATTTTACCACAACTTTACTCGAGTGAGAAAATGACGAAAAAATGTGTAAATGTTTAGAAAATTTCAAAATCTTAAAGCTTAGAAAGTTTAGGTTTCTTTTTCCTTAATGTGTTCTTACTGCTGTGTCCTACTCTTGACATTTAGGGTGCAATGGTATAAAGTTGTCGAAAGTAAATGAATACTCTGTAGTGAATAATGAAAAAGTAGAATATCTGTAAACTCAGATTATTCTAGAAAGAAGTGACTAATAAATTTTTGTCAGATTCCCACCTTGAGCTTGAACCAGAGGAAAACAGCTGCCTTGTTAATAATGTTCTCATCCCTCAGGCTCGCCTACATAGCTACACGCACACACACACACACTCACACTAACACACACTCACACACCTATCCAAGTCCTTTTGATGCTCCTAAGATGCTGCCGCTGCTGCTGTGAGGTGTCTTGTGTGAGTGTGCCCTCTGCCCTGTGTCTCAGTGCCAGCTGACTTTGAGGCAGCCAGGCCAGAGGAGTCTCAGGAGACAGGAAGACCTGAGCAGAACAGCCTCACCCCAAATCCCACCCCCACCCCTACTGAAACCCAGCGCCCCAAACGACCTCCTCCTCCCGCTTCAAGGGAGGAGGGGTCTGACACTGTGGCACCAGCAACTAAGGCCAGCTGTGAGTAATTGAGCTGGTGGATTGCAGTGCTGGTTTGCAGGATTGCAGTGCATGGTAACTGTGCAGGTTTGCATTGGTGCAGATGCTTGACTTGACTTACTCCCCTCTCTCTATTGTGCAGCTACTGAATGCCTGTAACAAACAACGAACAAGCTAACTGGTGCTGTCTGTGTACAGTTGTATGACGAAACCAACAGCTGTGTGAGCGCGTATGCGTGTGTGTGAACTGCATTGCATGTACTTGTCGTAAAGTCTTTTTTGCTCATTTTGTTGTGTCATCCCCGTTGGGCTGCTGAAGCAACAGCTGGGCCTAGCAAGGAGTGTTCAGAGGCCAAGACTGAGACTATATCTGAAACTGAGACCAAACCAGGTACACTTTGAGAGGTTAATAGGTTTACTAGCCCTTTTAATGCTTTTTTGTATCATATTCGATACATACTTTTATGACACTTCCATCAATATGATCAACAAATTACTAAACAAAGAACACCTGAATACAGTCTGATAAATGATAAAAATGTTCTCTTGTTGTTTATCAGTTTCCAAAAACATCTAATGTATCAAACGAGATAAATAAATATATTTGTTAAATATTTGATTTTCAGTAGTAAGTAAAATAAACATTTCAGCTCCAAAAAAATCTGAATTTTCTGTCCATAATTTGTGGTTTCAGGCATTAAAGGGCTAGAATAAGCCTGTAGAAGTGTAAGTGTTTGAGTAGTTCTGTTTTCCTTTTGGTAGCATTAATGATAAAAAAAAAAAAGATGTGCGTGAACAAGAGTTAGATTTGGAGTAGGAGTAATAATCACCCACTATAGACCAACATTAGCTCTTTGTGACATGATTCACTTGTTTGTTTGCATCTGAGTTTCACATTTATAGATGTTTAGCTACTCTCTGTGTCATTAGGCTTAAGTAATCTCTGCTCTCATTGTATTTGTGTGGGAGGAAGATATGAGCTGGCATTTCGGCTCCGTATCACCGCAGAGCCCGACGAAGCTCTCAGTAAAGTCAGGAGCCTTTTTGAAGTAGCTGGTTAAGAGATCTTAAATGCCAGCCTGTTGATAGGAATCACTTCATTAAAATGTTACCACTTTGCCCTTTAGAGCGCCGCTACGAACTAACATGCATGTCCAAAACACACACACACAACCATAATCAAATGTAACACACTGAATGATGCCTCCCTATTATGATCGGATAAACACTCATCTTCAAGCAAAATAACAGTCACAATTAAATCTCATTGTTTGTCTCCCTCAAGTGCTGCAGGGAAAAGAAGCTTTAGCACATGATTGCTCCACAAACTCACCATCATTGTCTGATGTGTATTCTTTGCCATGTACTCCATCTAATATTTACTGATCTAATTGGCCTGTTTAGTATCTGTGTGTCTAACTGCACTGTCGACTCTGGTTTGTGTCTTGTCTTGTTTTGTCTGGTACGATGCCAGAGATAGTCACCCAGGATAATGGGGCAGGTTGGTGCGCAGCCTAGTGTGTTTTTCCCTCTACCTCCATTAGAAACGTTTGTTTTGTGTATTTGTTTCTCCCTTTCTATTTCTTTTTTTGTGTGTGCTATGGCGCATCAAAGTCAGAGAACTCAATTTATGCACAGACTGGAAGTACATTCAAGAAAACATGAAGATTGAAAGGTTTGCTGTGCTCTGTGTAGGTGTGTGGATGCAGTTTGCTTTCTCCTGCTCTGTTTCCTGACCTTCTTCTGGCTTCGAAATGACGCTGAGTCCCTGCTCATCTTCATCATGTGAACAAAACTGCAGCATACTGCAGCCTGCTACAAACTGACCTTATCAGATTTCATTGTGTTTGAAAGATACCGTCTCTCCTCTCCCTCTTGCAGTTGCACCCCCCCAGCCCGCAGCGGAGGACTCGGATCGATACAGACGCAGGTTCAACATGAGAATGCTGGTTCCCGGACGCCCAGTGAAGGAGACACCGGCCACCCCGCCCCCCGTGCCCACAGAGAGACCCACATATAGGGAAAAGTTCATCCCCCCTGAGCTGAGCATGTGGGATTACTTTGTGGCCAAAGTAAGGCTTTGAATCTTACATGTAGGGGACGGTTTAATGAGATCGGTGAATCATGGTCCTCAGGTTATTAAAAAGTTATCACTCAATCTCTCCCTCTCCCCTCTGTCGCTTTTATTTATTTGCTCCTCTCCTCCGTCATTATTTTCTCCCTCTCAGCCCTTCCTGCCGCTGTCAGACAGCAGCGCCCTGTATGACTCAGACGAAAGCGGCGCAGAGGATGATGAAGACGACGATGACGCCTTTCTTTCTGACACACAGATCACAGAGCACCTTGATCCCAATTCGTACAGGTTGGTTTCACCCCCCGTTGTGTGTTTCAAGCTAATATGGATCCTGAGTTTAAAAATGAACTCCATGCTTGTTTGTACTGTAGCTGGGCTCTGATCCGCCTGGTGATGGTGAAATTGGCTCATCACAACGTCAAGAACTTCCTCCCTCTCACTGGCCTTGACTTCACAGGTGCAAACACTTCATCACTGACACTAAACAGCTCCTAAAGCCCAAATAATTACAGAGTTTATTTTCATTAAACTGCATTGTTAGTGATTACTTTAATTATTTGAATAAACACAAAATTAAACTGTCCCTGCTCGTGTTTGTGTCACAGACCTGCCGGTCACCTCCCCTCTCTGCAACGCTGTGTTGAAGACTCTGGAGAACTGGGAACAGTTTCTGTTGGAGCGAATGAACAAGTTTGATGGCCCGCCTCCCAACTACATCAACACCTACCCCACAGACCTCAGCGCAGGAGGCGGACCCGCGATACTCCGCCACAAGGCCATGCTGGAGCCAGACAACACACCCTTCAAGTGAGTATGAAACCACCATGAAACCCTGTGACCAGCAGACACACACTTCAGGCAGAGTTTAACTACTGTATACACTCAATACTCAGTCATTTAGACTCAGAATAGATGCTTAGAACTGATTTTTTTTTCTTTATCATGCTGATTCTGCAAGTTAGTGTCCATGTTGGGCCACCTCAGTAAAAAAGGATACCGTATTTTCCAGACTAAGAGGCGCACTTAAAATCCTTAAATTTTCTCAAAAATTAACTGTGCGCCTCCTAATCTAGCGCTTCTCATGTATGATTACTTGTTGTGCTTACTGACACGTTTTATGTGGTACAATGCGCTCAAAAATTACACAAAAAAATGTAAGTATGACTTTCGTAAGCAAAAAAGTTGCTCTGCTCAATGGATATTCAGAGCATTACAGTACGCTGTGTCACTACATGATTGGCCCCGTAACAGGACCCCTGACTGAAATGACTGTAATGTCCAAACTAGAAGTGCATTCATGTAAGGCAGCCCGGGCCCAGCGTATGCGCTAGTCACAACAAACCAATCAGAAAGCACTATTTAGTATGCTTACCCCTGCCACTTTTTATACGTAGCATGTACAGTGCTTCAACGTTATATTACAGTAAATTTGTGTGAATGTAAAAAGACCCCAAAAATGGCTCCTGTTAAGAACCATGCTTACGAAGTGGGTTTCAAACTCAGCTACGCAGCAGAACATGGGAATAGAGTAGCTGCCAAAGAATTCAACATGAGTGAATCAATGGTTGAATAAAGTTTGGTTTACCGGACTGTGTTGTTTTGCTCAATGCACCTTACAATCCAGTGAGACATGTTTATTCACAGTGCGCCGTATAATCCGGTGTGCCTTATCCCCCTGAAAAATACAGCACATTGTGTATAAAACTAAACTCTTAAATACATCATTACAGTTACTGTGAAAAGCATGCAACAGTCATTTTAACAGGCCTTGGAAAAACATGGAGTTATTGTGTTCCTTTGTTGATATTTTGGTAGTAAGATCACTTTTTGCTCCACTCTGGCAGCAGTTCTGTTTGGACTTTCAGAAAAATAGGCATCCCAGCCAAAAACCCACAAACATATTTCTTTCAGAACGAAGAACCACCAGTCCTTCCCAGCCCGCCGTCTCTGGCATTTCCTGGTCAAACAGGAAGTTCTTCAGGAGTCTTTGATCCGTTACATCTTCACCAAGAAGAGAAAGCAGAGCGAGGTCAGCAGCACTCATGCATGGAAACATTTCTGCTCTTTTTTATCCTCATTTCAATGTTCATGAGCCAGAATGATTAACCCTCCTGCCCCTTTGATTTGTATTTACGTATTTACATAAGTCTTTTCAGTTTCCCCTTTTTTGTCCACTCCTAATGTATATAATCTGTCAGCCAGAATATAAAAGTGAGTGCTCTGAAGTTGTAAAGTGGTCTCACATATGATTTACAGCTTTAAAAAGACGTCTGTTCAACCAACTTATCCCCTGAGTGTTACTGGCACTGGGCTGGAGAGCCCGCTGTACTTAGAAAAGTTGCTCAAAATAGGCCACATGTCACCCATAATGATGGAGATTGATGGGATTCATTATAGTCATCTAACAACTGTCAAGCAGCCAATAAATGCAGTGTCAAGATGTCGTGCAGAGGCCTAAAATAGCAGTCTGAGAAAATCTTCCCACTTCTAAGACCTCTAAGGAGAGAGTGACTAAGAAAAGCAAAGTAATAAGTACAATAAAATGTGTTATTTTTTCAGTTATTTATTGTATTTTTAATGTTTTTTACGTGTAAATCAGGTATTCACAGTGATTTATCCCTAAAATTGTGAAACTCAACCTTCATGCTATTCAAACAATCTTTTTGTTGCAAGACGCATGAGTGGGTCGATTAGGATTTATGCAGAACCTGATCAGGACCGTCCAAACCCATGAATTTAAAGCCTTCACTTCCCTGTTATATCGAGAGCTGTTCACTGAGCATTAATCTCCTCAGCTGATATTTTTATTGTCATCTTTATCATTGCTTTGACTCTGTAGACATCTTTAATCAAGTACATGACAGCTCACTGCCTTCTGTGATGTCTGGAAACGGTTATTGTGTTAGCGCTGTCGTGACAGACTGCACTGTGACTGCCAGTCCAGAATATGAAAATATCAAGGATTAAGGTCCCGAATTCTTAGTCTCCTGGTCTCACAACTATAATTTCAATTATTTTATTTTTTTTGCAAGAGCAGCCATCAGCCTCACGTTGTATATCTCCATCCATCCTTCTACATACCTGTGGCTCCATGTCATGACAGTTATTTATCATATTTATATACCAGAGATCCTGTCAACCTTTTACATTATTTTCATTTCATGTTTTTATTTTTCCTGTGTTTGTGCATGTGTTTTTGTTGTGCCGTGTTGGTGTGTCATGTGTGTGTATTGCCTCTGTGTGTCATGTGTAGTCTGTAGAGAACCGTATGGACCATTTAAGCCCAAACTGCATAGCAGGAGCTAGCAGTCCTAATAAGGTAGTATTACCTTACGTTCCAGCTCAGGCCCTGGTTATGTCTGTCTATCTGTCTTTTAATGTTTGGGGAAGTCACTGCAAAGCCAAGCTAGAGGGAGCAAGTGCAGTAAAGTTCAAAGAAATATCATGCTCTGTATGCACTATTTGGTTTAGTTTTGCAGCTTTTTCTAAAATGTGGCACCAAAATGGAAAAACTCTCAAGTATCTCCTGTCCAGCTTGGCCTGACGGTGACTTCTCTTGCAAATTTTACCAGCAATATCCTCTACTCAAGACTCCAAGGCTAAGACTTAACGTCTAATCCTTCCTCTTCACTGGAACATCCACTCACATAAGCTCACGTCCAATCCCTGCCAATAACACGTCTCCCCGTGTTTCTCACTCCTTTGTCCTCTATAGCTTGACTGATTCTGCTGGACCCCCCAAAAAAATCTCTCCTTGAGAAAGTTGGCACTTTTATTAGGTGTACTAACTGCATGCTCACTTTTAGGGCTGTGTGAGGCTGGCTAACTGTGCAGGGAACTGGGGCATCCTGAAACAGTGATCTAAAGTGTCAGTGTTAAATTATGTAACTGTACACAGGATAATTTTTATGAACATGTCAATCCCTTGGTAAATGAAGCTGTTATTTTGGTTGGTTTCACCTTTATTTGGGAGTATTTTTATGATGGGATTTGTAGAGAAATGTACTTAACATGAGCGGCTTCAGATTTCACTCTGTTATCTGTGGAAGCACGTGGCTTAAATGTCTCCTGAACCCTCATGTATCACTTTTCTTTGCTTTTCCAGGTTGAAGCAGATCTGGGCTACCCGGGAGGGAAGGCTAAAATCATTCATAAAGAGTCTGATATCATCATGGCGTTTGCCATCAATAAAGTAAGTTGTGTATGTGCATGTCTGAGTGTGTTTATGTGAATGTGTGTGTGAGACAGAGATAAAATTACTGGAAGCACTTTGCTTTACGAGAGCACGATTCCATAATTATATCCTAGAAGGTTTCCTGGATGTGATTTGGTACCAAGTAAGAGGCAACTGCATCAACGTTTCCAGAAAGCTCACTCTGAGTTGAAACATGAATATTATCGCTCTCTAGGAAGTCTCCAAGTTTTCCTTTGGTATGTCTTTTTTTGAATTCCTCTCTTCTTCTGTTTCCTCACCTCTAGGCAAACTCCAATGAGATAGTTTTGGCCTCCACTCATGATGTGCAGGAGGTGGACGTGTCTAATCTAGTGTCTGTCCAGCCTTTCACCTGGATTGGGGAGGATTTTGATAAGGAGTCCCGCAGGTGAGTTTCAGAGCAGACCTTCTCTGTTATGAGCTCTAAAATCTCAGGGATTAAAATCACGCTGATCCTGCAAACACAAACATGTAGTGGTTTGTTTTCATGTGGTTTTCATGACAAAACTTTGCACCGTTGGAAGATGCTTATTATACTGATATAATTGCTCGACAAGTATCATATTCTCTATGGGAACCCGACCGACCTGCAGTGATTGTGTACGTCTGTATGTGTGTTTTTTAGATCCAGAACAAGAATTCGGTAAAGATCTCTGTCTTATTTGGTTTTGTTTTTACAGCTCTGACGACATAGACCACCGTTCCTCTCAGACCAACATCGCCCAGGCCAGCTCGGTCCCCTTCGCGCCACCACAGATGCCGGTCTCTGCATCCATGCCGTGGCTCGGCACCGGGCAGACCAGCATGGGAGCCAGTGTGGTAAGAGCCTTTGTACTACGACAACACAAAGCAACACAAACTCTGCAAAAACAGGCAGAAAGGAGTATGCACTTCTCATTTATGGCCAGTAGGTGGAATCTAAGTTGGGTTTGAAACAAGTGGACGACACAGCAATCATGTTGAATGTACTTTATTTTACTTTACTTGATGTTACTTGAGCCGCAGAAAAGTTTTTAGCAGAAAACAATGAAGTTGTTTCCCTGTGATTCAGTTCTGCAGTTTGTGGCTCTTGCATATTTCTTGGATAAATTATGATTTTTAATTTTATCAATGTCAAGCCAAACTGAAACCTGTCGACTAAACAGCTGATCTGCTGAGTCTGTGGAGACTGATACTAAGGGGGTGTGTGTTCGGCAGGGATGGACGCATGTAAACACAGATAGCAGCAGCTCTCACAGACAGCTAGCCAAGGGTACAGATTTGCGTCACACTTTCACGCAGCCAGAGTTCTCCATGTCCCAGCCATGTTGATAAATGTTGAGGAACATACACAAAGCAAGACAAGGAAGAGGGTTTCTACCGGTTCAGCAAGGGCTTTCTTTAGTCTGGTTGAGACCGGAGTGGTTTGCAAAGACCCCTGATAGTTGAGCAGGAATAGTATGAAATGCATCCCTCATGTTTAGTTCGGTCTGGTTTATTTTTTTGTATGTTGTTGGTGAATGGTAAACAATCAGAAATCACATGTACATGATTAAATAAAACAGAACAAATTAAAAACTAACAGATGTATTTTAACAAAATCAAAGTTTATTCAAGCATTAATTAGGTAACATTTAACAAAACAACTCATTTAACTCATGTGATGTGGTTGATTATAATGTATAAATAACAAAAAATCATCAATATAGAATAAGAGGAGTAGCACTTGCTTGGCTTGTAGATTATTTATCTATCAGGTATCAATATGTAAATATCACGTTTAATCTGTGACGGTTGAATGTGGAGTTCCCCAAGGCTCCATGTTGGGACCATTGTTGTTTATGTTGTATATCAATAACAGGCGCGAGGTCTCCAATCTTTTCAAAACATTTTTGTTGGAAAATTGTGAATTAATTTAATTTAGCATAGCATATAGTGGTTGACAGATGTGTTCAATAGTGATTAAGGAGGAATATTTGGAAGCTACTAAGAGATCAGCCAATGTGATCAGCTGAAGGGTGTGAATTTTAAGTTGTTTTTGTGTTGTTGTCCGCCTCTGTGATGTGTTTCTGGAGTTTGTATCTTAAACAGAATCTTGAAGACTTAAAAACAGGCAACTGGACTGTGTAGAGTTGAGAACTTTCTCAACTCTACACAGTCCAGTTGCCTGTTTTTAAGTCTTCAAGATAACCATGACCTGGATGAATGAGAATCTACATGGACATCTTAAACAGAACTCTTTTTTTTCTTTATATTTAAACTGAAGAAACTTCAGACCTCCCTGCTTGTTGACTGAACCGCACTGTGATGATGTTTTTCAGATAATGAAGAGAAATCTGAACAATGTGAAGAGGATGACATCCCATCCCATTTATCAGTATTGTAAGTGTATAAAAGAAGTTATTACTAAGTTTATCACCAACATACAATCCCAGTCTGATCTCTTTTTTTCATTCTCTCTCTTCCTCCGTCTTTGTGTGCGATTATCAGACATGACAGGCGCTCAGGACGGCAGTGTGAGAATGTTTGAGTGGAACAGACCTCAGCAGCTCATTTGCTTCAGACAGGCGGGCAACGCCAGAGTCACCCGGCTCTATTTTAACTCCCAAGGCAATAAGGTACTCACACATATACGTGTACAGACACACGTGCACTCCACACATGCTCTTGTTTAGTCTATCTGGTCTGATTCCTGTGCGCTCTTCCTGCAGTGTGGAGTTGCTGACGGAGAGGGATTCCTCAGTCTCTGGCAGGTCAATCAGACATCCTCAAACCCCAAACCCTACCTGGTGAGCCCACCTGCCACTCAGTCACCTCCCAAATACTCGCCTCAGCTCTAAGAAAATATCTGATCAGTTTATAAACCGCTGAAATTAATATGCACTTTGGTAATGTCTTGTCCACAGAGCTGGCAGTGCCACACTAAGACCTGCGGTGATTTTGCCTTCATTACATCCTCTAGCCTCATCGCCACAGCTGGACAGTCCAATGATAACAGGTCAGCCAATCAGTAATCAAAACTCTGATGTTGGGATGGGAGAAAAAATCAATTCACATAAGTATTGGATTCTTTGTTTTACAATTTTAAATCGATTTTTATATCAAAACATCAATTTTTTTTTCAAATTTAAGAGTAAATCTTAAAACTGACTTACATGTGATGTGTATTCTTTTGGGAAATATGGTTCCTGGAATAGTCAGTAGACAATAATAATCATTCAACTGTTTCACTGGTGTTAAAAATGCAGACTTAAGATCGAGAAACTCGACAATATTGTAGAATCACAATTTAAATGAAATTGGCATCCAAAGAATCGTAGAAGAATCGAATCTGGAGAAAAGCATATCGTCCCAGCCCTACTCTGATGTGTGTAGAATACAAACATACTCTACAGGGGGGTAGAGATGTAAACATGCTAATACCATGTTTAGATTGGTAAATAACAGCGATCTTTCCCTCTTGGTTTCCGCTCATTAGTCTAATCTTTGTCCACAGAAATGTTTGCCTGTGGGACACTCTGATTTCGCCCAGCAATACCATGGTCCATGGTGAGGAATCCAACCTTTATCAGACCAGCCTTGTCTTGCCGTGTTTATGAAGCTTTCTGATCTGATTTCACATTTCCTCTCAACCCACTCCCCCAGCGTTCCCCTGCCATGAGAATGGGGCCACTGTGCTGCAGTACGCTCCTAAACAGCAGCTCCTGATCACTGGAGGCAGGAAAGGCTTTGTGTGCGTCTTTGACATCCGCCAGAGGCAGCTGCTGCACACTTTCCAGGCCCATGACTCAGCCATCAAAGCCCTCGCACTGGATGCCTTTGAGGACTTCTTCGTCACCGGCTCTGCAGAGGGCAACATGAAGGTGACTCACGGGCTTTATCACTCACTCACTCACTAACCTGACAAAACACTCTCATCCTCACTGTCACTCTGTGATTATGTTCAGACGAATAATGTCTCATTCCAGGTACAAAGGCAGTTGATAAAATCAGAAAAGTCCTCCTTCCTACCTACAGATTATCTTCCTCTGGCAGTCTCGTCTCTGTAGAGTCACATTTCACTTCATCACAGTCCTGACAGCGAGGACAAATCAAAAGCCTGTGTGACATTAACTGCTTTCTCTGTTATCAGAAAAATACTGCATAGAAAATGTGCACTTGGGGAAGCTGGACTTATCAGAGAGAGTTAAAGACGTTTCAAAGAACTCCTGACTCCACAGCGTTGACGAGACCTCCCGTATTAAAAGCAGAATATATTTGTTCATGAAATATCTCAGATGTGAATCCTGAGAATTAAACTTTGAACTCTGCAATCCCACGTGACACCATTAATATGGTTTAAAGTTTCTCAGGAACTTTACTGTGTATCTCTATGGGATGAAAAGTGTTCAAAATCTTACCCTTTCAGCGATCTATCGAGGGTTTCCAGGCATTTCTATACCTGCCACAAGGTTTACAATCCAGCCACAAAAATAGGTGTTTGATTAAAGACGTTCGATGCTAAATCAGCGCTGATATACCGGTGAAAACATGATTATTTATCATATTGTTGTGATAAAAAAGATCGTTATCACTAAATGCCACTAATGTCTTCGGGGTTTGACAAGCTGTTTTGATGACGTCTTTTTCTATCAAACTTTCAACCAACTACATGGTCTCATATTCCTCTCCTGTTGTTCCCTTGATGGTAGTGTGCAATAAGAGGCAACCAAAGATCAACAAGAGACAAGAAAGTTTCCTGCTTGTCTTCAAAATAATAAATAATGGCCCTCAATGCTTGAAAACAAACAAAGAAGACATTCTGAGCAGTATGATGTGGCCCTATGTCTCATCCCAGACAGGAACTGCTTCAAGGAGTGGCATAAACAACTGTAAATAGCAAAAAAATACCTGGAAGAGTTTGTGTAAATATGTAAATAGTTTCTGTTGTGTGTTTGTTCCAATCCCAATATTTCTACTCCTGATAGCCTAGACTTAACAGAATGATGTGCAGGTGAGAAAAGGCTTGATCACAGTAGATTTATGTGTTTATTGAGCAAAGTACTGTTGGGATCAATTTCCGTTTTTGTTTTTTTGGTTGAATTTGATGGTTTTAAATCTACTGTCACATTCATTTTACATCATTTTTGCGCCCATAAAACTGATAGCTGAGGTTGTCCCGAAAAAAAAGATGTGTATATATTTGCTGTGCTTGAAAGGATAGAGTTGCCACATAGATTTTTTACCAAACAAAAACAGGCGGACCAAAAATAGCAAAATATAGCTGGGAGTTCAAAGGTTAAACACCTGGGAATATGTGTGAGGTGTAGATGAAGCTTTCTTGACACACTGTGACCAGTGCACTTTGTTGACATGTGCTGCACATTTTGTACACCCTCTCCTGCATACTTCTTCATTGTAACAGCATTATTCTTAAAAGAAATAGAAATAAAACCTCTATTTCACAGAATAAATACCAACTCGTCCTCTCTCCTCCGCCATCTCTCTCTCTCTCCAGGTGTGGAAGTTAGCCGGCCACGGGCTCATGCACTCATTCAGCACGGAGCACGCCAAGCAGTCCATCTTTCGCAACATCGGCGCAGGCGTCATGCAGGTGGAGACGCGGCCCGGTAACCGCATCTTTACTTGCGGAGCGGACGGCACCCTGAAGATGAGGGTCCTCCCCGACCGCTACAACATCCCCAGCAGCTTGGTCGACGTCCTGTAACACCTACTTTCACCTCTTGAGCGTCCAAAGAAGGAGACGGATAAAAAAAAAAACACAAAATGCTTCTGTAACACTCGCTAGGCATCAATAGTTTAACAGAAGGGGGAAGAGTTAGTGGAAAAGATCGCCAAGCTTTGGGCATCTTTGTGAGCGTGCTGTGTTCGCAGGTTTACTGTGGATGTAAGTCATATCAAGAATGAAAAAACGGAGCTGCAAATCTTTTTTTCCCAAAGGCTGAAAGCGAAGTTACAAGCAAAAGGTATCATACTTGATTTTAAAGCTAGATTTATTGTAATTTTATTGAAGAATCTCTACTCTTAGAGTGTGTCCATAGGGAAGCTATGCATGTCCTGTTCTCGTTCCGCGGTGCAATCACAGGTCTATTGATAGTGCTCTGTAAAAGTGCTCAAGCAAAAATTTTAAAAAGTGTGTAACTGTTGTCATTTTGTGCCCACAGCTGAAATCTCTTAGCATCTACTGTAACCAGCACTGTGGTTTGTTCTTAAGTCAGTGGTTTCCAGTGTGAATCGAGTTGTTGGAATCTGCATTTTGTTTCAATGGTTTTGCCCCCCTCCCTCCCTCCCTCCCCTCCCCCATCCGCCTTTTTGCCCGGCTTTTCTCAGCCCTTATGGAAGAGTTGATGGTGCATCGCTCCTGTAGTGAACCCCCCCCTGTCCCTCCCCCAAAACCCCCTTTCTCACTGGCTGCTCATCACCCACTCCGGCCTCTCCTGGTTGGGCTCTCCACCCAGCCCGGGTCTGGCCCAGGAGTGCGTGCTCACTCTGCTGTGTCTGCCATCCGTGCGCCTGCCCACCCACCTGCCCTCAAATGCCTGTTTGTGCGGCAGACTCACTGCTAGAACATTCCTGTTTGGAAGATGACGTGTTTTATTCCTGTGACTGTGATTTCAATGTTTCCATCTGTCTGGTCCCAACTCAAACGCCCACTAACCCACCCAGAGCAGAAACACAAAGGTTCACTTCTGGTTTTGCACAAAATATTCTTGAATTTGTGTTTTTTTTTTGTATTGATTTTATTATTTAAATTATTTATATGTTTGTGTTTGTTCGGTTGACCATTCCTTTGTAAAACTATTTAACTTATTGCCTTTTATTTTAGGAATGTAAGGGGTTTTATCGTATCTGACTGGGAGATGTGCAACACAGTCTACTGTTTGTAAGTGTGTGTTACCTCGCTAGTTGTTTTTACTGTTTCATCCATAAGGAATAGATATTTGCACTCAAATTCTGGAGACACTAAAAGTTTATTTCAAATAAATAGGATAATGAAGAAGAAACTGTTATATACAAATGAATGTCTGGCTTTATTTGGCCTGGTAGTAAAACGTTTGAAATAGTTTTAATATATAAATGATATAAATATATATGTATATGAAATACCACAACAGCTTGTACAAACATGAAAGCATTTCTTTATTTTTGGTTTGTATCATACCGGCTGGATTAGTTGTAACTTTTGTTAAGTGTATGTTTGGTATTTATTAAAGAGATTTGTGTTTCTCTCCCTCTTTCTGCCCACTATGTGTACTGTATGTAACTTAAGTGTTTTACCGATGGTCCTACTGGTGTCTGGTGCGTGTGTGCGTGCGTGTGTGTGCGTGTGTGTGTGCATGTAATAATGCAAAAGAAGCCAATATCACGGGGAGACGCTTACTGGGGCACTTGAGCCTGAAGGTGTGCGAGAGAACAGGTCATGGTCAGAGTTTTACCTTTGTAAAGTGAATAAATTCTTTTTATTTCATCAGCTGGATTGGGCACTGTTGTTTTTTTTTTCTCTATGTTGAGCAAGACGATGAGGAGGGTAACGTGCATCTACAGTATAAAAATACACAAAAGTCATGCAAAAATACTTCAAATATGTTATAACTTAAATTTGCATCAATGTAAAACAGTCTGATGCAAAATCACATCAATTGTTCACTCTGTTAGTAACTACAAAATCGTACATGAACAGAGCAAAAAGGATACACATACAGCAGTAATTAAATATAAAAACAATCCTCTAAAAAAGAAAATAATGATTTTTAACACTTTGATCGAACAGGTGAAATTAGCAGGACCTAAAACTGAATTTTTTCCCTAAAAGTCTAAAATAGATCTGAGTCCAAAGACATAATTGACTCTTATAATTTAGCAGTCGTGTCCGTCTGTCGTGTCGCAGTGAGACTCTGATGCTCACTCGTCAGAGATGAAGTGGACCACATACAGCCTGACCGAGCCGTTGTCCCACACATACAGGTGTCTGTCCTTCGGGCTGTAGGACAGCATCGCCAGCACTCCAACCGGAGACCTCAGGTCAAAGGTCATGTTCACTGGTTTCCCCTTAAGCAGGTCGAACGCGAAGGAGATCCTGGTGTCCTTTGTGTCCGTGACGTACAGGACGCCACACGCGATGAAGGCATTGCCAGCTTTGCTGCGTGGGTAGGTGGTGTTGATGTAGGATGTCACAGAGAAGGTCTTTTCATCCAGCTGGGCCACCATGATGCTCTCATCCACACTGGAGGCAAAGATCAGCCACAAGCCGTTCTCATCCGCCGCCAGTTTGAAGTAGGTCTTGGAGTTATGGAGCAGGTAGGCGAGGCTGTGGTACAGAGCGTTTTCTATGCTCAGAGTGCGAAACTTCCTGGTGGAAAAGTCAAACCTAGAAGGACACAAAGAGGAGGTTGATCACCTGGAGGAGAACTGAAAAGTAAAAAGCATCAATTTCTCTCTCTCTGTACCTGCCGATGCTGGAGGTACCAGCGATGTGATAGTAGAAGGAGCCGTTGTGAACAGTGTGGCCACAGCCTTGGTAGAACTTCCTGACATCCACAGCAGTACTACTGTTGTTCTGAAAGGAGGCGATGCTTGAGTACTCCTTCACCACACGACCTGGAGGAGGACAGGCAAAAAGTTAACAGCTAAACGTGACAAAAAGTACGCTTTTAAAGGTACTGTTTGGACTAATAATCAATAGGACCGCTGAAGAACACCAGAAGAAAAAAAAACACCTAGAAGAGTTGAAAAGACCAATGCAGCATTAGAGGTTACTAAAAAAGTCTGACTCTGACTCAAAAAGATTTATATCCATCGTTTCTGTTTTTACTCACCGGAGAAGTGCTCTGCCACCCATATCCTCTCATCGTGCAGTCGTGCGGTGTCCTTCATCCAGGTGCCAAACGTGCTCTCCATCTTCGCCACATTCCTGGGGTTGATCAGTGACTTGATCAGGCACTCTGAGGCGAACAAACAACGTTACATGATCAAAGCTCTAACACTTTACATACACGATAAGAAGCAAACCTTCAGGTGAACTCACCGTTCTTCTTGGTAGACTTCTCGTGCAGTTTTGACGCCTCTTTAACAGGAGAAGTTTCATCGTTTGGAACAGCGTGTACCAGCCCTGTCAGGATTAGTTTGTTTTCTGTTATCTTCACACATACTGGAACAGAGCAATCATTACCAGCTATATTGTGTCCCTACTCTGGAGCGTCTGATCATATCACACTGTTTTCTACCAGAAGTGGAGTTTTTCCTCTGAAAGTGTCTCACCAAAGACTCGGTACAATTCAAGTATCAACACCTACAACCCTGAGTTAACAGGTCTGACTCGATCTGCTGAGAAACATCACAAGTTATGACTGAAATCTCCAAAACTGCCTCCATGTGAGCTCAGGGCTGAGATTTTTGTTTTGAGTGAAGATTCATGGGTGGCAGTAGCTCAGGAGGTAGAGCAGTCGGCCAATACTGGAAGGTTGGCAGTTCGATTCCCCTCTATCCCGAGTCTGTCCGTTGTGTCCTTGGGCAAGACACTTAACCCACCATGCTCACAGTGTGTGTCCTCCACTGGTGTATGATTGTGAGTGTTGTGTTATGGTGGGCGGAGCGGCCATGGGCGCAAACTGGCACCACCAAGGTGTGACTGTGTGAGTGAATGAATGATGTATCCAATGTAAAGCTCTTTTAGGTCACTGACAAAAAAAGCGCTATAAAAATCTGATGCACTATTATTAATATTATTATTTCAAAAGTCGCTTACCGAGTGTCTGAGCCGCCTGAAGGTTAGCTCTGTGGTGTCTTATTCTGGATGGCCCCTGAGGACCTGGAGGTCCTGGAGGGCCTGGGGGACCTGGAGGACCAGGAGGACCTGTCAAAGGAGAGGAAACTACATTTAAACCTCCTCCATGAAAAAGTAAAGGTTTCTCGCTTTTGTCAACATTTGGATTCAACACTCGATTTTTCAGGGTGTAAAAGAGGACTCTACTCGCCCTCTATGATGATGTCGTTGGATGGCTGTCCCTTCGCCCCAGGCGGACCAGGCTCTCCAGGCTCACCTTTTACTCCCGGCTCTCCCGTCTCACCTGGCGGCCCTGTTGAGAACATCATGAATTTCACCTCTAAGTCTGCATTCATACCCTCCATAATCGTCACCCTATTGTTACAGGAACATGAACTCTTTCATTGACTTGCTCTGCTGACTCATGTGTCCACTGAGGAGGAGAATGGAGTGAAGTGGGAGGATGATGGAGGAAAGATTTTCATTTAGCTGCAGCCCAAAACCACAAACATGAATAGCATTAGCAGAGAATGTGAGAGAAAAGCAGCTGCTCCAGCCTCCTCAGTCACTGATGAATTACAGGAAAGTCTCATGAATAGAGTCGACTGTCATTGTAAATAATGAATACTGAGGATGTTTTAAGTTTGTTTTGTGTGAGTGTCTTTGTGTGTGCATGATTCAAAGTGACGGTGCATGCTTCATATTTTGGTACTTCACCCTGAGGTTACACTCAACCCTTTGACTGTTATATTGTACCAGAAGTCCTGCACTAAAATGGCAAACATTGCCTGGGGTAACAATAAAAAAAGGATGGTGCGTAAAATAAGAGAAGAGCCTTCTTATTTTCTTACCTTTTTTTCCTCTTTTCCCATCAGCCCCGGGCACTCCATTGAGTCCTGGGATGCCATCAGTCCCATTATATCCGGGCATACCGTCTGCACCGGGCAAACCTACGGTGGCACAAATAAATCTTCACCGTGGGCTGAATGTGAAACACTTTCGCTGAAAATTTGGGTCACTGAGCTACAAAAGGGATGTACAGTAGTGGCTAGATTTTAGATTTGGATCCTCAGTAAGGCCTTGACTTACCAGGTGGTCCTGGAGGTCCTGGAAAAGAAGATTTGAGGATGTTAGAGGACAAAAATGAAGATTTTGGACAGGAGTGGTTTATAAAGCTCTGAGTAAAACGTACCAGCTATACAGACTCCCTTGGTGCTGTTGCAAATGTCGATCAGCAGTTTGATCTGAAAAAGAAAGAAAGATATCAAAGTTAATCACATACAGGGATTTTAGATCAATTTCATGTTTGTCTCCAGGGCCGGAACAACTTAGTTTGAGGTCTTGGGGCAGAAGTAGCCCCCCCTTTCACCTTAACTGAATATGTTAAGAATCTTTCCCTTTTTATTTTATTTATTAAAGCTCCTGTGAGTTATTTTCCATTGGAGTCTTCTGCCAAAAAATGATCACTTTAGCTGGTTATCGACAGTCAAATGTGTCATTTATTCAAAGGTTTTATGTCAAAAGTATAAAAACTGGTCTTTTTTCTTTAGCTGCTTGACTGACACCTGCCTACTGTCTCCAGTTTCAGGTGTTAAAATAACAACAACAACAGAAAAACACATCAGTCTTGTTGGTAACAGTCTTGTTTGCCTTTTTATATTTTAACAAGTTATTAATTAATATTCAAATCAATTTCATGAACTTGAAAAACTCACAGGAGCTTTAAAGATTTTAAAGTTAGAAATAGTCACAATAAATTGTGTATTTTATGGTCAAAAGTCTGCTGGATGTTGTATTTATTTATTTATTATTATTATTATTTTGCAAATGACACAATTTAATCATGTGGAGGTCAAGACAGGCAAAGACAGCTTCATCCACAGGGGGCGCCATTGACACAAAATGAGAGTTCATCACAGGAGCTTTAAAGCAGCCAAATCAGTTTGTCTAAACAGTACCGTCTCTGAGGTTAAAACAAACGAATCATACTTTCTTGTATCAACAGGACTTATACAAAGGGATTTTGATGTTACAGGATAATTGTATTTTTCTCTCTGCGTATTTCGCTGTAATGTCAGAAACATTGGCTAATTGTGTGTTTCTCAGTTTAACGCTGCTAAAGTTTTCTTGTGTCTAATGGGTAAAACATCCTCAAACAGGATTCTTTTGTTGCTTTTTTTTTTTTTTTTAAACTTAATATCTGTTTTTGAAGAATACAATCATACATTTAGTTTGGACAATGTCGGTGACTAAGGGTTTGAAACATTGGAAAATAAACTGTTGGACCTTTTCACAAAATTAACATTTTCAAGCCTTTCTTTATGAGGCTGAAAATGTGAACTCACAAGATATGTAATAATGCAGAGTTTACCCTCAGGCCAATATTATCTTGTTTTATTTTCAAACACATAATAAAAAATGACTTTCAACTCAAACTAAACCTGAAATCATAGGGAAGCAACAGAAACACTTAAGCTCTACAAGGATGTGATTAGGAAAAAGCTGTTAAGATAGTAAATGATCCTTCTCACCCACTGTACAGTGAGTTCGTTATACTCCGTTCAGGCAGACGTTATCAAGTACCTTAGGCAAATTGTGACCTCTTCAAAAACATATTCATTCCTAACGCCATCAGGGCACTGAATGATAGTAGGCCTATGTTCCGTTAGATCTGTGTTACATACAGTACCTGCCACTGTTGTCCTCCCTCTTTTGCTGCCAAGATGTTTTGTGTGTATTTGTTATGTTTCTGTTGCTGCTGTCCTTTCTGTTGTTGATCTGTTTTTTGTACACGATGAGACTAAAGACAAATTTCCACTTGTGGACAATAAACTAACTAACTAACTAACGTTTTGTAATGGTCCCAGGCCTGACCAGCTACTTAGTTTAAACAGGTGATATCCACCATCATCGTGGACCATAAGTCTAAGTTCCACCTGCAGGTTTGATTTGCTCACCGGCACCATGGAGTAGGTCATCATCATCATCATGTCATCCTGCACGTGCGCTTTATGGTAAGTCTGTCCGTGTTTGTGCTTCACTTCATTCTTCATCTTCATCTCTGTCTCCTCTCCCACCTCCTGGCTGACCTCCTGCTCCTCCACGACCTCCTCCTGGTGAAGCTCCTGCTGCAGCTCCTTCTCCAGCTCCTCGCTCCTCTTGTTCCTGGAGTACTGGTACTGGTACTTAGGCTGGTCCACCATGCTCGCTCTCAGCCCTGCCGCCCCTCTCGGCACCTCCTGGATGAACTCCACCACCGAGCTCTGCTGCACCTCCGTCAGCCTCCCCTCTGCCTGCTCCAGTAACACACGCTGCTGGTTCTGCTGGACCAGGAGAACCAGGAGGCCCACAGAGTTCATCAACGCCAGCATACAGGTCCCATACAGCACCACCCGCTGAGGGAGAGTCATGCTGGGAGTCGGGATCCACATGGTTACCACTTCACTTCCTTGTTTCTGAGGGACATGCACCGACCTCAGCATTCACGGGGGAGTGTGTCTCCAGATCAGCAGTAAATATGAAAAAGAAAAAACAGAAACAGGATAGAAAAATTCAGATTTACTCAAACTGAGTATTAAAAGAACTTTTCTTAATTTAAGGTCCAATCCAGATGATTTAAAGCTCCATGTTTAGTCCCATGAGCTTCAAAGTCAGTGCTCCTGCAGGGTGGTCTATCTAAGGCAGACTGGTAAATACACGGCTCGTTGTGTGGAGAAGGGCAGTGTGTATGTGTGTGCATATATGTGTGTGTGTGCACTTGCAAACCAGTAATGTAGGAGTGGGCATTACACAATCTACTGGGCTTGTCTGGGAAGAAACCCCCGCCTGTTCAGTCACCTGATTTATATTCAACACGACCCATTCTACTGCACCGCCGTGGGCTGACTGACATCACACTCACACACACACACGCTCATGGATGATGCACACACAAAAGCACTCACACACATAACAAATACAAGCATGCATAAGAGCAGACAAACTGACTGGTCATTGATATTCATGTGCACATTTTCATCGTTCATCTTATGATGATGAGGAAACTGGAGTCCACATGAGTTCGCTTCACATTAACATCAATACAGTTTTCATTGAGTTGCTTCACGTTCTCTCTTCTCCAGCTCCTCTCTGCCTGTCGTTTCTTCACATCCTCACACTTTTCATGCACCAACTGCAACAATGACCCATTTCCACCGCTCTGATTTAGGCCACAAAAGAGCGTTTGACAGGAAAATGGATCAGCTGGAAGAATTTCAGCTTTCCTCAAACATGTAAACTGACAGCTGCATTGTTCACTGATGAACTGCTTTAAATGTCATCATTTTATTTGGATCAATAATGAACAATGTGAGAGGTTTTCTGTCCTATTTTGAAGCAGCTGTGAGGAACTTTCAATCTATGTCAAGTTTGGCGCCCCCTGTGGACAAACCAGTACCTGTTTATCTTGTCCTGTAAGTGCAGAGCCGGCCCAAGCCTCAATGGGGCCCAAAGCAAAGTTTGATTCTGGGGCCCTCTATTTCTGCCCATTATATTGATTGTTGATCATTCACACACCTTCACAAATCTCAAACATACCTTTATCTTGGCGTTTTTCCTCTTCTTCCTCTTTCTTTTCTCTGCTCCTGAAGGATATGTTCTTTTTTGTGACATTGTTTTGCCCCACAACTACCTGCGCTTTCGATGCTCAGTGCACACCGCACAGCAGAAGGCACATAACGAAGCGGAGCTTTGACATATCGGCAGTAAGAATCACAGTCCTACATCAGCAGCAGCACTAAAATGTTTTTACTTTATTTTATTTTTACAATAATATATATTTGATCGTACAGAAAGCATCACTCATGCATGCAAAAAATATGAAAAATATTTAATTATTATTAATATTATTTTTGATTTCTCTTGGGGGCCCTCTATTGGCCACAGGGCCCTAAGCAGGCGCCGGCACTGTGTAAGTGTTTAGATTAGGCAGTGTCATTCTGACTTTTTACTGTATAGTGTATCAGTCATTAGGAATAGTCTCTTTTTTTAAGGTTTCTTATTTCCAGTTTCAGGAACTAAAATGACAGGACAGATGTTCAGATGTGTACATAAATACAGTCTGAACAGATCTCCTTTGTTGTCTCTCAGTCACTGTAATGTGGATCCACTGACATGAACCGTTTGGTGTAAATATGTCAACATTTGAAATGAGAAAATCTTCTGGTATCTCAGGATTTTCTCTGTTCCCTCAGATGCAGCTGCAGGGAAAGCATCTCATTTTTTTTCTGACCCCAGAGTTGAGAGGTCCATGTCCGTCCAGGCCAAGGACATCCAGATGACTGACTGTGTTTGCAGCAAACTTCATCCTCCCGTGCTTCACATCTCGGTTTCAAAGGCCTGGAGAACCTTGGAAGACTCTCACCAGCATTTTTCTTTCAGTCCAGGGTACCACAAATTTGAAGACTTACAGCTTACAGTCAAAGGAAATTCATTCAATAAAGTGGCTCCAGACAGGTCACACAGTACACAACAATTCATTTTGTTTTACAAGCTATATACGAAAAAATGTACAAAAAAATCTAAAATACATAATAAACCTTCAGATATTATAAAACTGAAGCCTAAATGAACAGACATGATACATGTTTTGAAATTTTACTTCGTTTTTTTTTTCCAGCTTTCTTGTTGTGAAGTCTTGGAAACAAAGATGTGGTAAACCACAGCACTGAGCTCAGAGACGGGGTTACATTAACTTCTGTTTTTGTGGAGAAACACTGGGGGTGGGGGGTGGTGGTCTCTGCTTAATCATGCAGAACAATCTAGGTCTAAGCTTTCATACAGGGCAGCGTTATCCGGGCAGGGCCTCAGCACACAGTCACTCATTTCAGCGACGCACATTCTTGGACTGTGGCGTGGGCGTCGGGTGAATTCACAGAGTCCTTTATACCGAAACAAAGACAGAGATATGGAGACACAGCATTGGCTTTGTCACAGATTGCAAAATAACATGAAATACAAATTTTTTAGAAGAGGGCATGGACTCAGTAAGTAAAGAAGATTTATTGTTCACAAAAAATGAAGTTTTCTCTTTATTTATTTGACAAAGCGTAAACATGAGCCTGTAAAATACATTTGTAGTTTAGACCTACTGGTAGTTTAACCTACTGGTTGCCTGTGCGAGAAATAAAATAAATCATATCAATATATTAGAGCATACCAAGTGAGATACGATTTTATAATAACAATCATGTATAAATGGTAGGCTGACAGTTAATAAACTGTAAATTAAAGCTCCTGTGAGGAGTTTTTTAATGCCTATTAAAATGACTGAAATCCATATTGATGCTGTTTTATGATACACAAAAACAAATAAAACAATTCACTGCAAGATTGACGATAACTATGTTGTAATTTCTAATTCTGTAAAATGGTGTGAGGGGGTAGGTGTCAGCCAAGCAGCTACGAAAACAGCCCTGCTTTACTTAATTGAAGATAAAATATCTAAAATGAATTATTCATTTGACTCATAAATTGGCAGGGTTAAACCACAGACTGTATATACTACGGACAACTTGACTCCGCCTCCCATAGGCTGTATCAAGTGTCAATCATATAAAACATGAACCCCCGAACAACTTTAAAAAATGCAGCTGCACAGAAAAAAAGAGGACTTGAGCACAAACCAGTCTTACAATAACAACATGTCAAAATCGCAACCAGCGGGGTGAAAAAAAAATTATATTCTGTAAGTTAATTTCTAAAGTTTGTCCAGGAGGAGGCGGGATTTATGACCTGTACTGCAGCCTGTCACCAGAGGGTGCTGTTCTCGCCGAGGCCTCATCAAGCGAGGAGGAAGATGACATCTATCTTACATACAGTCTACGGGTTAAACCCTTTGTTAAAGGACACAACTTAAGCATGTAAAGGACAAGATATGAAAGACTGATATGTCCACAGGGGGCGCCAAAACTCACACAAACCATCAGTTGTGTTAAACAGGATTTGTTTTGGTGCAAAAACAATCAGCAAAGAGTAGAACTAAATAATAAAGTTAACAACCATCACTGTTCCTACTGTCAGACAACCAAAAAAGGACGATTCTGAGTGAAAATAAAACAACCTGACTGCTGGTATGATGAAAACCTGTTCAGGAATGTGCAATAGGAGGGTAAGTGAAAATGTCTTGTAGCACATCACAGTAAAATGAAAGCCAGAGTTTGACTTCCACTTGAAAAGGCTGAAAATTGGTAAGATGTGGACAGGTGCAGCTATAACTTGAAAACAAACAAGAACAACCCTCACTCTGCTTTCTTCTCACAGGCTTTTGGAGCTCTTTTGATGGATTTCCAGACAGATCCTTTTGATGTTCAAAGACACAGCCACTCTTGTCTTCTATCACCAAAATGTCAAATAAAAAAGCAGGATCCTGTACACTCAAGGGCACACGCTGGCAAAAGTCCAACGCCTCAAGGCTCCAGCTTTGTTGTTTACCTTTCTCCACTGTGTTGTGACTTTGCATCTCCCTGACCTGGCTCGTCACCAGCTCTGAACACATATATAAAGACAGAGACATGTTTAATGAAGCAGCTTTTATCTCTCGGTGCAGCCGGACACCTGCCTCCTGATGGATCTCATCTCTGCTTGTGCACGGACCATGAGTCCTTTAGGTTTAGACGCCGAGGTGGTAGAACTGGTCTACATGTCTCAGAATGCATCTGTGGTGGGATCACAGGGAGTCTCGGTGACCACCAGGACCCTGATTTTGCTTGTTTGTGTGCTGCTTGCTGCCTGGAGCCACACGGACAAAAAATCTGTACCAGGTGGGTCCACTGATTGTCTAAAGATTTTGGACTTTCCAGGTTCTTTCTTGTACCTTGTGAATTTCAATATTTTGCCTTCTACCTCAACAGGCCCATCTTTTTGTCTGGGTTTGGGGCCACTTCTGACATATTTAAGATTTATCTGGACCGGTATAGGCACGGCTAGCAACTACTACAACAAGAAGTATGGAGACATTGTCAGAGTCTGGATCGATGGAGAAGAGACGCTCATACTCAGCAGGTATGTTTTCTTTGGTAAGTTTGGAATAAAAACAGCTAATTCAGGCCTGATTTATCAATATTATTGTTTTATTTTTGTTTCAAGGGCATCAGCTGTGCACCATGTCCTGAAGAGTGGTCATTATACATCCCGTTTTGGAAGTAAGCAAGGTCTTGGCTGCATCGGCATGAATGAAAGAGGGATCATTTTTAACAATAATGTGCCTCTGTGGAAAAAGATACGAACCTTTTTCACTAAAGGTAAGATTCAAGTCAGCCAAAGTAACCTTAAATCAACCTGGCAAATCAGCTTGAAGAAAATGCAAAATACTCCACCACAACTTCATTAACCTTTCCTGCTGTTTCAGCGCTGACAGGTCCAGGTCTGCAGCAGACGGTGGAGGTTTGCGTCTCGTCCACACAGAGTCATCTGCAAGATCTGGACAATTTGGATCAAGTGGATGTGATCAGTTTGCTGCGCTGCACCGTGGTGGACATCTCCAATAGACTCTTTCTGGGTGTTCCTGTGGATGGTGAGCAGACGTGCACAAATATCTTTGTGATCAGGCATGTTTGAAAAAAACAAGGACAAAACAGATACATAAACAAGTGTTTTGTTTGCACACAGAGAAAGAGTTGATGCTGAAGATTCATAAGTATTTTGACACATGGCAGACTGTGCTCATCAAACCAGACATTTACTTCAAAATGGACTGGATCCACCAGAGGCACAAGACGGCAGCGTGAGTCTTTCCACCGCTTCATCATTTATTGTATTGTGTTTATTTATACACAGGCTTAATTCTAGTTTTTGTTGTGCAACAAAGTGCATCTTATATTTTCTCTCTCACAGCCAGGAGCTGCAAGATGCCATAGAAAGCATGGTGGAGCAGAAGAGGAGAGAAATGGAGCAGGCAGACAAACTAGACAACATCAACTTCACTGCAGAGCTCATATTTGCTCAGGTAAGACTCAGAGTGTTTGTTTTCAAACAACGGCCTAAACCATCTTTGTCTTTTTTTCTCCCTCCAGGCTGTTTACAGCACGGTCTCCAGCTCATATGTCAGACAAGCTTCAGTGGTTCAGCCAGCTCCATTACATTTGTATGTGTGTGTGTGTGTTTTTAGAGCCACGGCGAGCTGTCTGCAGAGAATGTGAGGCAGTGTGTGTTGGAAATGGTGATTGCAGCACCTGACACTCTGTCCGTCAGCGTCTTCTTCATGCTGCTGCTTCTCAAACAACATCCAGAGGTGGAGCTGCGGCTCCTGCAGGAGATTGACACTGTTGTTGGTAAGTAGCAAAGAGGAAAGTTTTATTTTTTTTTAAAGTCAGTTTTTAAGGACTGTTTGGATACAAGCAAACTATGATGGTTATAAAGTTCAGTTTTGTTAAAGTTGCCACAGAGAAGCCTGACTGATAACACCTCATTTCCTTGTAGGTGACAGTAAGCTTCAGAACGGAGACCTTCAGAAGTTGTCGCTGCTCGAGAGCTTCATCAACGAATGCTTACGCTTCCACCCTGTGGTGGACTTCACCATGCGCCGGGCCTTGTCTGATGACACCATAGAGGGCTACAGGGTGTCTGAAGGGACAAATATCATTCTGAACACCGGCCACATGCACAGGACAGAGTTTTTCCTCAAACCCAACGAGTTCAGTTTGGAAAATTTTGAAAAGAATGTAAGTAAAAGAAGTTTATTTTGCTCGACCATGAGACAAAAGTAGAGGGAATAAACATTTTGTATTACTTTAATAAAGTATTTGATACTATTAACTACTTTATTTTCCTCTTAATTTGTAAAAACTGATGTCACAGATGAAGTTCCTAAAGCCTTTAATTAACTCACCCCTCTCTCTTCAGGCTCCTCGTCGTTATTTCCAACCATTTGGCTCAGGCCCTCGCTCCTGCGTCGGAAAGCACATCGCCATGGTGATGATGAAATCCATTCTGGTGACCCTGCTGTCTCAGTACTCAGTCTGCCCTCATGAGGGTCTGACCCTGGACGACCTCCATCAGACCAACAACCTGTCCCAGCAGCCTGTGGAGCACCACGATGAGAGCCAGCAGCTCAGCATGAGGTTCTTACCAAGACAGAGAGGATGCTGGGAAAACCTCTGAGACCCTCTCCTGTACTGTGCTCTTCATATGTCTATTATATTGTAATTTCATTAATATTGTCTTGACTGTGTAAATTTGTGTTTTATATCAGTGACATCAGGATGTTTTTTTGTTTAACTTGAACTTTTGTGTATTATGTGAAATGTATTTTAAGAAATGCTGACATTAAATTTACATTTTTGTGCAAATATTTTGCTTTTGTCTTTTTTTTTTTTTGAGAAGAAATACACTTCTGTTTATATGATCTCCTATACACCAACAAATCAAGAAGTACATTTGTTTTGTGCTCTAGTTTCTTCCTTATGTAATCATTATATGTTCCTTTAATATCTTATCTCATATCTTAGTTTTTAATTTGTTTGTTCCCACTGAGTGATAGACGGCTATTAGACGTCTAGTTTGTTCAGACCCAATTTCAACCGTCTAGATTCTGTTTATTTTTAGACAGAATTTAGAAGTTGCACATTTGAAGACTGTTTATATCAAAAAGCAACTGTGAGTTACATAACTGATCTCCAAGTACTTAACCAAAATAATACTTAGCAATATACAGTGTCATTTAGATATAGCCCAGATTTAGATTTAGTCTAAACTTGGTCTAAATTTAGACGTTCATTTTCAGACCTGTGGTAGCCTGATTTTAGACCAGTCATCTAGGTTTCATTTAGACGTCTATTAGGCCTCTTTTAGACTAAAAACTGCTCAATGGGTTATTTTATTTGCTTGTTTGAGACATCTTTGAAGTTTTGCATTGACCTGATTTTATGACGATCAACATGTGTGCAACTGAGTAAAAGAGAATCAATGCCTTCATGAGCATTTTGAAGTAAATAGCCGAGGATAAATCTGCGGGAAAAATAATATGTGCATACTGGCTGAACAACTGATATATATATATTTTTAATTCTCTTTTTGTATTTGCTTATATTGGCCAGTAGAGGGCACTGCAACACATGACACCACATGTCTTGCAGCCAGTTTGTTCATTTTATTCATTTGTCCTGCTCCTGGGCAAACATGGCGTTACCCACACCCACAAATGTCTCAATTAGTGCAGCTTTCATTCTCTCTACAGAGTGAAAAATCATCTTAAATAGCCACAGGAGATCTACTTCAAACATGCCTGTGTGGTTAAGAGGAAATAAAGACATACAGAGGTGGACATCCTGAGAAAATATACACTGTTGATGTTTTCAGCTTTGTAAGGCTTTTAGCTCCTCCTCAACTGTCACCCATCAGCTGTCTATCTATGACGCAAGAGAGCGAAACATCTAAAATAAGAGAGTCAATTTCACTGACACACAACCACCTGGGAGTTGCTTGTGCTGATTACAGTGAGGAAAAACACACGGGTTTAAGTGCTTGGTATGCTAATCAATATCTCAGACAGCCTTGCCATTTCAGCAACACATTTTTGTGCAAACATTAAGTGTGTGTTTGTTCCCTGCGTCAGAGTCTGTAAATATTTTCCCCTAATAAAATATATGTTTCAAGAACTGTGTTTGTGAATGCTAATCATTAGATTTTGGTGTGTCTGTTTCTCTTGTTTGCGTGCGTCACAGGCTGATTATCATCATTTTTTTTCCCGCAGGTGTCCATGGGAAATAACGAATGAATCACTGTAGACTCATTAACCTCGGTCTCAATCCCCCCTTTTTTTATTTTTTTAAGAGTAAATACTCTTCACATATACTGCAGCAGCTCTGCACTACGCTAGATGTGTTTCATAAATTTTACAAGGGAAGCATCTTTATTCATAATGTCTGCAGAGGCCTGCACAGCGTGGCAGTGGTTAATGCTGAAAACACACAGCAAAGAATTGGTTCAAATCCCAGCTGGGCCTCTCTGCATGACTTTGCATCTTCTCCCTGTGCATGCATGAACTTTCTCCACACACTCCTGCTCACTCTGACAGCTCATCGGGTTAATTGTTGATTCGTTTTGCACATAGGTGTGAGTGTAGAAAAGTCAGTTGTCTGTGTGTTAGCTCTGTAATAGCCTATCCACGGTATCCTGACTCTCACCCAAAAACAGCTGGGACAAGATCCAACCCTAATCACGCCAAACAAGACAAGCAGTACAGGTACTGAACACATGAATGACTGTGAAGTTTTTACAGGAAGAGCAGAGATCACTCCTGCCGCGTTCCCGATCCACTCCTGCTACATTTCTCACAAAAACACCACCTGTTGCACCTTTGACGATTTGTTTTTAACCCACAGATGTGTCAGGTGACACTTTGTCAGTCTGTTTGCTATAAATGGAAAACTAAATCTCTGTGCAGCATATAAAGGGATGAGTGATTGAAAAACAACTCTGTGTTAAATTATGATGCGCCACTTCCAACAACATCTGTCATATCTGTCAGCACTTACTACAGAGTTGCATGAGTAGCTTCAGGGTGAAGAGATGCTCTAATTATCACTTCAGCAAGTAAGGGCTTAAAACTGTCGTTTTTCATCACCATCGCTAAATTTATCCATCTTTCTGTCTGACTATCCATGTGTCTGTTTCTACATCTCTGTTTCTATCTCTGTTAGTGTTTGCCAATCACACTACAACACAAACTGTAGACCTATATAATGAAATGTCATTTGTTTTCCAGATAGACTGCGTCTGAAATGAAAGTGTACTTTAAATTTGTATTTGTAGTGCATTTCTACCCAGAGCAGATTTGACCAGTCATATATCAACAGAGTTTGGAGTAGGCAGAACAAATGCTGCTGAATTGACTCCCATCAGTGGTACTTTGAAGATTTCCTTCAAGGCGTGATGAGGAATTTTTAACTGGTTGATAAATAGACTGAAACTGATAGGAATCCCTCTTCATAACCTTCCAAAGCAAATATAACCATGATCAACAACAAGGCGGATATTTTCTCTGGTGGGATTTTCAGTTCCTGTCACTGCTGTGAGGGGGGAAGCTGTCAGACCAGATGATTGACAGCACACTAAAGAAACAGCCTCTTATTCCTCTCCCACAGCATTTTAGTGTAAAAAGACAACCAGTTGAGTCCAGACCACACAAAGCTTGCATGTGATCTTTTTTAAGTAAAGACCATAGACTGTATATACTATGAACAACTTGGTTCTGCCTTCTGCCAGTATACAGATTTGAAGCCAAAAAGCTCTCAGTAATTACGAGATTTTTCTCCATTTCCTGAAACCAACATTGCGCAGTAGCATTGTACGCATTTGGCGGGACAGTCGCCATGAGTTGCTGTGATGACACTCAGCTCAAACAGCGTATCCCCCAGGTGAGCTACGCAATCTTTGTACGCCCATGGACTGTATCAAGTGTCAATCAAAGAAAACATGAATCTCCTAATCACTTTTAAATGTGGAGCTGCATGGAAAAGTGAGGTCTTGAGCACAAACCAGTCTTACAATAACTACATGTCAACATCAAGAAAAAAATAATTTCTAAAGTTTGTCCACAGCTCCATAGGGATTGCTGGAGGAGGCAGGATTTATGACCTATACTGCAGCTCGTCACCAGAGGGTGCTGTTTTCGGGGTGGCTTCACCCAGCGAGGAGGCAGACGGTGTTCATTCTATATACAGTCTATGGTAAAGACCTGTTAGTTTAAAACAGATAGAGTATTTTTTTTTCTTTTTTTTTTGTCCAGGTTTGTACCACTGAAGTAAACTGGAGTAAAGCCTCATTGTATTTTACTATTTACAGTGAAGCTGAGACCCACTAGATAAAGATAAATAGTCACAACTCTAGGAAATGTAAACAAAACAAGACATGATAGCACTTATTTTCCATACATATCTCTTTTATATACACATTTATAATTCACAATCATAAACAATGAAGTGGTGAGTAAAGGGCATGTTGACTAAAACACGTGTGTTGAAGCTTTAGCGAAAGTTGAGTCTGTATTCTGCATGCTGTGGTCCAATCTTTCCAATAGCGCTGAAGCTCACCCTCACTGTTAGCCTGTCACACTGATGACGTCCTTTCCAAACATGGTTTCCTTTCTCACTGATGCTACTTTTACATGCGACCCTTCGTCTTCCCCGTTCCTGCCCAGTTTCATCAGCCTCAGTTGACATAAATCAGCCAACACCTCCACCACCAGTATCTGGACTCCACAGGGGGATATAGTCATCTGCAGCTTAGGGCAGACACCCTGCCATCATTCCATAAAGAGACCCGTGTCTCCTGACTGAAATGCTAACAGTTGGCTGTACCAGAAACAGAGGAGTCAGCATAACATCATGACATGACGGCTGAATTTCAGGATTGATGTGAGACAGAAGTTAACGCTAACTTCTAGACCTCTTTCTAGAAATCACTACTGTTACAGCGTTACACAACTGAAAAATCATCCTGTGATTATGGCAAAGAGTCCAACATATTTTGATGTGTTTTATCATAATCTTGAATCGTCAACCATTTAATCGACACACCAGCTGAGAGCCGTTACTCAACTGCTAAAATAAAAAGTGGTCACAGACACTGAAAAGTTTCCTTTTTGTCTAAATTGAGGCAGTTTGCAGAGGAGTGGAGGTCTCCAGCATTTAACAGGGTAAATACTGAGCTAATATAATTCCTCTGGCTCCTCAGTGTGGGATATTGGGCATCTGCTAAATAGATCTGTGGTATATTCACTTCAAGTCTACTACTGTGAGCTGTGGTGTCTGAGTGTGTATGTGTGTGTGTGTGTTTATGTGTGTGTGTTTATGTGTGTGTGTGAAGGAATAGTCTCAAAGGGGAATTGAATTCTACTTGTGGTTTCAGACTGTGTCAGCCTTGTCTGCTTTTGGCAGAAAGGTTGCCCGAGCGTCTGTCACAGTGCTGTACTTTTTTCATGGCAGTGTCTTTCAAAGCTAGAGTTTTCTTTCTTTCTTTTAGGCCCTTTAACAAAGGTGAAGCACCTCAAAGAAAACACACTTATTTCAAGTCCACTCCACAGAGCTGCATTAACTTGGACCAGAATGAAACATTGCTGTAATGCTTCGAAGGACTACAGCAGCTTGCCCAGCAGAATCTGATGTACTTCTTTAAAAATGCCCGGTCTGTTTTTTCTCTTAAAAGAAGTCCAGGGTTCTTCATTTGTGGTTTCTGTTAGTCTCATGATATATATTTTCCTTTTCGTTCCATTTATTGCAATTGCTGCATGACAAATTTATAAAGGCAAGATGCCAGACAGCTTTTAAAATAACTCAGACACAAGAGCCTCTCCGCAGAACAAAAAAACTAAAGACCATCCTTTCTTGTTCTCCGATTCTCTGATTGACAGTCTGATTGATCACAGGCTGTTCTCATCGCCCACAAACACACATTATGTTGTGCTAAAATTCTCAAATGCCAGTGGCCATATTGTCTCTCTGTTTCAGTCCCCTTCTGGATTACTGCTTCATTAAAACAGAGCCTTGGTTGCCATAGAAACATCTTGCAGAAAGGGTCAACGTAGAAATATACACATCTCTTTTTTTGTTGCTACATTGTCGACATGAATTTCACCTCCTGCCTCCTTCTCTCGCCTGCATTGACACATCAGTTTTTTAAAAAATCTCTCTCAGACTTTCAGACACTCAGTGTTCACATGAGTTAATATAGTTAATACAAGAAATCAGTTTTAAATCAGTGAACTTAAATGCATCCTGGCTACCCTTGAAGAAGGAGTCAATCTCCCCTTAATCATGTCTGTCTGTCTGTAGAGGTCCAGACTTCAAGGCTTTCTGCCAGTCCAGGCAAAGGATCACAGGCAAGTTCTGACTACATGATCTTCTCATGCAATACTTTGCAGAGTCAGCCCAAGTACATGTCAGGAAACCTCAAAGGAGACTTCTTCTTCTTCTTCCTCCTTTTCTGAAATCCCCTTTTCTGCCCATTTTTAAAACAGGCCTGCCTGGAAGTTTGAGGCTGCAAGACTCAAAGTCAGTGCTGTTATTTTTTTTTCTTCTTTTCTCCTAATTTATGTCTTCAAGACTGTGAAATGTTACAAAAAGAACATTCCTGTTAGACATGGATTTTACTCAAAGGAAGTTAAAAATGATTTTAACTGAGCAGAATAAATTATTCTACCTTTATATTTAGTTTATTATTATCATGGCTTTGTAAGTGAAGTGGAGGAAATGAAAGAAGGAATGCAGTGAGCAGTCCACACAGTCTTTAGGGGCACCAGAGCCACAGTGGTGGTGGGGAAACAACATTCATCAGCAGAGATCATGTCTTATTAAATATGTACCTTTTCACTGCAGCAGAAAACTTTGTGTCCTCGTCGCGGTTCAGCAAACAATATGAAGCACAGATTTCAGTTCCTACTGCAGTATAATTTCACTATCATACAGTTCAGTGGGAATACTGCTCCTATACTCCATTTAATTTATAGTAATTCTTATACTTAATAATTAAACAAGACAAGAATCTATTACTGTTCAATTTTTCAGTGCAGTTCTTAGTAGAATATAAAACCTTGAGTAACTTTAACTTAACTCCCTGTAGGTGTGACTGTAAGTCTGAATGCCAACCTGGTAATAGATTTTCTGTGTTGACCTACTAAAGGTGCCTGCAGCCCACTGTGTGTGTGCATACATTAACGTGCATCTAGTGATAAGTTTTGCTACTGGACAGAAAGAAAAGCATGTTGATTTATTAATAAGTAAGCAAACAAATGAATTCGTCGGTAATTAAGTCATCAAGAAAAATAGGAAGAGGGCTAGTTAGCGAGTCAGTAAGTAGGTGAATAAACAAGTATGTAAATATTTGAATAGCAAATATTAAAGAAAGTATGCTAGAGGGCAAGGCAATTAAGTATTAAAGTCAGCCGGAAGAATCAAGTAAGAATAAAATTAAGTAAATCAGTAAGTTAGTAAACAAATTAGTAAGTAAGTATGTCAGGAAGGAAGCAAGCAAATAAACAAGCAAGATTTAAGTAAGGTAACAAGTAATCGAGTAAGAAAGTGAGCAAGTATTGAGGTAAGATATCTAAAAAGAAAGTACACAACTAAAAACAGAAAAAATTAAGCCTTTCGGTAAGGAAGGAAGGAAGCTGGTTAGTAGGTATGTTAGGAGGGGGGTAAGTAGGCAAGTAAGGAAGTAGGCAAGTCAGTAAGTATGGAAGTGAGCGAGTAGACAAGTAAGGAAGTGAGCAAGTCAGTAAGTAAGGAAGTGAGCAAGTCAGTAAGTAAGGAAGTGAGCGAGTAGACAAGTAACAAAGTAAGCAAGTCAGTAAGTAAGGAAGTGAGCGAGTAGATAAGTAACAAAGTACGGTAAGCAAGCAGGAGAGTAAGCAAGGAGGCAGGTAAGACAGCGAGAAAGCACAAAACTGAAAGTAAGAAAGTCTACAGACAAGTAAGTAAGTGAATAAATCTTTAAATTTATATATATATATATATATATATATATATGTATTTCAAATTATTAGAGCTTTAAATGAGCTGTTCTGAGGAAATTCTGTGAGATTTGATCTGTATTACTCAGGACTTGAATTTGTTCTGGAGTATTTTTACATCGTGGCTCTGGATTTGAATTCTTCTTTCCTCAGCGGTCATTATCTGCCATTAGTGCATTGTGGTTGGGGTTTGCCCTGTCAAGCAGAGTCACAGTAGGTTTGACTGTTTGACCTTGCAGTTATACAAGGAAGAAGGACTTAAAAATAAAAGTCCCAGCAACACTGAGAGAATAGTAAAAGATATGCTGATGATTATATCAGAAACTCAATCACTGAGGCCTAAAGAGCTCCTTTTCAGAGGCAGAGGAACTAAACCATCTTCTGTTGAAGTTTGCTGTCATATTTCATTTGGTAATATCTGATTTTTAAAGATTGAATTTTTTTTCCAAGAAATCAGGATGCAGAACAGCCTCTTTTATTTATTTATTTATTTGCTCTCTGTCTAGCTCTGGCCTCATATTCATGCTCATATCGCCCACACGCACTCACTCAGGTTTGAGAGATCTACAGTTTTATTGTTCGGACCAAAGTGGTTCAGCTTGTTTTCAAATACTGACACATCTCTTCGTCAGTGCAGTACTGTAGGAGGACATACGCACAGGCGCACACCAATATGCACACAGTGTGGATGATAAGTGAGCCTTGGGGCAGTGGGCAGCCGGGCTAATGCCATCTGGTGCCCAGTGTTCATGCTGAGCAACAGTCAGCTCCACACCTGGGAGATGTATCGCCTGCAACTGTTGTTGGACCACCAACCGCACACCCACCTGCCCCCCAACTCCTCTGATTCTCAGCTTTATGTTGACACACTGAGGAAAGGTCATTTCAGTTAATCAAAAGGGAAACCTACACTAAGATTGTGTTTTTTAAATATTTATATACTTCTATAAAATCAGTCTTTCATCTTTTCATAGCTGGGAGATATTTTTTGATTAAGTGTTATTCATTAAGTGTCCGTCTGCATAAACTATTTCCCAGGATGCATGTATTTGTTTATGTTTTCAGCTGAGGGAGAGAGAATAATGTTTTTATAGTTTGTTAGTACTCAAAACACAGCATCTTTCTGTAGTGTGTGGGTGGAGAAACTCTGACAGTATCTCCTCTTTTCTCCCTGCACGGCTGTTTCTAAAACTGTAAAATCAACAAAGATTCTGCTGTTCTTGATTTTATGTCAACACCAAAAAGTAAAACAATCAACTTAATCTATCTGAGAGATAGTGACTGAACCACTGACACGTAATAGAAAGTGCATCTATGCCAAAATAAGTGCAAGTAGCTTGATTTGTGTGGCCACCTGGGGGCAGCAGAGCTGTGTTAACACACTCACACCTACATATTATCACCTTTTATGGGTTTTGAAGTGAAGATTTCTGAATATTTTGCAAACACAGAGCAACACCTTCTTTAATTTGAAGTTATTTTTCAAGCCACTCCAAGTTTCCCGGGGGAAATATCTGGCTCCTGAGCTGCTAAATGTTCTGCTGTTCAGTCATTAACTTTCCCCGTCTGCCATATGGTGATCGCGGTTAGCATTCCTTGAGTTAATCAGAGCTTTTGCTTTCTAAACTGCTTCCCGCTGCTGGAAAACTAATTTGATGACACAAACAGTGAAACTGCAGGCTGTGAAACAAAAACAACGAGCGGAAAAATGCGAAAAAATATAAATTTTTAGAACTACAGGGGAACAGCAGGTTCAGATTATTATTGTAATTCTCTGATGGTTTAGTGCTGCATTATATTAAAGAAAACAAATATTAAGAATGTTATAATAAAGATACAGACAGATTTATCGCACAGCCCTAGTTTTAACTGTGTTGCTGCATGAAGACCCCTGATTTCAGCAATGTGCAGTTTTCATGCAGATGTGTAGCTTCCCATCTGTCATTACCATCTTACCAGCAGAGGTGGGGGAAAGTCCTTATGTTGCAAGTCCAAGTCAAGTCTCAAGTCTTGGCTCCCAAGTCCGAGGCAAGTCCAAGTCCTTACCGTTTCTTTCAAGTCAAAAACAAGTCATATCAAAGCCATAAACCATTTGTTATATGTAAAGATTTACATAAATCATGAGCATTTTTCACTATTTGCATTTATTATTAAACAAGAGTTCTTGTTTGTGTTAAGTTACATAGTGCAGCTTTAACCAAACTATTTTGCATGTCATACAAAAAATAATCAGATAAATTTCAATAATTGGAAACTTAGACAATGTGCACAAAAATAAGGAAGACTCAAATACAATTAAACTGATACTCTAATTCACTGTTCCAAAACAAAACAAAAGAGAGACACAAGGCAACACGTGGAAACAGGCGAGCAATACTAGCGAGCGATTTATGTTCAGTCCTCCCGGTGTTGTCGTTATGAGGGAGGCTAGAGTTTGAGAAAGTGTTGCCAAGTTTCGTGAGAGAAATAAGGAAACAGACCTCCAGAGAAAAGCCAAAAACAAGCAATTTTTTTGCGGGAAATAAGCAGACTTGGCAACACAACATGGTGTGACTTTTCAAGTCACTGGGCTCAAGTCAAGTCAAGTCAAGTCTTCAGCAATCAAGTCCCAAGCAAGTCCAAGTCATTTCTTGAACATCAAGCAAGTCAAAAATGGGACTCAAGTCCAAGTCGAGTCTCAAGTCGAGTCGTCAAGCCCCCACCTCTGCTTACCAGTAACCCATACAGGGGTTGAGCTCAGCCTGTAGTGGCGTTGGTGGTTAGATGTGGACAGACCAACAGTCCACAACCAGTGCGCCAAATTTCCCGTCAACCCACTCCGCTGGACGCCAATTATCTTGAAGTGAGACGTCCTATCAATGGAACCAGCGTTCCAAAAGGTGTATTTCTTCAATATACTACTTCTGATTATAACCTGATGAGAGAGAAAGAAGTGTAAAAATGGGGAACTGCTTCTGGTCCGCCTCACTCTGTTTCTGGCCAGCTGCTGGCTTCTCTGAGTGCCATCCTCTGGGTAAAAAACTGTCGCACTGTTCAAGACTCTCTCTTCATTTTATTCCACGATATCAGTCTCTGGTGTTTGGTAGCAGCTCACTTTTTAGATGACAAAAAAAAGTTATTTTAAGCGCACAGAATTTCACAGTGTGTGTTGTTAGGTGTTAATTTTCACAGAAAGACGTTTTCCAAAGACTGACTTGAGTTTGTTGCGCAAAGAAATTCACAGTTTCTCAGTTAACTTGATTGCTTTTACTTGGAAATACTTGCTTTGTCAACTACCTTTAATTTCCAAGGATGCAATATCATAATCACACACAAGTAACAACTGTTTCATGTCAGAAGACATGACTTTTCACTGGAAAGAAAATCAGTCTGATTTGCTTTGGATTGATCAGTGACAGTTGTATAAGAAGTCCCGTGAGTTAGAGGATATTTATACTAATGTGACCTAAAAGCTGCTTTACTATCTCATTAAAACGACCTTAAACATGTCAGGATCATGAAAATAGTAAAACAGTGACTTCCTGTGACTAACACAGATAGTAAACGAGTGATTTTATAACAGGCAGTAACAAGGGGTCATGGGATTTTTACTGCTGGAGATGAATTTCAAGTTGCCATGAATGAGACTCTCCCACTGCTCTGCTTAAACACAGGCAGCTCTCTTAACCAGAGACAGAGCGAGGGAGGGAGAGAGGAAGAGAGAGGAAGAGACGGCACTTACAGCATACAGAAAGAGGTAGAGAAAGAGTTTGAGTGGAGAGAGCGTGAAGAGGCTGAGTGTGACAGCGTCGAATGAGCAGAGGAGGAGGAGGAGGAGGGACCAGGGAGGGAGAAACAGAGAGAGGGGGCCGGGCCGAAAGTGAACAAGGGGAGGGAAAGTAGAAGAGAGGGAGAAGGAAAGAGAGAAACTGGGGGAGTCAGGAGAGGAGAAGAGAGCTGAAGGAAAGGAGGACAGCTCAGCAGATCACAGTTCAGTAGCATTCCTCTCACAGCTGCAGAGATCCAGGCTGGGAGGGGAAGTTTAGCTCACTACCCAGAAGGAAGACAAAAAAAAAATCAAGACACAGCGTTTATATATTTTTCATCAGGGTGAAAAATTAAGAGGAAGACAGAAAGAGAAGAAGGAAAAGGAGTCAGTGTCTGCAGCCTCCGAGTGTCCTGCAGGGAAAGATGGATTCAGACTCAGGAGAGCAGAGTGACGGAGACCTATCTCCAGGTAAGACTCCAAAAGACCACGACCACGGCTGAAACATTAGTCTCTGATATGTGGAGGAACCAGCTCTCTATGGAGATATGCTCTGTAGAGAGTTGTGGTTTTGTTTTCCAAGAGAGTCAACCAGTTCCTTCTTCCTCTTTGCTGCACATTTTCAGCCCTTCTCTGACTCAACATAGACACATACTCAGTGGGAACAATTTCCCCGCACATTGAAACGATTATCCATTTCCTTTAATATTGAAATACTTTGTAAAGTAACCGGGATTAAGATGACTCAACTGAGCTCCAACTTCAAGAGTCAGTTTTTGGTATCTTACTGTAAAAGTTGCTCATTCTTCAGATGCGTCAAAGACAAGCATGTGTGAGCTCTGATGCACGTACACTCTGATGCTGGCGGCTGTCAGAGCCTCGCTGTGTGCGCGAATGAAAGCCGGCTCAGTCACCACCAGGAACAGACAAGCTCCAGCACGTGCAGTCAGTTTGTTCATCAACACGTCCAGCAGGATCAACACACACAGACGGATCAGCCTCCGCAAAAAAAAAAAAGTCTCCATCTTTCCAGTTTGGATTCAGATGAACAGACGAGGTTTCATGTGTGCTCTTTTTCTTACATAAATTGCACGGTGTCAGAGTACAGGGCAAAGATTTATTGCAAAGACGAGGGTGAACAGTTGGACTCATGCGGTACACTCACCCTTTAAAGTTCAGGCTCTCTATGGATATTTCCCCGCATTCCTCTCATGTGGGCGATTTATTGAACTGTGATCCTGTGGAAAATGCAAGCCAGGAGATGAAACAGCCTTCTGGAGATAAAGTCGAGCTCAAAGATCATGAATCATGTGTCTGTAGAAGGTTTTCATAACTTACTGCAGCGAACTAGAAAGATAACCAGAATTTACGTCAGGAAGGATTGAAACTTCTCTTTGCTTTGCTCTAAATCTTGTCCCCTGTTAGAAAACTGGAGATGCCTCTAAAATGATTTCCCTTTCGGCACATGGGGGATGGATACACAAACTGATATAGATATTAAATAACTGATATTTTTCCTGGCCTGTTGTTGCCCCAGTTGGAGGCTGTCCAGTGTTTGTGGTGCTGGTGCTGTTTCCCTGTTCATTTGAAGTTGTATAGACTGATATGTTAATGATGCTCTGATGAACTCCAGCCATCTGTCTGTCCATCTGGCTCATTGTCTGTCTGTCTATTTGGTGCGTTTGCAAAGGAAGAGGATCCTCGATGTAAGAGCCAGGAGCCTTTAAACAAATAATCAAAGAACGGTATCGTCTGCTGATTTCATGCAGAAACTTGAAGGTGAAATATAGTAAATAGCTGGTCCCTAACCTGTCTCATTAATTTGTCAACAATCTAATAGTATTTTACTTCAAATATGGATTTACTGTCATTCTCTACACTTTGCCTGCTCTTATTAATCCGTGTAATAGCATCATCCACAGTGGCTGATCAGTTACGGCTGATGGATCCACATGGGAAGGAGGGGAAGAGTATTTACAGCTTACTTCATTGTCCAGCTGCAGCTCTGTTGCTCGATATCACGTGCGAAACTCTTTCATATGTTTTATCTCATGATTTTCTCTAACTCCGAGGAATTCATCGCATTGTTGCCCCTTTGATTTGAATGTGCTCGTGGAAACACCGAGTCGACTGGTTGATAACCTGTGTCACGTGTCAGCTAAGTGCAATTGCTTTTGTTCAGGTTAGTGAAGCCAGACGACAAAAAAAGATATCCGGTGTATGTTGAACTCGCTTCCTAGTACAGGCCTCAGGTCTTACATACGAAGACACGGTGAGTGCACCGAGCCAATCTGCAGAGACGGAAGCTTTGTCTGTTTCACTCAAGTATAAAGCGGTGCATAATATGTGCATAATGTTCCAAAGCCTGGGCCTGAGGTGAATCCTGGGAATATTTTTCATTTGGCATCAAACGTTAAAGCCGTCTGTAAGAGGACTTAGGCTTTGTAGTGTAAGCAGGGCTCTTCTTTTTTGGCCTCTAAATGGTGTTACATGGGTTACAAGCAGCATGAAATTTTACCAAAGCTTGACTTGTGCTGAAAAAGCATGCTGCTTTGTTGTCTGTCAGGGGTAAAACAGTTGTGTCTCCCTTTATAAGGTCAACTTCCTCAACAAAACCTGAGCTAAAGTATTTTGAAAACAGGTGTATTCGGAGAGTGTTGCTGTACACAAACATGACCCTTATCTCTAGATTTGTGGATGAGGGATGTGTGATTGATCTATAAGCTGATCTGTGCTTTCAATCTGTATAAAAACTGAAACTTTGGCAGTGTAAAAGTAGTTATTTTTTTCTAGTGCCCTCACTCTTCTGCCCTTGAGCCGCTTGCAGTTGCTGTTAAAGATTGACTAAGAGTGCTACTCCTGCTACCCTCGGACACTCTCTTTATTATAAATTAATAACCTTTGGTTCATTCCTTGATATCTCCCTCTGCTGCATCGGTGTATGATGTTTTATTCTTCAGTTCTATTCTTCCCACATTGCCTCTTAACACCTCCAGGGACCCTTTCCCACCTTGGCCCATTTTGCCGCGGGCTATGCTGCTCTCACGTCAACCTCATGAGGTCAAGTGTTCAAGACAGAAAGTCATGGAAAAGCATCATGGGTTAGATTATAATGGTTTTAATCATGATAATATTGTTGCTTAGTTACTGAAAACCCATCCATGGATGTACAACTTTATCATCCTTAAAGGAAACTGCTCGAGCCATCAAATCTAGGGATCTCCTGGCTTGGCTGAAGTCCAGGTCATATTTGGTACGTTTACTTGTACATTTAAGATGAGCTCGATAATGTGATTCAACGGGACTACTGTTCTTGCTCAGGTTGACAAGCAAAATCCAATTTTTTGACAGAAGCATGTCCGCCTCAGTTACAGTAGGTGACGAAATGCCCCCTTTAAGCTTGTTACTATCAGGTTATGTCCTGATTGAGGTATTACATATCAAAACAATCGGCAGGGCACTGTCATTTTTACAGCTCTGTACTGTTTGTTAGGAAAGTAACATCTTTTTTATGTCCGTTCTTCTGTTTAGGTTTAGTTTAGTTTAGTTTTTGTTTGTTTCGTTTACCCAGCTTCCAGTCAATGCATTTAAGCTTTGCAACTTCCAGCTCAAAGCCCTGGAGTATGTGCAGAACACTAAGGCCAGTGTTTGTCTGATTGAGCCGTATACATGACAAAGAAGATTGATCCCCTGGTTAGTTTGACTCTGAGAAGTTTGATTTAGTGCCGTTTTAGTCAGGCTTACAAGCGAGATTAAGATAATAAATAAATGTATTGAACCTTTAAAAGTACTGTGTCAGAAATCTCAATCTTAACTAATAGACTGGTTAGTTGGAGTGGCAGTAGCTCAGGAGGTAGAGTTGGCAGTTTGATTTCCCTCCTATCCTGAGTCTGTCTGTTGTGTCCTTGGGCAAGACACTTAACACACCTTGCTCCCAGTGTGTGTCCTCCACTGGTGTACGAGTGTAAGTGTTGTGTGGTGGTGGTCGGAGAGGCCGTATGCGCAAACTGTCAGTCTGCCCCAGGGCAGCTGTGACTACTAAGGTAGTTTACCACCACCAAAGTGTGACTGAGTGAATGAATGATGTATCCAATGTAAAGCGCTTTGAGGGTCTCTGATAAAATGCTATAAAATCTGATGCATCATTATTATTATTTATCAAAAGCTTAAATAAAACACTCAGAAACAATCCAACATGGCGAAACATGTGATCACAGGGAATGTGGCTAGCATCAGCAGAGCTAGCACCACCAGCCTTCAGTCCAAATGTCTGTGCTGGTCTTATTTCACTTTGATCGAGTTTACCAAACACAGAAGACAAACCACTTAATCTCCATTTTCTCGATCAAGATACCACGCCATGCTAACAGATACCATCTGTGCTTGTTTCCACACTGGCAGTAGAGTGTTAAAGCATCATAGCAGTTGCCCTAAACTGGAAATGCAGATCTAGCTGGTTGCAGGTTGTGGTGCGATAGCTTTGGCACAACACATAACCATAATTTCAGGCTTATCATAATGAAACTATTATTCATTTTAAACTGACATTCACAGTACAGGGAAAGAGCACACATTAAAAGTAGATGCACTTATTGAAGTAGTGGTCTAATCTAGCGTCTCCATCAGCAAAGGGAAAAACTTCAACTGAGAAACTTCGAATACTTTAATAAATGAAAGTTATAAATGTTTAATGTCTGGAGTTTTCAGAAGCTTGTGTTGTTAACTTTCTCTTCTTAATGTTTTTTTATCATGAAGATGAAAGTTTGTTGAAATTTAAAGCTTAACAATCAAGGCCAAGCTATTCAGTTTTGAGACATTGAAGAATATTGCTCCTGCAATAAAAGCTTTGCTGCTTGAAACCTCTTAACGGCTTCAACATCAAGAGAAATGTCACAGTTTTTTATTATTTCACAGCAAGTATTCAAAACAGCTCACACAAACTCCCACACATGTAATGTTTTATGCAAACGTGTGTATTACAGCTGATTTTCAGTGAGAGGTTATCATTTCAGTGTTATTAAAAATTCGATTGTGGAGTAACACAGAGAATTAACAGAAAGACACAAAGTTTCCGCACTTTTCAACACTTTTCTGGCACAAAGCTCAGCCTCGATACTCAGAGATTTCTCTAAACTAAACAAAATATACACAGAGGAAATACAAACACAAAGGCTCACATTTTCCCATAATCACTCAGTCATGCAGTGAGCACGCCACTAACCATAACAATACCTTCGAGCTGATTCATCCCGCAGCCCTGCCCTTCCTAACTGTGGTGGACACAGACGGCTGAACCAAATTATGGGTCAAGCGAAGCTGACTGTCCGCACACCTGTTCCGCTGCAAGACTGCAGGGTTCCCTCGACAGAGACTGAACATTTGCATTACGCCCTCATCCAGACAGTCCTGGTTGAAATATTTTTTATAATATCAGTCTAATATTAGGTTTCAATAATCAGCTCACTGTCTACTTTTGGCTGATTCATCATGGCGCTGCGACTCACTGTAACACCAAAACCCAATCTGCCATCTGCAGAGCTATTTCCAGCCGATTGTGGCTCCTTCAGATTTTCTATGGAAAGCCGACTTGTTGAAAAGAGAAGCTGTGTTGCTGTTGTTATAACAGCTGTGAGATCCATGAGGGTAGAGACCTGTCGCAGTGGTTCAATTATAAACAAAAAAACTGCAGATGTTTGGTGACAAAACTGAGATTTAATCTTAGCTTCTGTATTCACACTAACAAACTCTCCAGCTCTATCGGCCGTGTTAATCACCACTAATCCTCAATTCCACAATCACTTCAAAGATCTTTGAAAGAAGAAGAAGAAAAAAAAAAGTAGCTGCCGGATCAGGCCAAACCAGGAGCACCCGGCAATCAGAGGAGAGCTTCTGCCTCATGATTGCTATGTTGGCAGACCGACCACATGCTTTACACATGAGAGACAGGCTGAGTGTAACACTCCCATCTACAGATGCACACACACGCTGAAAAAATGCCCACACTCCTCCTGCTCATTCCCTTGGTCTTGTGCTCCTTCAACACATGCATCCCTGAAGTTTTTTTTTCTCCCTCCTCTGCCTTTAATCTGGCCCACAGATGGAAAATGCACACCAGCCTTTACGCACACATATGAGACACCAGAAGCTGGTCCTGGAAAACTGTAACATGAACTTCAAAAAAAGAAAAGGAAAAAAGGTCAAGAGTGAAGCTGTAAGTGGAAAAGACGACTCAGGAGAGAGCTTTTTTTTCCTCTAGCTGCAGCTTCAAACTTCTACCACAGCTCTCTGACCGCTTTGTGTGAGTGCGTTTTCCTTTGTATGCTCATGCATGTGCTAACACAATAATACTGTGGCATTTCATAGTGTTTGTGGGACATTTAGAGAGGGAATTGTTTCCCCACGGCTGAGCCATTACTGAAACATGGAATTAGACCGCAGAGGCATTTTGACGAGGCCTCACGGACACACGCAGGAGGAGGAGGAGGCTGTGGTTTCTCTGGTGGGCCAGTCAGAGCAAAGCAAACAGTCACTCGTGGCGCCTGGAGTGAGAGGAGAGGGCTGTCTGAGGGAGGGCAGTGTGTGTTAAGAGAGGGCTGCATTGGCGTCAGTGGAACATTGAGCGTGTGCAGGTATCTCGATCTGTGAAACCATCACACAGGAGCGGTGACGCAGGTGGTCGTATGTTATTTCATTTATTCACCTGTGTGGACGCTTTTAGGAACGTTATTAACTCTCTTACGCCTGGTTTCCTGTTTCAGCTTGGTCCAAGTCTGATCTATTTACAGAGGTTTTACTGCAGTCTGTGCTTGTCATTCCAACTTTCTACAAATATAACATTAAATCCAGATTACATGAAGTTAAATGGGGACTTTTCTTCTCCTACTTGGCTATTATAGCAGCAAAAAAGGCAACAGCAACTGATGTTAAGTGGGAGGCAATTACACGCGAAGAATTTATCACTTAACACTGGCACAATTCAACAGAGCAGTGCTTATGAAAGACTTATCAGGGTTGCATTAAGAAAATGCACAATACCCACTTTTAACATATCACAACAGCTAATGAAGCATTAAAACTCAAATTAAGGTGCTTTATCACGTACCTTTGCAGCTATTTGCTTCCTGGAGGTAGAAGACGGCAGAACAGAGCTGCAATTACATTTATAGATTTAAAACTTTCACTGGAAATAATGGCAGCAGAGAGAAATGAAAGCTCTGCACACACTTTTATCCTTAAAGGCTGGGAATTAAATTAACTCAGGAGGGATTAGGTTTAGAGGGTTATAGAGGAATATAGACCCTGAAAGTCAGACACCAATCTACAAATGTGTGTATGTGTGTGTGCGTTTATGTGAGTGAACCACAGTTATTTCCTGGTCATTAGTTAGCGGTGGGTTGGCAGCCAAGAGAGCAGCAGCACTCGGGCTTACACTGAAGCGTGTCATACGCACTGAGGGCCTCGAAGTCCAGAAGCTCAGGGTTGATCCAATTCTATCATTTCAGTCGAAGCAAGGAAACCTGTAATTGAGAGGGCTTAGACAGTCTAAGCTCCGCCCCTTTTCCCAGCTATCACTCCCACAGTATTTATAACCCCTGTTCTTGATTCACTTTGGGCTTCTTTCGAGCTGTAACATCTGCGAAAGTAAATCTGAATATCTCTTCATGTGTAAATAAAACAACAACATGGTACTATGATGTTGATGCTAAATGCTAACTCTTGAATATTCACAAGTTTACTCAGTTCTAGTTTCAGATAATTTGAGATTTGAGATTTTTTTTTGATTTTTTTTTAATGGGACAATACGCATTAATGAACATTTACATATAAATCTATGAGTTTATTGCCAGCTGGCTAATTTCCATCCCCAGTCCCATTAGCATGTTGGTGTCAACACATAAAACACCCACCAAACATCGGATGAAGAGACGTGCAGATCAAGTCAGTATTGGGTCGGTCCGTCAAAGACCACATCTAGACGTCAGTGTGACGTGGGATGCCAACACATTACATAGAATTTAATTAGTTTCTCCAGGTTTCTGGTTTTGGTACAGGCAGTTCACCACCGGCCAAATCTACTACTTTATCACAACTTTATTCTCATAACATGAAAACTTTCCTTTTGTGATATTATGACTTTATTTATGACAATATGACCAATCTTGCAAGAAACTAGGATTTACTGCACAAGAAAATGACTTGTGGGACTTTTTTCTGAATCATTTTTGGTTTTATCAAGACAGAGAGATTTGCAGAGTGTACATAGTTACTTATGGGGTTGATTTGTGATATGATCAGTGGCCAAAAGACTTGAGGCTCACTCCAACTCTTTGCCAGTGATCTCAGTTAGGTTGAGTCGGCATTTTTAATTTGGCCTTCATCATTGTGGGGCTGCAAAAATACCTCCTCAGAACCCACTGGGGGACGCTCGTGGGACGACATCCATGTTTTATACACTCCATGACCCCACTACCTACCTCTAGATGGACAACCTGTAACCTGTTTTCAGTAGAGCTTTCCTCTGCTTGTTGGTTAAAAGCTACACATCCTTTGCCTGTGGGTTTTAAGCCCAAAAAAGACTAGCTCCCATGATGCTGGAGGTGGTTTTAAAGTCTCACGGGAACTGCTGTTGCTAACAATATAATTAAGTTTGTTAGATTTGTCAGAGATCACATCCACAGAAGTTTTCCCCTGTGTCTAAATAGATTATTAGACCCCTAAAAGGAATGGTTTCCATTTTTCATGACCCCGTAGAAGTAAACACGTTGAGCTATATATATGTGGTGGTATACCGGAGGATAGCTTGGGCAGGGGGTCTGCTCTATAAAGAGTCTAACAGACTGTCCCTCTGCTGATCCAGATCTCTGCAGTGCCTCACTTCTACGTAGACCCAGTTTTAGCGGGTGAACTTGTAAACAAACCAGGAGGCCAAAGTTATGGGGAATGCTGGCAAGGCCCCGGTAATTGTGCACGTGAGTGTGTGCGCGTATTTTGTGTGTGTGTGTGCCTGTTTAAGCCTCTTTGTAAACGATGCCACAGCATGCTGAGACTTGGCTGAGGTCTATGAGAGGAGCGACTCACCCCGGGCCGGAAAACACTCACTTCCTTGCCACTCATGCTCGGCTCAGTGTCGCAGATCTGCCGAGAAACGGACAGAGGAGGAGCGGATCGACAAAAAAGAGATCCATGTTGGACAAAGACACGAGCTGCAGCAGGTTCCAGAAAACGCTGCAGATGATGTTTAGTGGTATGATGGTGGGAAGATGTTTTTCATGTTGTGTGGGTGTGTGTCTGATGTAAAGAGACTCTGACAGAAGCATCGCAGTATGGACTCATGATTTCACCTCTCATTCTTCAACACCCCCTCTCTTCTCCATCCCTCTTTCCATCACTCATCCTTGCTCTTTTCTGAAGGAGGTGACACATCTTCAGATTTTCACTGCAGCGGCATTTTTTATTCTCTACATTTTTTTTTGTAGATTTTCAGGCATTTTTCAAACTCACCTCTATAAATCTTAACTGAACAGTGTGAAATGAAAACACACTCCCTGCCAGCTCTCCACTCACCCTCTTTTTTAATCCACTCTTTATGATTCTCTGTGAATTGCTTACTTTAAAGTTTATAGCTTTACTTTGGATGGCAGCTCTTTGTCTGAGTATCAGGAAAGAAACCCCACATATTTCACATCACTCTGTTTTCTATTAGGCCTCATAGTCTTTCATTAAAACCCACACAAACACGCCCACACACTCATACTCTAGTGTCGAAACCTATTATGCCTCTGTTTTATGAATACAGCCAGGTTATCTGCTTCTTGTTTTGTTTGGTTTGGTTTGTGAGGTTGCATCCTCCCATGAGTGCATCATTCATTCAGGGTAATATTGCTTATTTTTCTGCGGTTACAAAAAACGGGAAACAATCAGGAGCATTACAGAGTACAATTACTTAGCTAACTTAAGTGTAGTTTGTTTTTACAAATGCATGACTATTAACACATCAACACATGTCAGGAAGCGCACACAGCACACACCCTATTAGAGAATTTAGAAAAGAGCTAAAGACGTTGATTTTTAATCCTTATTGTGTTGTACTAGGAATCAAGTTTACTCCATTTGTGAGTCATGAATAAAGTATAGAGTAATATAGTATAACAATAATAGAGTAAAATACAGTATTTTCCCATTAACAAACGCCCACCTGACAGGATTTGAGAGATAATGGTTGTGGCAGAGTGTTTTTTTCTAGAGAAGTTCCCAAAGGAGTGAGAAGGAGAGGGGAGACAGCCTGCAGCTAGTTCCCATGCCCACTTAACCAGCTAACTGTGGCCTGGCTGTACACCAGCTAAACAACAACAGACCAGAGCGAGCCACAGCTGGTGAAGACATTAGCTTTACAACAGAGGAGAGGTCAAAGGGCAGAGATCTCACAGGGCCTCAGAGTCCACACTGTATCCTAACAGGATGTCCTGTGTACCACTTCTCGTCCTCTGAGGACCAGCCAAGTCTCTGGTCCTCAAAACGTGGAGCAACTGTGATGAGAGTCAAGGGCAGGGCTAAAGGTGGAGGTCAAGTCCCTGACATCCCTGCTCTTTTCTCTCTCTCTCTCTCCTCTACTGTTCTTCCGCCCTCTTGTTCGTGCTTGTGACAGGCGATCAAGCCAGTAAAACGTAAATCAATCAGACATTTCCTCTTTGCTTCAATTTGCCTTGTCTCTGTGGTTCAGCTCTACAAGGATGCGTCCATTAAAACGAAGAGACACGGATACAAAGACAGAGATGAGGCATGAAGCATTAAATAAAGCTGTGCAGCAGCCAAACTCAATCTGTTCCTGTGTCCCTCCTGACTCAGAGAGCCTCTTAAGTGCCTCTCTGTGGACTGTTAGTCACAGCAGAGACACTTTGACCACTCCCAGGATAAACACTCTTAAGGTTCAGATAAATTGGATCTCTTTATTACGCTAACATTTATATGCACTCATCTACTTGTGAAGCGTATTTTTAACAGCTTCATTTGTGTGATTTTTATTCATCCTACATTTGCCAGTAATGCTGACTGAAGCTTTGATTTCCTGCATTTTGGCATAAATTATTTCCAGGCAGAGAATAACCTTAAAATTACCACCTCATGTTATGGAAGAAGAGAACAGCCATGGATTTTTCTTTTTTTATACACTGTTATCTTTTGATAACGATTTATTATCTCGGTATCTCGCCATAACAAAGATTGTTTTCTCGTGGTAATGGAAATGCGAGCAGCGACCCAAAACTTTTAAAAATGCCTTAAGATTGGGATGATCCTGAAATGCCGTAACCACTGTTGTCTGTTGTTGTTTTTTTGATGAAAATGCTGACGGCACGCTCCATTTTGCACATGGGTATTACACTTTCAATGTAGGAACATTTAACTGCCATGCTCAAATTTGACAACAACAGCAACAATGGCGGACACATTATAAATTAGTTATCAAGAGAAAACGATCTTTGTTATATCGTAATGACGAGATAAGTCGTTTTCACAAGATAACAGTGCATCAAAAAAAAAGAGAAAAATCTATGTCTGTTCTCATATTCCATAGCATGTAGACCTTGTATGGACTTTTCTATTGAGTTAAATAAAAATATATATCTATTGTGCACAAAACAGGAAGTTAAAATGTATGTGTCTAATATCAAAGACACACATATGATTACAAATACTGGAGTGACAATAAAAACACACATATATCAAAATAATAGTATGAGCTTATCATTTTATATACTGCAAAATTTCCTATGTGGCAATTTAAATTTAAAACTTGGAATTAAATTAGCTACAAATTAGTACAGCTTTAGTTTGGTTTTAGTCAGAAATCACCTTTGTAATGAAAAGTTTTAGTTTTACTTGTGCTGATAACTTGTTACAAAGTCGACAGCTCTTGCAGCTTTTACTGTCCTGTCTTTTTTCATATCTGCTAAATGGTTCAGGGACAAGATTATTGATTCACCTGATGATTACATAAATATACATGTGACACTGACCCATAATAGTTAGGTTATGAATACAGTAATTTCTTGCAATCAGATAAACTTACATTTGTAATATAAACATGAGATTAATGAGTCATCAATATGAGTAAAAACGGTTGTAAAATAACTGCCTTCAACTCCTGTGCTGAGCAGGACATTGAACAGATGGCACAAACTTGTCTTATAAATCTGAAGGCATTACTGTCTCTAACCTACTTTAATCATATCTTTGGCATTTTCTACAACTTCTTCTTTTTATTGGCCAAAACACACACTAGTGCCCAACTATCTGCCAACAAGCAAACACTGGCAGATTAATCAGAGTAACAGACTTATCATGTCAAGTACAAATCTGTTGATTTCTGTTTTGATGGCCAAACCTCAGAAGAAGGCGTTTGGATAAAAACTAACGCTGTTTTTCAGAAAAAAAAGTTCCTTAAAACTCAAAGAATTAAACTTAATCTGAGCAGTAAATAAATTTTAACAATTCTTATTATTTAAATGCACATTTTTTTATTGCTTGGTAACTAGGTAGTGAGTTTGTGTCCTTTATCAAAGGCAGCGACTCTTTGCCAGCAGCAAGGGGAATTAAAAACTAGGCTTAAAACGAGAAACGGGGGCACCTGCACAACCTATTAACAGCACTAGAATACCGAAGAGCAAAAAACGCACTTCGTAGAGATGCCAAAACACTCTGTTGACACAACAAATACTTATCAGTCCACCCCTAACAAGCAGTGATGGTGCATGAGGAGGGAGAACAGTATTTTCTTGCTTTAACTTCATTGAAATACAGCACGAGCTTGTTGTAACCTGCAGATTTCGGGTCCTGCCACAGACAAATGGTTCTTATCCACAAAATGAGATGAGAATTACTCTCTTAAACCCCAATCAACACAAATGAGAGACATTACGGCATTAAAAGGGAGTTATTTATTAACCCTAAAGGTCTAAATGCTGCTCCACATCCTGAGCAGCTGTTAATGGCACAGTGAGTGACCCCTTTTAGCGTCCCATTGCCCTTCGGAAACTGGCTCAGAGTCAGATTTTATTTGTCATGAATAATGCACATCAATGCACTGCGCTTAGCTCTGTCTCCTTCCCCAAATAGAAAGAATCTCCCTCAATCTTTACTATTCTGAACTGAATACAAAAATACTCCATCATGGATTGGAACATAGCGTGAGCAAAGGAGGTGTTTGAGTCATCCTCTGATTAGAGCTGTGGGAGTCAAATATCTGCAGAATGGAGGCTCTGCAGGTCCACAGTCTCAGTGTGTTGCACTGCCTGGATACTTCTGCAGCTCACGCCTTGTGTAGGTCGGCGTCGTGATGGTTTTTAGCCTACTGTTTACTACGTGTCTGTGTGCATGTGTGCGGAGGTCTGCAGACAAACACGAAACCTAGTTGGTCTCTTCCCCAGCTTTGCTAACTGAGCTCTGGTACCAGCTGGCACAACACACTTTCCCCCGCTCCCCACTCCAGTCCACTGGCCTCTCAGGCTTGCTTAACACAAACCTCACAGGCTATTAAAACCCCCTTTACTGTGGCTGAATGACCCACTCCATTGTTTTCCTCAAGCCCCGTTAAAGCAGCCAGAGAGGGTCTGCAGCGGCTCCTTATTGGAGAGCAAAAGCACACGAAAAGGCCAAGGAAAAAAGAAGAGGAAGTCAAGCTGTCACTTCTGTTTACTCCTCCTGCACAGAGAGCATTTTCTTAAAACTGATACAGTGCTAATGCTTGGTTTGTACTCAGTGAAATGGCAGTGCTGATCGGTAAAAAAAGGAAAAACTTTGGACTTCCTCTGAACCTTTTGCACACACGCTGAAAGATTTAAAGCCTGTATCTTGTATAGCCCTGTTAATGTATACAATGACTGCAGAAGTCCAACTTTACAGTACACATGAGGCCGAGAAGGATTTACACTGTTCCTGCAGTTTCCCTCATAAAAGAAAAAATGTGAAAAGGAAAATGTCTGGGATATTATTGCAGTTTTAGCATTTACAAGGTGCAAAGAATGGTCTGGGAACAGCTCGTCTCAGAGAGGCTTGTATGGGCTATTCAGGTATAAAATGGAAAACAGCTTACACATGGAAATGAACATGTACAGCAGGGAAATCTGGTAAAACAAGGAAGCTTCGCAGAGCTCAATAGTCTTTTTGTTTGTCTCACAACGAAAACACCTCTCACCTTACCTACCTTTCTGCATCTCTGGGCTCAGTTGTCTGTCAGCAACTTCGACTGTTTGGCTGTTTGAAGTAATAATGTCAAGAAGAAGGAGTGGCTGAAGCAAAGCAGTAGAGAGTGTAATAGATAGATGATTTGTTCTCCTTTCCAGTCTGTTTTACCATCACACCCTCACTCTACGCAACCCTGATAGAATCACTTTGTATGAACACATGTACATGTTATGTGATCATGCATGGTTAACATGTAATATGACTCTCAGGACAAGAACAACAAGGGATAACCTGTGCACCTGTGCAGGGACCCTGACCTAGTTTGTCCAGATCTTAACATGAGCATGTTGCCATTAGCAGCCTTGTAAACACTGATCAAGGTGCATGTTTCCCGTGTGCTTCCTGTGAGTATTTGTGTATACCTGGTGTAGTCTGGATCTGAAACCTTTTTAAGGCTCTGTACGGTTCACAGCGAAAAAACATCATGTAATCGCTGCCTGTACCAGTGGATGACTCACAGCTCTCCAGGAAAGAAAAACTTTAGGCTACATGCAGACATGCAGCTGAGTATTTTACAGGGTTATTTTAGTTTGGCATGTTCATTATTTCATATATTTTGGTGATTTTGTTTGACTTTTGAGTTCAAATTTTCTACGAATATAAATCAAAATGTAATGAACCAGAAAACATCAACTGCTCAGCTCTACGACAGATGCTGTTCCAGATTTGTTTTACGACATGCGTTTTATCAGTTCAACTTTCAATTTAATGGGTAACTTAAATAATCAATCTCTTTTAGATCTGACACAATAACACATAGGCTATAACAAATTGGCTTTGGTACTGTAGACAAAAGTCACGTTTTGTTTTGCTATTTATCTGCACATATTGATCCATTCTCACAACTCATTTGCTTCTTCTGTAAAGTTTTTCTTTCTAGCTTGGCTGTCATCTTAATAGTTGTTTGTGTTTGTGGTTAAACCCAGATCAACTCAGTAACGGCGAAATAACTGATCATCACTGAAAGTAAGCCGTCTTCTCTCTAACTTGTAATAATGACCTCCTGTACTCAAAGTTGTTTATTCCACTGGGGAGATCTACAGCCAAAAAAACACCAAGGGCAGTCACACACACACACACACACACACACACACACACACACACACACACACACACACACACACACACACACATACAGTTGCCTCAGTCATGCGTGTGGTGTGTGTGTTCTGCAGCGTTCCGGCCAATAAGCCCTTGATTGCCTCCAGCGTTGACTCAGTAAAGGCCAGTCGAGCCTTGTCGGTGTTAGCTGCTGGTCCTGCTAATGGCTCATTCCTCTGGTTACTCTGGGATGAGACCAAAACAAACCCCAGGACTCAGTCTACAATCGGTCAAGCTACAGGATTTTTCCGTAGATTATTTTGTAACTAAAGCTGTTTGATTGCTTGGTTGCACCATGCAGACATGAGGTTCATTCAAACCAGCTGAGTTAAATGTGCAAACTAACCAACAGATTGTTGCTAGAATAAGGTTTTTACTCTGTTTTGCCAATCAGTAAAATGTTATTTTCCTAAAGTGGGGATTTGACTCTCATACCTGATTGCCTCAATACAGGCAGACTGCTGGAAATAGTTGCTGTCGACTCCTGTGAAGTGACTAACAGAAACATAAAGTATTACTATATGAGGATAATCAATCTGCCGACGCACAAAACCCTCTACTTCTTCAATCTTTCCAAACAAAGCACCAAGATGACTAATACTTTGATGAAGGACTCAGTACCCATAAAACTGCAGGTCCCTGAGTGTCTACTTGAAGCTGGCTGCAGAAGCACTGGAAACCATGTACCCACTGAGTCAAAAAAAGACAATTTTTAGACTGAAAATAAGCCTGTTTCAGACATGGTTTTAGTCTGAATATCACAGTAGCGCTCTCTTTACAGGGACAGAGTTTTTTTGCAGTGCGTTTGTTTCAAAGATATTAAGTTTATGAGACTGGCAAATCAGAGGCAGAGCTGACTTGACTGACAGGTAGGCACACTGTAGGTATTTGGAAGGAGGCTTAAGGCCCGCCTCTAACTGTTCTGTATTAATCGCACATGTTTTGGTGTTGACAATAAAGTGACCCGCGTAAAAATTGGTTGAGAAATGAGCAAGATATGATTTGTTTTCATTGTACATGCATTGCCTTCAAAAGGAACATTGCCCCCACCAAGATGGCTGCCATGCAGGCAGGCAGCTCAAAGGGGCACGTCTTAACTATTATTTATATCAATGGTAAGTAAAATAAGTAAGTAAAGTTTATTTACAGAGCGCTTTTCCCAGATAAAAATCACAAAGCGCTGTACATAAAACAGTACAAAAAAGATGAGTACATATACATACACAAATACAAATACAGTGAATATGGAAATAAGTGCAGATATAAAAGATAAGTAAAAGAGACAAACAAAACCCTGTTAATTAAAAGCTTGTCTAAATAAAAGAGTCTTCAACTGCTTTTTAAAAGTATCCACTGAGTCGATCAAATGGAGCCTGTTGGTGGTTGTCCATGGTGACAAAATTCCACTTTGCTACATCCATTGACTATATAAGCTAGCCATAACCTTGTGTTAATCACATTTGCATCGATTCTTTGACAGAATAGTCATACTAATGAAAAAAGCAGAGACATAGGGTCTTGTGTCGTGTGCTAACATTGATTTTTAGTTGCGTAGCTTTAAATACAGTCCCATGGCAGCCGAGTTGCTCTGATTCCCACTCAGGCAAAGACGCTTAATGTTGTTGTAAACAAGCCGGAGCACTGAGGGAGTTTCTCTGGCTGGTGTCAAATGGAGGACAGTGTATTATAGGAATTATAAGCAAACAGTTTTATTTAGTTTATTGACCATCTGACAGTAAAAGCAAATAAAGTTATTGGCTGTTACTCAAAGATCAGATAAGCTCGTGTCAGGGCTGTCATACTTAAACTTACAGTGCACCCGGGCTCCAAACACAATGTGACCATGTGTGCAGAGCTTTGAGAACACAGAACATACACAATGATGACAAAGAAGATGTAACAGCTGTTTCAGCCATGCAAAAATTAAGAAAACTATAATTCTACACTAGAGCGCAAGGAAGAGCATTTTCCTGATATGTTTCTGTGGCTAAAATAAAAATAAAGCAGTCCAGATGTAGGGTTTCATTTTTTTTTTTTTTGCAGAACAGCGGGTCAGGCTTGGCTGCTCTCCATGTATGTTCTGATGCAGCGCAGCAGAAACTGTTGACTCAGCACTCTAAAAACATCAGGGGCGGAACAAAGAGGGACTGTCTGGTCAACATCCACAACCAGAGAACAGCGAGCACCTTACTAATCCTGATGTTAAAAGTAAACTCCCCAACTCCCAAAACACTCTTATGTAACCGATTTGATGGGCCGATTGCTGCGACCATGTGGGAATACAGTCTCAGTAACCTCTTCCCACTTGCTGTGCAGAATACACACTTTATTTTGTGACAACTTCACACTTGAGGACAAGTGAGGCAGAGAGAATAATAAGCAGCCAGAAGAGAAAAGTGTGAAAATAAGAAAGTGATAAGTTATCGTTTTCTGGACTTATCTCTCCTGACAGCTTGGACTCTTTACTAACTCAGCCTGACACCGTGGTTCATTCATGTCACTCATCTCAGCCTCTGGGTAGCATGCTGTATGTAAGAGAGCTGTGGTTCTTCAGAGTCTCCATGTGTGCACTTAAAACCATCTCCCCTCACTGACTGTATGTGCTAAAATCTCCTGCCAGACTCTGAATCACGCTTCTCCTCCTCCAGCACTCTGACTCACACCTAAAGCAGCCTCATGTCCATTCTTCACAGTATTTTTTCCCCCACACACCGGCATTTTTGCTTACATTCTTCACCAGCCTGAAATGTGCAAACAGACTTGAGACAGGGGTCAAGGCAAGTGAGTCGATAGCCACCTGCTGGTCTTCAGAAACAGGCTCCAGGCTGTGTGGAGGGGGGTGGCGGAAGAATAATTAGTCCACTTTTAGCTCAACTAAAAACAGGGAAATATAAAATCAGTGGCTTTCACGCAGGGCCTGTTTTACTTATGAGTTTAACACCAGTTTATCTGCATATGGGATAAATCAATATACGTGATTACTGACTGGAGACACATACTGGTAGGATCCAAAATCCAAATAGCCAGCCTGACCACTGGTCTGACAAGGCCGGCTTTATGGAGCAAGCTGTCACCTTTATTAGTGTGCCAAGGTTTCAGAAATCCATCCAGTTGGGTTTCTGAATATCAGAGGCTCCCTGCAACAAAGAGCTGCTTCAGGCGAACAGGAAATAACAGTGACAAAGAGAGCCTGTTGATGAGAGACACTGATCTGCCTAATGATAGCCACAGTCAAATGTCCTGGTCATGCTTTTCAGAAATCATGGAAACCACCACATTGCAGCAGAAAAGCTGTACTTAGTGTTGTCCGCACAGGTCACATATACTTTACATTTTATGCTTTTAAGAGCAGATTCTTAACAGCAGCCTGGGAATGGGACAACAGCTCATTTTTCCTACACTAAGCTTGATTGTTGAAGGTGTTGGAGTAATTGCAAACTAGTTTTAGCAGGCTTCTGTTTGTTGCTTGTTTTCATAGTTTGTTCAAGGTGAGGACATCCTCCTACGCATGAAAAAACACAACCGTAAATACTTTGCGGTGTACTTTTTAAAGTACTTTTTAACACCTACACAAAGCGGTGTGTTTAATATTGTTACACCAGTTAATACTTTAATAGGCCTATGATTCAGATAAAGTTTTGAAGTGTGTTGATCATAGTGTTGATCACCTTGAGAATCATCAGTACATTTACTTGACTGAAAATCTTAGATTTTATTCCTGTAACTTTGCAAGTCCACTCAGTAATATGGTGAATTTGGAGGTCTTTGCTCCACTCTCACACCTCAGGGTTTGTGTTAATAGGCAGGTACATATATGAAAATAAAAAAAAAAACACAAGTCATATTTGAACCTGACTTTATAAATAAAGTTTGATTGACTGATTGAGTGATTGATTTAACAGAACAGGCTAAGTAGATATGGCATTGGGGTTAGGGTAAGGGTTATGAGGTTAGGGTTAAAATCATTTTTTGACCATTTAGAATCAATTGGTACAAAAAAATAAAAATTAGGAAAAATGTCAAAATATTCGAAGTGTTAGGGTTTGGTTGGGGTATTGGGGTAGGGGTTAGGGTTAAAGTCATTGGTTAAGGTTAAAATCACTGTCTAGAACCTATTTAGGAGCATATTTCAGACCATTTGGATTAAATTGGTACAAAAAAAAATTAGGAAAAATGTTTAAAAAATTTAAGTGTTAGGGTTACGTTGGGGTAACGTTTGATTATTGGGGTTAGGGGGTTAGGGTTAAAATCACTGTCCAGGACCTTTTAAGAAGCATGTATCAGACCATTTGGAGTCAACTGGTACAAAAAATTTGGATTTTTTTTAATGTATGCAAATCAGTGCATATTTAATTAGATATTGCCTTATTTACATATTCATATATAACATTTGATCAAACCAGGGTGTCTCCCCTGGGCCTCCTACCCATCATTAATACCATCTTGAAAATGGCACCTTTCTTGCGGTCAAACTTTGGTAAAGTTTTAGTATGTTATCAAGGACATTTTATACGATGAAAAACAGCTGAGAAACCTCTTGTTAGAATTTTTTGGGGGTCAAGTCATATTTGCACCTGACTATAAGGTTACACAGGAAAAAGGTGGAGTACAGTTGGTCTCCCAGTCTGGCTCTGGCGCAAGTAACAGTAGCGCAACAGAAGCAAGATATCATCTGTTGCATCTTGTGTCAGAGTGTAGACAGCAGAGTCAGAATGATGGAGCCAGTGTTGCTGTCCAATCACCAAACTTTGAGTCTGAGTTGAGTCCCTAAGTCCTCAACTTTAAAGTCCGAGTCAGCAAAAAAGAATCTCAGTCCCAGTCGACCTCATAATTACTTTTATTATTTATAGCAAATGAGGTTAACTCCAAACTACTCACAATATGAACCCCACCAATATGAACCAATATGAACCACACGGAAATGACGCCTTGTTTTATCTACTAATTGTAGTTATTACAGAATGATCTTTTGTGGGGTCTGTGGATTTAAATCATGAGTAAATGTCGCACACTCCAAATGAAGTGACAAACTCATTATTTCTGGTGTGGTTGGATCACTGTTAGTGGGCTAATATACTCAAAAATAACTGCAGCTCATCCGGTTCTAATCAAAATTTGAACTAACCAAATATCTAAGTTGAGTCATTTCGAAGCTAACATTACTACGAGCACATAATCAATAGTCCAAGTATATTAGATGACTCATGGTCCCTCTTTGGCAGGAAAAACTGATGAATAAGACAGTTACATTTTAACAGTTTTCATCTAGAAATGCATCTCAGCTCTCTCAATCTCCCGAGTAATAATGCAGTCAAAGCCTTACAAGTACCTTATAAATCATTAAAATAAGGACTTGAGTCAGAGTCCTGGACTGAAGAACTACAACACAGCGCAGGGTTGTGTACTTGGAGCTTTGGTCCATTGTTATGGACTGCAACTGTTAGCTAACATGTTGGACACAACAGCTTTGTAAAACTTACAATTATTTGTATTTTTTGCTCCTCATAACAAAAGCTAAGGATATTCTTTCTCTTAATCACATGCCTTCTACTCTGGAAGGATTTATCAGATTTTAGAGGAGCTGTTTGATGAGAGTATTGATTGCAGATGTCAAAACTTTCATTTTAAGAAGTACTGGGTTTGATCTCTACTCCTACACTTGACTTTCTCCTGACATACACCAGACCACACTCCCACTTTAATGAAGTTTTTCAGTGGCACAGTACCTCAAACCCCCTGTTATTGGGAAATCACAGTAGACAAAGATATTTGCCTTATTAGTTGTAAATGTCATGGTCGGCTAATTATGTGTGCACGAAATGTCATTCAGCTTTAGACCAACATGTGAAATGTCACTGCTGTACACGCACATGAAATGCCAGATATAAGATTTCTCGCAATGAAGTGCAGCTTTCACCCTCTTGTATAAGTCTGTGTTGAAATAGCACGTACAAACACACAAACACACACACACACACACACACACACAAACACACACACACACACACACACACACACACACACATAAAAAGGTGATGTGATGATGGTGTGAACTCTGCGTGGTTGCATAGCTGTCTGTTTAAATAGAATTATAATGGAAACATAGCAGGTGTTCTGTGAATTTGGGCTGCATCTGCTGTTCTTTTACTGGGCAATGACACCCCAATCCTCCCCCTCTCTCGCTGACTGTCTGGATGAACATGTGGAGGAGGTAGAGGCTGATGGTGTGTCCAGAGAACAGAAGGAAAAAGTGAGGAGTCCTTCCTGTGCTTTAATCATAATAAGAGATATCTGGGGTGTAATTTGTACGCTGGGTGGATCTTAGATAAAACCCCTTGTGGTTCTACCACCTCCTCGTGTTCAGACATACAAATGTAAAACTGCTGTCATGGCTGCAGTCTTTGATATTCTCCTCTATGATGGATTATCACACCTGTGGTGCACAGCTTCAAAATAAGATAACTCGGGACCCATTTACAGTGTAGAGAGACAGATTGCAAAGAGGTTCTTCTTATCGTTGAACAGCTGTTTGATGTTATCCACAGCAGATAGTCATTCCTCTCATAGTCAGCCAACCACAGTACAGGGAGCTCCAGGAAGGACGCCGCCCTGCTTTGAATGTGGCTGCACCGCGTTTCATCTACTCCTCTGCTAAAGCTTGCTCACACTGTATTCTCTACAGAGCAACTTCGAAGCACAGTGTTGTTTTTCTTTGAAAGAAACTTTCAGTCAGCAGCAGCTCAGTAAATCCAACTTTGGATAAAGCCATCCTCTGTGCCAAAATTGAATCATGCAGGCACCGATTTTATTAGTGCTGCTCCTTCATGTTTGCTCAGATCACATTAAATACTGCCACAAAATTACCTTGTTACACAACTGTTAGTTGTGTAACAAAGGCTAAAAAAAAAGTCAGTCTTCCTCTGAAAAACGGAGAATTAAAATGCTTTTTCTGCTTACCATTTTTAGGCCCGAGTATTGTCAGTGAAACCTGAAAAAGGAAGAGCCAATGTTTATACTACAATGGCTCAACAGAGATGGAAAAGCCTGTTAGTCCTGATAAAAGCCAGCTGCTGCATGTAAACAAGCTGTACTCAAACTTAAGGGCTGCAGATAACGAGGAAAACAATATTCTGAACAGTAAAAGAGTGTAATAATCTTTCTACTCCATTTATGAGAAAATACCTGAGTAAACCAATTTAATCTTTTAAAGGCCGAGCACAATGCATGCCTTTTATTTAATGCATTCATCTGACTCAGCTCGAGTTAAACTTTCATATTACCCAATCATCATAATGAAATCACAACCTTAATTCAATTATTCAAACTAAGATGTCTTTGAATTAGAAAATGTTCTCATTTTGCAGCTGTTTTGAGCAACAACAATACAACTGTCTTTACCTGCTCTGTGAATTTTGAGACTGGCTGTTACAAGTAAAGGAGAGGGAATTGGCAGGGACAAAAACAAAGCTTCAACGACTAATATTTTACTAGCATTCATCAGAAAGACACGAACATGACTCAGAGTTACATAATGCTAATTTTGAATATCTGCTGGATGTGTAAAGAGATAACTGATTATCAGTTTGTGATGCAGCCCCCAAGTGGCCAAAGCAATTCATTATTTAACCATTAACTGGTGCTGCCATCCTGCTCCTATCATAGTTGACAAGAGTGATGATTTCTGGGTCGCAAGAACCACTTATCCATCTCTGTTTTTCTATTTCTCCCCCTGCAGGACAGGAGAGCTTTAACTCCCGTTCCCTGGCGCTGCAGGCCCAGAAGAAGATCTTAAGCAAGATGGCAACCATGGTGGTGGCCAACATGCTGACAGATGACACCAGCAGTGAGATCTTGGATGAGCTCTACAAAACGAGCCGGGAGTTTACCAAAAGCAAGAAGGAGGCCCACAAAATAATCAAAGATGTTATCAAGATCGCCCTGAAGATCGGCATCCTGTACCGAAACCACCAGTTCAGCCCGGACGAGCTGGACACGGTGGAGCGCTTCAAGAAGAAGATGAACCAGGCGGCCATGACGGCAGTGTCATTCTACGAGGTGGAGTACACCTTTGACAGGAATATTCTGTCAGAGCTCCTGCTGGAGTGCAGGGACCTGCTTCATGCCCTGGTCGAGCAGCACCTGACCGCACGCTCACATGCGCGCATTGATCATGTTTTCAACCATTTTGCCCACGGAGAGTTCCTGGCTGAGCTGTACGGAGATGGAGAGGACTACAGACTCTCTCTGAGGAAGATCTGCAATGGCATCAACAAACTGCTGGATGAAGGAACGCTTTAACCTCCCACACCAGACCTCCATCACCTCTAGCTCTGTCTCCTCTTGCCAGTGTCTCCTGCTGCCTCCAACTATTTCCTTTTCACTCACTCACCCATGACTGTACACTTCCTCTACCTTCTTTTTGCTCTTGTCTTCCTGTTTCTTTTTCATCTGTGAAGCTAGTTGTAATATCCTGCTGCTGTGGTTCAATGAGGGAATCTTTTGGACTGTCTTTCCGCTCAGTGGATCATTGCAGGACACTGGGACAGCCTGCATCATATGTATGCATTGAAGCATTCCAAGTCATCCCCTGTGTGCAAAAATGTACTGTACCAATGGCCAAAAAGCATTTGTTAGGTATATTTGGTTTTGAAGATAGTCAGTGGTAGTAATCAGTCTCTCTTTTAGTTTGTATGTGTGTGTGTGCACATTCGTCTGTATGGGATTCGCTTGAAAATTTGCGTGTTTGTATATAAGAATAACTATGACATGGTGTGTATTATGTATCTGTGTCATTCTTCTCTACAAGGGTGTAACACTTGTCTTTTATTAAAGATTTCTTGAAAACAGTACTTTGCATTTCTTCCAAAAAGAATACGCCCTTATTTTCTTAATGATTTCTCAAATCAACTTTAACAGAAATGAGAAATGCTTCCTTTCTGAAGGGTAGCAGACACCATGAAAGAGTAGGGAAACCATGAATCCAGTGGGGAAAATTAGCAACAAATGGTGCATAAGGCAGCTACTTTCCTTTCCGTTTGACCCACATGCATGACAGACGTGCATTTGCAAACAATAACTCTGAAATGAGCAGAAAAATCTGACATTTGTCTTTTCTGCTTCATCATGCCCTTTAGTCTGTTCCGCTCTCCAGTCCAGGAAAACACAGAACTGGTGGCTTGGTGGAACTCCAGTCAAATTATTTTGGCAGCCAAGGAAGAAGTAGTCCAGTTTTATAGCTCTGTCTCCTTACAGACGGACAGACCACCCACCCAATGAGCCACAGTTTGCACTCAAATTTTTTGCTGCCAAGCAAACACTTTAATCAACTTATGAAGTTACTCTCTTTTTAAAAGTAAGTGGACATGAAGAGATACTAATCATTACTTCTATTGCCTTCTGTTCATTTGTCTGTCTGGGTCTGACTGCTTGAATCATTCAATCAATCATTGTAAATACAGGGGACAATCTAAAATGTAGTAGATTTTAGTGACCAAGATACACAGAAAGTGCAAACCCTTTGGTTTATTATTGTAATAAAAGCAATTTAATTGAAGAATACAAGGGGATTTAATGCAGAGATAATGAGTGGTGATGGTGAATGTAATGCAAAAAATAATCCTGATAAACTATAAGAAGACACCGATGTGGAACACGGTCTCCTTCATCCTAAAGGTTGGTACTGAGTATTGACTCAAATATGAGTGATTTAAAGAGTATATTCATAAAGTTTAAAATAAAGGTAAGAGCCAAGCAATCTGAACAAATGTGGGAATCAACAGCAGAACCTGTGTCAGGTCATCCTCTGTTAGCATTTTTTTCCTCAACCAGTCCTGTAACACTGATGAAGCAATATTTTGCAGTTTGTCTGTTTTCTTCAATTTAGTTGATGTCTCCTTCATTCATCACCTTGTGTATCCAACCTCAATGCAAATAGAAAAATAATGATGTTGCTACTAAAACATTAAATATATTAATCTTACATGACAGATTCGAAAGGGTTGTGTTGTCTGCTTTCACTCCTTTTAAGTCTGTATTTTAATTATCAAGCCGTTAGTGAGACAGAAAGATGATGAGAGACCAAAATGAGCAAAGGAGAGAAAGAAACAACTGCCTCTGTATGTTAGGAACTACTGAGCAAACTAAGGTGCTCTTTGCTTTCACTGTCTTACTTAATGAGAAAATTAACATACAAAACTCTTCAAGAGAAAATCTACACCTAATACCATTGAACAGCCTGAACTTCCTACTTCCAGCTGAAATCCACCACAGGTATAAAGTTTAAGTTGGGGGACCCCCAGGAGATTGGAGATAGGTCAGGTATATAGGTCCGGTTACAGATCTGACTGGTCTTAGATGCAAGAAGCAGAGTCATTTTTTGGTTAAGAATAAATAAATAAAACTTGTTCTGACTGAGGATATAAAAAACTAAACAGCCACATATTTTAAAACACTTTCCCCCAAGTTAAAACAGTTTCTAAGCCTGAGTAAAAAATAGTGCCTCAAACATCACCAGGGGTCATCGTCTGAGACTTCACAGAATTCCTCTGAGGCCGCAGATGACTTTATACAACAGTTTTCAGATGAGTGGCTGAGCAGGACCACCCAACAACACATAAACAGATCAAAAATGTTTATTTAATAAAAAATTTCTCAACATTCGGCTTGATGAACTCCAAATGTTGCCACCCATGGCACAGAATAAGAAAAAAAAAAACAGTATCCTCCGCTGATGGAAAGGATGCTAAACTGTTGATAACTTAACCTGTAGATCCCATATTTGATCCCTGCATAAGGACGTATTCTTTTCATATAATGTCCTGAGGAACACAGACGTTCTGGCTCTGCAATGCCATTTTAACATGATTAGGTTTCACTGACCCACAATCGATAGAAAAGCACACATAATGAGTGTTTTATGTATCTGCTGTTTTTCCCTCTGTGAGTTTTTAAGGAAAGCATAGACCTCTAGTGGTGAAAAAGAGTCTTGACACAGCGCAACAGTTGAGAGGTACAGTATGTCCTAAAGATGACAGGTTTCTGTTCACAGTTTAACTAATCAGAAATAAGCTGTTTTCACACCGGCTTAGGAAAGAGACCTGACTTTAACTGCAGCTGAAACAGAACAAAGACAAAACCTCAATTGGGAGGTATTTACACGGGCCTGGGGCACACAGATTACAATCTGAACCCAAAAATGGATCAGCATGTCCTCAACAGGGTTATTTATCCTAAAAATCAAAGGTTTTCTTGAAAAACACTAAACAAATAAAGCGTTCCCCTTATAGATTTTAAAAGGCTCTAAGTAGATGAAATATCCCAAACACCCCCTTTCCCCTTTATTTTGCTCTGGTAGAAATCCTTCAGTCTTTGAAGTACTACAAACAACTTGCCTTTGGGCCTGATATAAACAGAAAACCCATGTCCTTCCATCTCTGCATTGTTCCCCAGAGACCGTTTCTGTTTAGAACTTCCCAAAAGAGAGACAGACGACTGCAGAAAACACAAATAAACACCATTTCAACAGCACAACGCACCACACTACTCCCAAGACTCAAACAGAGCCTCTCATATCTTTGTGCCTGGTTCACATCAGGCCAGGTGTATACAACAAACTTTAAAAAAAAAATTTAAACTTTGAACCTCCAAAAGGCACTTTTTGAATAATGTGCTAAAAATATTCAAAAGAAAACTTTTGAATATAAATTTTTATAAGGTAAAGACTTTTTACAGATCGTATAAGCGGTGTTGGGACTAATGCGCTATTCAGTAATGCGTTACAGTAACTAAATTCATTTTGCGGTAACGAGTACTGTAACTAATTACTTTGTCAAAATCAGTAACGCGTTTATCATTACTGCGATTTAAACAGGCTCGTTACTCGTTACTTCACGTGCATGACTCAGAACCATAATTTCCGTGGTGCACCTGAAGCACACGTGACTCAGCGACGTGCAGGTGAATGAATGAAAACAACAATGGCGGCAGTCGACGACAGTCCAGGTTTGGGATTTCTCACCTGGAAATGTACGTTAGTGGCCTGTAATCTATGTGGAGGTCTGAAAACTCTATCCACATCAAAGGCGAGCATTTCTAATCTGATGAAACATCTCCGGAAACAACACGCATCTACCAGGCTAGTTGTAAAAGACCCTTAGGCTAACACAGGTGATACTGCTAACAGCTCCGCCAAAAGGAGGAGCCCCTCCAGCCAAACAACGAAAGCTTGATTTAGCAAACCGGAGGGCTGGCAGCCTCCCTGGCTGTCCAGTAAGGCAGGCAACACATTCATAAGAGAATTTAGAGTAAAAAAATAAAACAAAGTTACTTTCCCTAGGGACTAAACACAACTCACCCTCTCTCCAGCAGCTGCTTGTTTGTGCGAAGCCCTCCGGGCGAGTCCATTGACTGGAGCGGGGTGACGCAGCTCAAGGAAGAACTTTTATGATCATTCCTTTAGCATTTCGTTGAAGAAATAATCATAATATTTATCATTTTGCACTGCAGACGTGGTAGTTCTTCTGCCTTAGCATCTCAGCCTGATTGCATTTACATGAAGTAATAATCATAAATGTTCTTCCTTGAGCTGCGACCCCCCGCTGCAGTTGATGGATTCACCCGGAAGTCTCCGCACAAACAAGCGGCTGCTGGAAGAGAATAGCTGCGTCCGAATTGCCAAGTAGTAGTCGAAGTAGTAGTCGAAGTAGTATCTAGCATGTCCGAATTGGCCACCGGAGCGAGTAGCATGCTACTTCAGATACTACTTCAGATGCTAGACACGCCCACATTGTAGTTGGTCTCGGTGCATCCTACGGGCATGCTACTGACCCAAAATGCACCGCGGGCTTCTTCTTCGTCCTCTTAAAAGTTGTAGAAGCGCATGTGATGCTAGCGCCACCAGCTGCTCTGCCTATTTAAAAGTGTCGCGAACGCCGGCTGGCCACAGCAGCGCGCACCATGTCGGAGCAGCAGCAGCAGGCGGGACCGCAGCCGTACAGATGTAAGTTTCATGTAACTTCACACATTGTCCTAAAAAATGTGCGGTTGTATCTCTTTGTCATGTCATGGTGTCATATTTGCCCAAGTAATCATTTTATGAGCAAGTGGCGACATCATGGAGGTAAAGCTCACTTATTCCATCATTAAACTGCACAGCTGCAGTACTACAGCCAGGCCCGCAGATGAGGGGCTTCAGTTACCACTGTCTGCACGGGCGCAGTACCTACTCTCTGCCTGCGGGGGTCGTCTTTCCCCACCGCTCGTCTAGTGTGTCCGAATTGGGCCAACGTTTTTAGTATGCA